GTGGACCAAGTGAATAAAGGGAAAAATAGTCCTTAGTCTTGTTGATCCCTGTTTGCATAAAGAGATAATCCAGGGCCGATCGTCAGCACAAACCACAGCTTTAATGGTCCAAGCTCTCCACATGTGTCACACGATTCTGCTTTTTTAAAACCTTTAATTTTGAAAGGTGTGGAGCAAAACATGACTTCTTATGCGTGACAGGTATCTGAGCACGTAAAACTGCTGCATTCTGATGTCTCCTGTATATTTAGTGTGATTATAGCTTACTGCAGTTGCTTGAATTGTATGCCATGTAATTATTTGGTGCCCTTACTGCTGGACCATGGACGCACAGTTATATAAAGGTAAAGAAAAGGTCAATGAATTATCTGCAAATTGTTAAGTTGTCAGTTTATGAATTTGCTAAAGATTTATTCTAATAATTATGCTCACTCCTGTAGCTTCCAGATTGGTCGAACCCTAACCCTAATTTAGGGTATAAAGGACTCTACTATTAATTGCTGTGGCGGGTCATTTTGACTTGAGAATAGCACAAGGGTAGATATTATAAAGATATTAAAGATATTATTGTTGAAAATGACTTAGTCAGAAATATACATTCTTTTAAAAATGAAGTACAGTTGGGGTGGCTGACCTCACCTTTGAGCGAAAGATAAAGACTTTATAGTATAGTTTTGTGCAATACTTATTAACTCACTTTTTGTGTTAATATTCCTCCTCCTTCCTACAGTTCTGTAACCTGTGTTGCAACACTGAAATGTTCCCACGGTGGGGCAAATAAAGGATTTCTTAATTCTAATCTATATTGTAGGGCATTCTTCTAGAAGCCGGCATTATAATCTGTGTATCCAAAGGTTTTGCATTTTATTAGCTTTTATGACCACATTCTATTGCGATGATTCAGAGACAATATTGCACAGGAGCATTTTAAACACTGAATAAATCACTCCATAAATGTCACTGAAACCACATTCACACAGACACAGGTGTCTTACTGTTTGCTTTCAAATTAGGTCACTTTTGTTTTGCTCACGTTCACAGTGGATGAGTAGCTCGTTTCGTTGTTGGATGCCTTTCCTCAACGTACTTTTGTTTTGTGGGTCCAGTTGCCAAGACGGACCATTGAGTGCTACAGTGTTGACCGCTCTGAATGGATGGCGGTAGGTTGACATCGCTGCCATGGTCACGTCTTTAAACCAACAGAACACGAGCAAGTACTGTAGTAATCCTGTGGCCCATGACCATACACCATTCACTACAAGTACAAGGACGGGACCTTTAAGGGCTGGATTCTAGGTTCCCTCAACTTTACAACATTGTTTGTAAACAAAACAACTATTTGAATCCAATGTATGTTGTTATGACTTCACTTCGATGAATCCCTTCTTTAGTCACAGGCTTCGTCTAATCCAGGGATTAAAGAGAAAAAATATATATATATATATATAATGATAATAATACACACAATGAAATGATTGATTATAAAAATAATATATAGTAATACATATACGTGTGAATCTGTTATATATATATATATATATATATATATATATATATATATATATATATATATATATATATATATATATATATATATATATATAGATGTATAATAATAATTTTGAATATAATTGTATTTATATGTATATAGAAATAATAAGTAATATAATCACGAGTGGGCCTTGAACGTGCCGTGGCCACATGAGCGCTCCGCAAATGAATCAAGGCAATGGGACGTAGCTGAGCTCACGCTCAAATGAAGACGCGATGAAGTTAGCATTGGTAACACGGAGGTGAAAGTTTCTGGAAACTGCACGGAGCTTTTGAAAAGGAGAAGAGGAGGAAAATTGAATCTCGAACGGAGCAATAACAGCAGCAGATCCGCGGACTGGTAAGCTGGGCGCGTAATAGACTAAAGGTAATTAACGTTTACCAAACGCAATGCTATTTTACTTAACGGAATGTACAAAACGGACTTTGCTGCAACTGGGAATGGGGACAAACATGTCTTGGTGAGCTTTTGATATTGTCTTGTTTGCGATCTTCTTGCAAAACTCAGCGTGATGTAAAAGAGCCAATCAATGAGTCATGGTGCGAAAAGATGAAAGTGGCCGGTGCTTGTGCGTACTTTGCCATAAAAAATTGCATATATGGGAGTAATGAGAAAAAAGTTTTGATTCGCCACCAGCTCAAAACTGCGCACAAGGCAGCTGGTTGTGCACTTTCCCACACTTCATCTTTACCTGGTGCATCAGCAACAACTGACACTAGGCTTGCTATGGCAGACCGTGTCTGTGGCTTTATCACAGAAAATAACGTTCAGAATATCACTACCGCTGGTACATTTATTTAAATCATTTGCAGTTGATCGAAGTGCACTGTGCACTCAAACTTGATAGGGAAACCTTTTTCTTAAATATTGACGTGTCCACAAACAAATGTGGACAGAATTGTATCGTCCTTTTGCGATATTTTGACGAGGACAGAGCCAAAGAGTTGACGCTCCATATCGCCTCAAGTAAAGCTACTCTCACTAATATTCTGTCAAAAAGTTTACTCGTTGCTTGATCCACTTATATTTCATATCAAAATACACTGTATATCTTTGAAGAATTCATTTGAGCGGTATTCAATATACAATCTATTATACAATAATATATTGTAATTACAAATATAACTTGGTCCTGCATATTACTGTGATTTACATGTGATAAATTTCCATGCGAAAATTTTCAGTCAAATCTTTTTTTTTTGCTTTAACCCCTGGTCTAATCCCTGTCATCAACATTATGTTTCTGTCATGCTGGTGGTGGTTTCCTTGTCACAAATTCTGAAAGACTGGAGTCAACCGGATGATAGATTTTTTCTGTATCTGTGTGGGCGGCTCGGTGGCTGAGGGGTTAGCACACTTGCTTCTCAGCAAGAAGGTCCTGGGTTTGATTCCACCTTCAGGCAGAGGCTTTCTGAGTTTGCATGTTCTCCCTCTGTCCACACATGTTTCTTCAGGGTGCTCTGATTTAATCAGCTCCTCTCATCCCTAAAATACATTTTGAAATCTTTCCTAGTTAATAAAGGTGAAATTTAATTTTATTGAATGTATCCTCGCTCCAGTCTTTACTGTTAAGTTTCTGCATTCTTAGTCGGGTGTCTAAGCTACAGAACGAGGACCAAGGCTGCGCGGCGGTTGTAGAACGAGGACAGGTGCGCTGCTGGACTGAAGCACTTCCCAGGCGGGGAGGGGGTGCAGCCCACAAGGCGGGTCAGGCAGGGCAGTCCAGTTCATATTAACAGATTTACACAGTACCAAGTTAGTTCTGGAGGTTCATCTGTTGAGAAATGGAACCATATTGAGCAACTGCACATAAGTGATGTACAGGTGAACCATTATGTATACACGCACACACTCTCTTCGGTAGCGTTCAAAACAAAAACCGGTTATAAAAAAGATCTCTGGTCAAAATAGTCACTGAGACCTTTTGAACTCCATGTGTGTTTTGTGTATACAGAAAGGTCAGTAATTAGTTTTAGTAATTGGGAATTAATGTCTCCTCCATGATTTGAAGGCTTGACATGTTCAATTCCTGTGTATCTCAGTGTGCTATTGTGTATTCTGTAAAATGTCTCTGAACTTGTTGAGTCATGATTGCGGATATTACTACAATTCTTGCGTTTCCAATGTACGCAAGGCCACAGGGGCACCTCAGCATGTAAATCACATTGTTGATATTGTAACTTATAATGCCTGTTATTTAAAAGGATTTCCCTTTTCTTGGATGGTTAAAAGATGTAGTATTTGTAAAGTTACATTGCATGCATGCATCAGTAGTTTCCATGTGGTACGTTTTGGAGAAAGTGAGGTTGGCGCAGAGTTGGTAAGTTGGCCCTCACCAGTTTGTCACCCAAAATCGGCGGCCTTTTGTACTCGTGTTGTGAGCTATAGGTTTTCTTAAAACTGGCGAATATTGAATTGTGCAATTTACTTTGGTTTCCTGTTATTTTTTCTTTCTGTGTTGTAGACATTCCTCCTGGGTAATTGAGTCAAATTTATTGCGTACTCCTGTGATCCATGCTTGTTTATATCCTCTTTGTTGGAAGCGCTTCAAAATGTCCTCTGCATGACTCTGGTAGTGTGTGTCTGAGCTGCAGATCTGTCGTAAATGGTTGAATTGTGAAATTGGAATGTACAGGGTGATGTGATGTCCCATGAAGAATTGAATTGCGGTCAGTGCTTTTTGTTCGAGAGTTGAGTATAGTTCATTAGCCTCTTTTTTCACCAGAATGTGTCCTATTCCATGGTGAATTTCAAGTTTAAAATGTTTGTGTTCATATCTGTGTGGAACTGTTCTTCTGTGCCATCTTTGAGCCCATGCTGCTGGTGCCGGAGATCTGTAAATAAAATTCAGATTCAAACTGCTCAGTGTGAGTTCAGCTTTTTGGTTGAGAAAGAATTATTTAGCTCTTAAAACAGTACGTGTGTGTAAAGTGTCTCAATTTCCATGGAGAGCATTTTCTGGGACCACAAGTGTCAGCATTTTTAGGAAATCCATTGAATCTTTTATATTATAGGGTAGATGTGACAAGAGGAAGGAAAAATCAACAAAGGCAAACCTTTGTTCTTTTCAATGGCTGAAAATGTTTCCTAAATTCCCAAAAGGATTTAGGAAATAACATAAATATATTCTAAATATTCCAAAATGTATGATTCATATGCAAACTACCTTTGTAAAAGCAAACAAAAGCTGTAGTACATTATATGGAATGAATATTATTACTAGAATGACCCTTAGGCTAGCTCTCTTAATTGCATTTTTCCCCAGATGGTTAAGGAGTAGCTCGCTGTCATTTTGTTCCTGAGAAGGAAGCTCTGAGTAAAAAAGCCAGTTAAATGGACTTCTGCTTTAACTTATTGTTTTTCATGTGCCACAGCTTTAAGCCGCATTATCTTTGCAGTGCTGTGTGTAGATAAAAAATAAGCATTGTCTGTCTGTGTGTGTTTGCAGAGCACCAGGACTGTCTGCACCACGCGGTCCACGAGCGCCTGGGAGAGCTGCTTCGAGTCCTGAAGGCCATCATCAACAAACACCAGAGTCTGAACTCGGTGGACATTCTGAGCACAGCAGGAACCGTCATTGCTTCAGTCAAAGGTGACGACAACAAGATATCCCTACACTTAGTTCTATGCATTTTGAATCCCATAGAGATATAATGTTTGCAGGAAAGTATCTTCTCCAAATGAGGCATGGTAAGGCACAGTTTATCAGTTTCGCACTAGGGATGTAAATCGGCGACCGGTTAACCGGTGGTTGACCGTCACAGCGTTAACCGGTCAAAGCTGTCGGTTAAAAAAGAGAAAAAGGGGAGAGGGGAGGTCTCTTAATAACGCTATTTTAAGCCCTATTTGCACGGTGTGACGAGCGGGTCCCTATCTAGCTGTGTGCGCCAATGTATTATAAACTCCGGGACGACTCTCACGCCGCACGAGCCACATATGCACACACGCACGCGCGTGCGCACACACACACACACACACACACACTTTCCCCCTCTCCATACGTAACATCCACACGCATCATCTCTCCCCTCTGTTACCGTCAAAGTTGCACACTGGCGCGGGTCAGAACTACATTGGAGCTTACATTTACATACACACACATATACATACACACACACACATACACACACACATACCGGTCTGTCGCGCTCCTCTGTGTCACGGAGCCCAAAGGATTCGCGCAAATACGCGGCTCCAGTCAAACCACATGGAACATGTTTGTGTTTATGGTCCTCGGGATCAGCTCCACACACATCACTTGTATTTAAACTTTTGTGAAGACCTGTGAGACGCGGCTCGTCACTCGCTGCTCTGACCATGTGGACGAGACATCGTTTGCTGCTAGAAAGTTTTGGTATTAACCCGCAGCACAGAAGAATGGGAAGATTAAAAAAGCAGTTCTCTGTGCGCAAAGGTGCCGGAGCTGTTGTGGGTTTTGGCGCCGCTGTCTCGGCTCTGATCCAGTAGAACGCAGAGCTGCACTTATGAGAAGTACGCGGCTCGAAATGGCTGTTATTTCAAAGAACGTGGACTATTTTAAACTACGCGGTTAACCGGTTTCAACCGGTTAATGAGGCTCGGTGGTCGGTCATGAAAATTCATAGTTTTTTACATCCCTATTTCGCACACACACATACATAATCGCAGTGCATTAAAACAAATGAAGACCCAGTCCCTCAGTTGTATGCTCGGCCTCTGCAGCCTATAGCAGCTTGTGTCTACGTTTCAGTGGAGACAAACATTGACAGTTTTTAAAGCCTGCATCAGCAGTAGTGACTTATCCTGCTCCTCTGTCCATCTGTTTTGTGTCAGTGCTTATCTGCCTCCCCTTGTTATCTTTATCGTAAACTGTCAGGGTTTTCACATTACTGCACTTTCTCTTACTCATCCCAGGTCATAATCCATTTCAAACTACAGTTCTGTGGAGGATATTTGAGTGAAGTGGAAAACCATAACTTTGCAAAGTTTTAAACAGTGCAGGCCACTGTTTAAAAGTTAGTACATTTAGGGAGTCATTTTCCAGTTAAAGAAGCGGTACCCTGTGCAAAATGATGCATAATGAATAGCCTAAATGTTTATCTTATTCAGTGGGGAGAACACTTGAATAAAACTATTAATGTATCTGCAGTTTTGACTCATTATAGCTGAGATGCCTAACTTTAAAACCATAAGAAATTAAACTGTAATAATATCCATCTTACTACTTTGTGGCTTTTAAACAGTTTGGCGGTCACTAGTTGTCAAATGCATGTATTTTTTGGCCTCTGTCACATCTTTTAGACCAGAAAAAGTGGAAGTGTGGTCTGATTTGTTCACCTCATTTGATGTTTATTCATGAGAACAAAAAGCACCCCAGCTTGTATTTCTATGTTTTTTATAATCCAAATTTCAAAACCGTTCTATTGATATGAATCATTGATTTCTCCTATTGCCCATCCCCTGGACTAGTATCTGGAGTACGTTCCCATGTTACAGTCAACTAATTAAAAAACTGCCTGCAAGTAATCCAAAAGTTCTTTATTCTTTGTAAAACGGCTCAAAGACAGCCCACAGAGTTTTTGCTCTACATGGTCAAAAATCAGTGCTTTGAAACGCATCAGTGTGAGTCTGGTTTTTGTGGCGTATGAAAATAATATTTGCGAGTCTAGTACCTGGTCAAAAGGCCGAGGGTGTCCTTTGTGCTGGCTGTCTGAAGGGACTGACTGAGGAATCCTTTTGAGTCCCTGCTTCTTTGAGATTATGATCTGGCATGCAGGTCAATTCTTAACTTGGCTGCCACACAAGAATCCCTGGAGTATACCTCTTCTCAATTTGCATGGTAAAGAGGGACAGCAAGGGGCAGCGAGGGGCAGCAAGGGCCAGCGCGGCACTTTGAAAGCACTCGTTTAATAAGGAACGATGGCATGGAAAGTGAACAAAGAGACACTGGCTTAACTTCTAAAATGTGGCTTTAGCTTCACTGAAATATTTGGATCGGGGCCACTATAAATGTACTCCGCCTTTTCTGTTCAGAAAATAATTATAAGGTGTGTACATGTATGTTGCGCTCGTCATGTAGCAACTTGATTGCATATCGGACTCAACAATATTGTAAGTAAAAAGCCTTTTATTTCATAGTGATTTAATATGCAAATAATGTGGGTTATTTGATTTTTGTTTTGTTTTTGTACATTTCAAACTTGTTGGCAGCACTGTCTGCAATTTGCTACATCGCTTCACAATCAGTCTGAACTTGATTGTGAAGCAATGTAGCGTGTGCATCCGGTCTTTTCAACTAATTTTTCTCTTAGGGCCAATTTCTTTGCACGGCCATGTGCTCTGGGTCGGATATTTAACAGTAAATATAAAGCTAAAATTTCTAATTTGGTTCCAAGTATTATTTCTCTGGAAACCTGGGCGTAAACCAGGCTTAACCACACTTCTTTTTGAGAGACAAATGAATTCTCACTTGGAGAAAAGAGAACAGATGCTACTGAAGAAAAGGATGTTTTGCTTGCTTGGAATATTGTTTTATTTAAATGTACTTTGTCCAAAATAGATAACATTTTAATTCAAGAATGTACTACTCAGAATTGGATTTCTTTTTGCTAAGAGCTGAATTAGATTGTTTGGAGGATGTCGTTTTCCTAATTGTGATATTAGTTTTCTTAGGTATCACTCGGTCATGTGATTTCAATGTAAATGAATGATAGATAATGTCTTATGGGATGGAGTGATTAAGAAAAAGTGACACATTGGGTTCTCTTCTTTCCTTTGTTGTCTTGTATCTAGTGATATATCCTGTCTGCCAGTATTACTCGCTGTGTCTGAGAAGTTGCCTCTTCTGCTGCAGCTGATGAGTGCATAGAGAGTAGTTGGTGCTTTTCCAGTAAAACAATACCATTTTTCCCCCATGATGTAACTTCCACGTTGGGACCGCTGCTTGGGGCCTGGGCCAGAGCTGCATTGTGTTGGAGCCTCAGGATGTCCTGTTGGGGCTGGACCAGAGCGGAGCGATGGGACGAGCTAGACCAGTGCTTTTTAATGGTGCATTGGACAGTCACACGTTTGGGTGGACACTAGCTGCTGCGAAGGCCTTGTGGATTTTCCCATACAAACATATTTGAGGATACTTTTCCAAAATGGATTTATTTATAATATTTGTTATAATGAAAAAAGCTGCTTTGATTTGACATTGGATTTATTTTGTTTTTTCATTGCTCTCTAAAGACAAGTCATCTGTTTTTTCAATATTGGAATTGTCTCATCCCAAAACTGGATTTATTGATGAAGAAAGCAGTCCTTGGTTGGTATCTACTATAGTATTACATTGGCATTTGCAATATTTTTTCAGTTACTTGGAGTTGGAAAAATGAGACAAATTAAAACCCTCATAACGTTACTTTTAGACACTACTTCTTAGACTATTTGCCTTATTGCTTGAACCCATATCATTCTAGAACCACTCGATACAATTCCTCTGGACAAAAATGTTCTGGTCACAGCGGATCAACAGTCAGTCGTGGAGCTTTTAAGAATAGTATTGTTCGACTAATTACTAGGGTTGTATCGGGTTTTTTTTCTGTATATTTGCTCAATGTTTGAAATACCATTTTGGCTTTCTCATTCAAAATCTGAGTCTTTGAACTCGAGAAATGTCCATTGTTCGTGCAAAGAAAGGTTGAGGAAATGACGGCGGTAGGACTATGACATCACTGATTTACGGCTCGAGTCCCATTTTTGGCGCATCTCTTGCTTCTCTCTGTTTATTTTCCCGTCTGTTTGGTCAAAGCAGGAAGTTTATTGTCCTGTCTGATTACGAACGTATTTACTCGGGCGTTTTGGGCTCATTTTGTCCTTGTTTAAAGACTCACCTCAGGAAACTACTGCCTCTCTAGATTACGCTCCAAAACATACAAGTCTTATCTCGCCCAAATTAAGGTACAAAGTTGTTGTTGGATTCCAAAATGGGAATTTTTGCTTATCATAAAACTGCAGATCGTTGTATTGATTCCAAGGTTACATTTGAGGGAAGTCGGGATGTTAGAATATGGTTCAAAAGTCAATTTACTAACTGTAATTCAACTTACAATGTGGAACTAATAAATGGCAGACTCAGTACCTCCAATGTTGGATAAATCAATTCTTTCTGTTATACTTGTGAAAGCCTCAAATAAAACATTGCAGTAAATTAGGATATTAATCCATAATCATTGAAATTATAACAAACTAAAGGCTTGAGGTAAGTATTAGACTTCATGTATCGTAGTGACTTGTAGTAAATAACAGACTGACAATTTGTATTGTTTTGGGACAAATCTGATGAAAGGTTTTGAATGTGTTGTAGTTATCCCTTTCAACATGTGCAGCTGGGTAGATAACTTTGAATGACTTATTTTGTTTGAGCTGCGAAATCTTTCATCTTAACCGATAAAACCTTCCTCTCCCACAGGAGTGAACTTCAAGGAGGTGAACGAAGACAACAAGCAGAAACTGTTCGGAGAGATCTACACAGCCATCGACACTTTGGCGTTCACCTTTGGCAATGTGTAAGGGACATTCAATGGGACCCGCCTCCTCGTTTTTACAGTCTTTTGTGACCGGTTTGTAAATATCGATCTGTGTTCTTCCTACAGAGTGTCTGACTTCCTTATGGGAGATGTAGAGAACGGATCGGTGTTGGGGCTGCCCCTGACGAAAAGGAGCAGGGTAAGAGAGCTACACTTGAACGCTTTTGAAAACTACTGTATCATAAGATAAGAGATCCTTTATTCGTCCCACAGTGGGGAGATTTCATTGTTGCAGCGCACATACAGGACAGCAGTAAGAGCACATAACGAGCACACAAAATTTACAAAATAAGTAGCTGCTATTTTTCTAAGCTAGCTGTAAATGATTCAATATCAATCTTTTAAAGTATCTATGTATATATTGCAAAGTTATATACATATTTTAATTAAAGTTACATAAAGGTAACATAGATTGGGAACAAAACAGAGCAAAATGTGTTTCCTTGTCTAACAGAGCAATTAACCACCAGAGCACAAGCAAGGTAAATAACTCACATTTTCTAACCCGTTTATCAGCTGGCTTCAGGTTCACAACTTTAGAATGAGGATTGACAAGAACATACTTACTTACTTGACAGAGCTTAAGTTGGCTGGCTGGTGATTCCTATTTTCTCAAAAAAATGTTACCCAGCCCTGCCCCGTATCACACATTTTGGTGAAAGACTCTGTGACTGTTGTAATCGTTCTAAGGCATAGTATTTAGTATTAAAACCTTTAAGATAAAAAGCCACTTTTTCATATTCACAGTATTAACCACCACCTACAGGGCATCATTTATTTTGTATGTTTTATTTCAACGTTTTGGAATGATTTTTCCACTTCCTATACATTTACGGAAATAAAGAGGTCTGATCAACAAGCGCTGAAATGTAAAAAATGTTGCCATGGCGATGTCTAAAGATGTAAGTTCATGCTTGCGCTGCAGGCTGACGTATGTTCTCCAATGTTTTCCGCTTCATTGAATTGATCTGATGTATTGTTGTTTTCCTGCTCCGCGTTGGGTAACCGCAGAGAGGAAGTCTTGTGTCTGATAAGCTAATTTTAGTGTTTTGGAGGGAGTTTTGAGCCTTTAAGGAAAAATCAAACTCAGATTTTTTGTGTTTTTGTTTTGCAGTCTTTTGAGAACCTCTCTGTGGAATCTGGAGTATCTGGTCCGGAGAAAGATGATCCTTCAGGTAAAGACGGTTTGTTGTGACGCACAGCGACTGAACACACTGCTCTGAGAAAGCCTGGGGACAGAATTGCAAAAAAAGATACACATAGTTTACACCAGGGATATTCAAGCATTATGGTATACTAAAAATATCCTCATGTGTCAATTATTTTAAGGTATGTGTAAATAATAATATAGAAATAATTATAGTTGTATCATTAAACATTATCAATATATTTATTATACTATTATTATTTTTTGGCTCTGCAGTCATAATCAAACCTTGCCATAACATCAGATAGTGTCTCCTTTACCACAGAGACATTGATATAGCTAAAGATAATAGCTAATAGACACAATCAGAACTAGAAACTCCTGTAATCCTAAGACGTTTTTATCATAATTTGAGGCACCATGAACTATTATTTTGGGTTAAAAATTGGTATAGAGTCTTGACACTTGTCGCTATTAGTAATGGCTCTTTGCTTGTTGTTGTTGTAGGAATTGTGTCTCATTTTAGTTCTCTTCTATCCATCTCCTCAATCTAGAATGTATTGCGGTTAGTTATCCTAATGTGATGAATAAAAAAATATACGCATTTGTCTTACTGTTATACTAATGTCAGCCCTATACTTTCGTAGGGCCATCTCCACCTGTCCGAGCAGAAGAAGTGGACCAGACTCTGCAGAGACAGGACAGCGGGGTGGACTCAGCACTGCTCTATGCAAAGTCCTGGTCCAAGTACACCAAGGAGCTGCTGGCCTGGGTGGAGAAGAGAGTCAGCACGGGTAAAGATAACAACAAGCACATATGATCATTTTTAACAAGGCATCACTGTAGCAGGTGCCTTTTGAAGAGCTGTTTCAAGGCCATCTTTTACTACAGAGAGCAGTGGAGTTAAACATGTATGGATAATGTAATCTTTATTACTTCAGACTTTAGCTCTAACAGCATATCTGTGGGGAAATCTGTTTATAGAACGGTTAAAGTATTTAGATGTAGATTTATATAGAGACTAAACTACTAAAATAGATGTTCACTGCGATAAATCAGTAAATTGTTACAGGCCAGGATTTGATATATATGCAACAACATCTATGGACATTGGTCTCTGCCCCTTATGGACCAATGGCTCTATATGTTTTATTATGTTGTATTTCTTGTTTGATTCTCTACAATACCGTTGAATTTGCCAACACAGATTAAAGTGCGCTGAGATAACTATTGTTGTGGTTTAGGACTATAAACGAATACATTGAATTGAGTGGAATACAATAGAAAACCAGGCCTCAGTTATTTGTATTCTATCAGACAACAGCTCAACTCTCCTGTTTTGAATAATCATATTCTTTTATCTTTTGTGGTCAAGGCTGTTTAGATTACACAAGAAACAAGTAGAAACTCGTGTAGAAAATAATATGTATCTTACATTATTGTTTATACAATAGTGATTACTACTGTGACATGATTTCTATGACATTCACAGACATCGAGTGTGCCAAGAGCTATTCTAAAATGGCTGAGTCTGCCAAAACGCTGGCGAGTCAACAGGTAATAACATTTACATGCATTCAATAGGAACAAATACCACCTACTTTGTGTGAATAGTTTTGACGTATTGACTTTGTTGTAGGAATTCATGCCGTTTCGGGAGATCTACACCGCTGCCTTCAAGAACGACTCGGAGTACAGTCAGCTGGTTCTGCAGACGGCCGCCATCCTACAAACCCACAAGTTCACACAGGTATATCTAAAGAGGAAGAAACATCTCGTATGGATAGATGTGTGATTTTGTATGTGTTACCAGGTCTATTGAGTGTGTGTTTGTTTCTTTTAGCCTCTTGTGGCTCGAAAGAATGAGCTGGACAAACTACGGAAAGAGGTCAAAGAGCATTGGCAGAGGGAGCTAAAGAAAATGGTGAGTTAATAGACGAACACGATCACTCTCACTTTGTCAGCAACTTTCATCTGCAAATACAAGGATGCGTAGTTGACGTTTTAAAGCTCGGATACCCAATTTTAAACCATAATATGGAATAAAATGAATCTAGTACCATGTAACAAGTTCCTGGCATTACAGCTTGGCTTTGTTTCTATCACCAGTCCACACACATGTGAAGACTCTTCACTGTTCTTTCCCTTACACCTTCCCCTTTTATTTATGTTATTGTTGTTTTTAATTTACATTATGTTTGTTTTGTTTTTTATTCACCCATTTTATTCTCATAGGGAGATAAATACATCATGATTTGTTCATTTAGCTTTAGAACACATTCTGTTGGACAAGCTACTTAAAGCTTAAAGCTAGTATACCTACGTTTTCTTTGTACTGGATTTGTATGAGAATGTATTGCCATAAAGAATGAATATAATTGCATATTTTATGTTTGTGTGTGCAGAACGAGGCAGACTGTGCTCTGAAGAAGGCAAGGCTGCTGCAGGCTCAGCGGCAGGACGAGTACGAGAAGGCCAGAGTGTCCACGAGTCGCCTGGAGGAGGAGCAAGGGGGAGCAGGGGGCACAGCGGGGCTCAAGCAGCTGGAGAGGAGGCGCAGGCTGGAGGAGGAGGCTCTACAGAAGGTGACCCTCCCCTACCACCTCCTGCCCTCTTGCGATGTTTGAACACATATATTTTTTCCCCCCTTTTTTTTTTTACTTTGGCTTTCAGTCAAATGAATGCATCTGCAAATGAATCTTTTCTCGACATTGCATTAGTATTGTTTTGTTTGTCTAAATGTATTTAAACTTTGATTTAGGCGGAAGAGGCCAGAGATCACTGCCAAGCTTGTCAAGTCGATGTCGGTGTCAAGAGAGTGGATTTGACCAAAACCAAAAGTGTCATAGTCGCCCAGCTCCGAGAAATGATCTCCCAGTGCGACCTTACCCTCAAAGCCGTGAGTTCTTCTCTGAAACTAAAGATAATTCTATATGAATGGAGTTGTGACCTTGTATGGGGGTATTCTAGGTGACGGTGAACTGGTTCCAGCTCCAACAGGCACAGGTGGTGTCTCTTCCGGTTAACCACCAGAGCCTGTGTGAAAATGCCAAACTTTACGAGCCGGGACAGCGCTATATTGACTTTGTGAGGAGCTTGCCCACCGACGCACCTCGCCTGGAGTCCCACTCTTTTGAATTTGGGTGAGTGAGGCTTGCTGCAAATGTTTCTTTAAGAGACCCCTACAATATGGATGAAAACTTGCAACCCCCGTTTCAGAATATGATTTACAGCAGTATTGTTGAAAGCATGAAAACATTGCAGTTTAGTTGGTCTTGCATATTATGTTTTCCAATAGGTACTGAAGTGCGTATAGTTTTATCTTGAAATTACCCCTGTCTCTTAATTACCCCTGTCTCTCAGCTCAGTTTAAAGTAGCTCAAGGAAATTATGCTTTTTTTTAAAGTCTAGTCTTGCTTCCACTGCTGTTACAATAATTATACTTTAAGTTGCAAGGCTAGTCGCTACAAACAAGTTATTTTCTTTACAAGCATGTGCTATAATTACTACAATTACACCAAGTTCCACTGTTACTTCTGTCAAGCAACACTATCTTCATAATAATCCTTGTATTTATTGTACAATGTAAATAATACAAGTGTACTATAGATAGAATGGGATCGCCTTTGCTCCGTATTAGCTGTTATGAATAAATGTCATACCAGCTAATACGGATATATAAGCTAATACGGATATATAAGATATCTCTGTTTGAGCTGCAGCGTGAGAACAGCGTTGCATGTGACAAACTGTAAACATTGTAGTTGAAAACACACCCATGTTTCCAGCTCATTTCTTCATGTTGTTGTCGTATCAATGAGATCAAGGAAGTGACAGAGTTGTGTTTTTAGCCCCTTACTGTAGTCAACTTAATGAGAGAGGAGTGAGAGCGTTTGTTTGGAAAACTTTAAAACAATTGAGTCGCTCATAGCTTCCTGCGGAATTGACCCGAGTCACAAGAGAGGAGCAAGAGCTCAACCTTTTCAAAATGACCTTTTTACTTGTTTTTGCACATTATGGCCTTTTCTTTGGAAACTAGGTCAAAACAGTAGTCGTTGTTATTTGGGCGCCTTTTTTGTGATGTGCAAAAAGTAATTAGTAAATTTCAAAAGTAGTGGTCAACTTTTTGGAGATTGGTGGTCTGAGAATGTGTATGTACAAGTGATTTTACAAACGTCTTTATGTGTAAAACTTGGTGAAGATGAATGTAGTGGAACCTTGTTTTGCTCGCCTTGCACACAGTAGAATTACTTACCACACTGTTTTGGCATTTAGTCAAAATAGCCACTTTCCTTTTGAGATGTTTTGCACAGATTTGCTGTAACTCACTCATACTCACAAACAGATGCTTATGAGAGCTTGCTTTGTTCTTTTTTTCCCTTTTTACCCCCCACCCCCAGCTGTGATCTCGGTGATCAAAGGGCTCGAGCCTGGGAGCGAGGAAATGAAACTTGGGCAAAATAACACGGCACAACGGGTTAAATTTAGATGCTTTGACTTAATATTTTACACATTGTGAGCTATTTTTGGCTCTTTACACTGACTACAGACCATAGTTACTGTGTGCTTGTGACACAATGAAGAGGCAGTTCTTTACCTTTTTTCCCAATTCTTTCAGCATCTGTTAATCAGTGCTCAGCTTTAATCAACTGCAAGCTTTGAAGATATTCTCTCAAATCATAATCCTTTTATGATGGGATAATGCAATATTTCTGTTTCTCAATTTTGCCGTTCTGATAACAGAAATAGTGTATCAACATTTGAATCCAACATAACATAACATTGTTGAATAGATTAGAAGTTAATTCATTACAATATCAGTGATAATCAAATAGTAGCTGCAACAACTGAACAAATGCTACAGTGTTAGTAATTTAAACTTTATTTTTTTACTAACAAATGCTGGATTTTTGCATTGTCGGTTAATAAGAATGTCTTTATTTTTCCAGCGTGATTTTCAACAAGCGATCGCTCAGTGGAAGTCATTCATCCAATAGTAACCTGTCCCAGAATTCAGTGACCTCTGACATCATCAGTCCAGACGAAGTGGACAGCCCCTGCAGCGCACAACACCCAAAGATCTCAGAGAGAAGATCTAACAGCAGCATAGACACACAAGGTACACACAGACACACAAGGTACACACAGACACACAAGGTACACACAGACACACAAGATACACACAGACACACAAGGTACACACAGGCACACAAGTTACACAGAGACACACAAGGTACATACATACACACAAAGTACATACAGAAACACAATGTAGACACTGACACGCAAGGTAGACAGACACACAAGGTACAGTAGACACAGACACACAAGGTACACACAGACACACCTTATGTGTCAGTGTAATGACTTTTTTATATAATTAGGTCATTAACAGTATTCACAATAGTAGAAATAAATAATGTAGTTGAATTGAATTGTAGATCTACTTTGTATCCAAAGTATGTAAAAATGCATTTGAGGACACATTTGAGTATTCCACACAAAACCTGAATTTCAGGTACCTAACTTTCAAACCACAATCAAATGGAACTATTCAATCTTGTCTCTAGGGCTGTCAGTGTGGTTCTTTCACTAGTTTTCACTTGTTCACTGTCTTTGGCCCCTCATCGCTTTAAATCAACTCTATCAAACAAGAGAAGACCACTACTCAGCCAATCAAATGGTGACTCGCAGGGTTGTTCCTCAAACAAGATCTTTAATAATAACAGAAATTGTTGTGGTTTGATTTTGTTCACAAACCTTTATTTTATCCGCGGGATGTATCATTTATGAAAAAGAAGTGAGATACCCGAGCTTTAATTATTACTACAAGTTATAATCATCCATCCATTCAGACATTAGAATTATTCAACAAGCTCTCTGAAAAGTACTTACAAGTCATAAACATATGTATTAAGAGCCATTAAGAAAATTATCTATACGGATAATCAGTTGCAGATTTGTATAATTTAAATTTGAGCTGTTGAATCTTGTCTCATTTGTGGATGTGTTTGTTTAAGCTCTTCGGATACAGACTCCTTTCCAGCCCTGGACTTCCACCAATCAGGGCGGAGGCATGTGTAGCGACTCTGAAAGTGCCGGAGGGAGCAGCGAGTCTCGGTCGATGGATTCCCCGACTGCCAGCCCAGGTAGAGACCGCAAAACGTCTCTGTTTTGACACAGAATCCGATGGTTCCAGACAGCTCCATTGCACAAGTCGTACATCATTGAATGCTTATTGACTGTTTCATGTTTTATCAATCTGACATGCCAATCACAGTCAAACGTTTTCCCAAATTCTTTATGTGCATAGACTTGTCCAAAACCTGTCCCACTGCTAATCCTTGTATCATTATGCTTTTTGGCTCGATGTCATTGATAAAACAACCGCATATCAGACCAAGGATATGGCATGCTCTTTGCCTGTGTTTCTTTGGGTGTGTTCACTGATATCCGATGGAACTCATCCAGAGACGTTACCGTGTCGCTTGGGAATCTAACTCCACGGCAAGTTAGAACTGTGCAATATTAAGCAACTGAAACTGCTAGATTAAAAACAACATCGTCATTGCGAGTGCCAATAAGTCCCTATTACTCGAGTTTTTCAACTTTTCTGAGTGGCGTCTCCTCTGATTAATACTAGATACATCTTACCTAAGACCTCAAGTCATTTAATTTCACTCATTCCGATACCCAAAAAAAATCTAAACCAAAAGGTGTCTTTCTTACAAGAATCATTTTGTTATATTTTAGTTAAATATTTACAAAAAATCCTGGAATACATTACTTTTATTTCCTTCATACCACATTTTGTGTTTCAACAAGTTGTGGCATAGGCCAAAAAATACATGCATCAGAAAACTAGTGATCGATATTGTTTTGAGAGCAAGGGATTTTATACATGCGGCAATTATTGTGGTTTGAAAGTTGGGTATCCATCTTTAAATAGTTCAATGTCTTCTCATAGTATTTGTAAACTGTAAAATACACTGTACATTTGCATCCAGACTAGAATGTTTGACAATACAACAAATCCACAATCATCACTGGCATTTCAAAACAATCTCCTTTAATGGCTCTTAATGTGGAGCCAGTTCGCAAATCAACAGAAAGTGTTAATGTGTTAATCACCAACAATCTCCTCAAATGTGACGACTGGCCAGTGACCACACCTGGTGATTGGTATAAATTCAGAAAGCTGTCTGGAAACGCTGATCACTTCAACTCTTTACAACCACTGAAATGTAGAGAGGGAGAAGTTTTGATATCCTTCGGCCAAAATGACGATTAAAGTGTGCACGTTCTTTTGTGCTGTGCCGTATTGTTCAGGGGACTTCAAGAGGCGGTTACCCAGAACCCCTTCCACTGGCACAATGTCGTCGGCGGATGATTTGGACGAGAGAGAGCCTCCGTCCCCTTCAGACAATGGTGGGTGTCTTTGTCTCTTTCATTAGTAGTAAAGAGAAACAAAATACCAGGTCTATATTCAGATTGTATATTTAATGCATTATTTCTTATTAAGGAAGAGCTCACCTGTTTGGGAAATGTATTGTCTTAAAGCTGGAGAACTTTAAAAGACTCTCTAATTTGCATGCAGGAAAATTGATCAATACTAATTTAAATGACCCTTAAAAAAATTGTAACAAACGTGATGGTGTCCGTTAATTTTATTTTAATTAAACTTGAGAAAAAAAGAATGATGGTCTGCTATCACATTTAATTGGTTTACTATCTGAAAGTATCACTTTGTTTTTATTCTTTGTTAAAAAAAAGAAGAATCTATTAATCAAATGTGCATTTGAAAATATTCAGACTAACTTCCATGTAGCTCATTCTCAAAGGATCACGTTCGTTACAAAATATAAACAGCCACTATAGGAAACTTCTAGCAACTTCTAATGGACAGAAGAGGTATTTGGATAAATGAAAAACATGATCTTTTGATTTTTAAAATAAAATTTTTGGCTTTTTGTCACACTTTTGTACCTTTTAAGTGTGAACAAGCCCATTTAACATTTGTGTGGTTTGAAAGTTATAAATCCCAGCTTTAAGTATTGTGTGACTAGTCATAAACGTCTAGAATGCCGTCAAAGATTTGAGATAAGAAAAACAAATCCATCTATCCTATTGAGAGTACCAAGCATAGACGATACCCTGACAAAGAATCATTCTGAATATGACAAGATAGTTTAGCAGTTTTCTCATTGACGGCCAATAGTAAATTACACTAACTTACTAAATTACACAACCCTTTTCCACTGTATTTATTGACACCCACATGACTGCTTACTCTGTGTACATTCTATGCATCGTTGCCGTGTTTTCTTATGTAATTTGGGAACAAAGGTTCATAGCGCTGTGTCCTCTGTCTCGCCGCAGGCCTGAATGACATTGTAATGGAGACAGCCAGCTCTCCGGGACCCTTTCGGAACACACAGATGTCCAAAGCCGCGCAGACTCACAAGCTGCGAAAGCTACGCGCTCCCTCCAAGTGTAGAGAGTGTGACGGGCTGGTGGTGTTCCACGGGGCAGAGTGCGAAGAGGTAACCACGGTTTCTTTTATTTTTACAATTAAAAAAAACTGTGTAAAAGAATGCAGCTCTCCAGTTCAGATCAAGAGGTGTCCACAGCTTTGAGTGGATTTGAAGTTTAATTTGAGCATTGCCAATGCCTTGCACAATGAGCTCTTTATTATTCATGTTGAGCAGAAATCAAACAAAAAGAAAAGCGCTGGGACCACCTCTCGTTTCATCAAAACATCCAAATAAAAGAGAAAGTTGAAGCTGGCCACAAGCGCCTCACTGGGACCAAAATGTAGGAGCAGGGGAAACTGAAGACCTTTTGTTCATCTTCAAAAATGCCCCTCTGTCTCATGTTTATTTTAGCCTCAAGTTTCTGTCCAAATTTCATGAACAATAGCAAAAAAGAGGCAGGGATTCCTGAGGTGATGTAATGCCTTCTTTGCATGTTGACAAGTGACTGACATAGGAATGTACAAAGTTTATTATTTATTTCTGTGAATGTTCTAGTTCAAAAGGTGAGTCCATGACAGTCTTCAATTAAGTTTGACCGAGAGCTACATCATTCTTGTATACAGCCTTCTTTCATAACCACAAACAACACATATACATTTCTGCGGATGGATACGGCTCATACTCTGATTGTGGATTAAGTTGAGGCTTTGTTAAGTTGCTATTGATATTATTGATACACAAGAACAAACTAACATTGTTTTTTTCCAACTGAAAAAAGTTGGCAAGTCTTGTAAACTGTTGACTTGTAAACTGACTAGAAACATGTCATATTTTGCATACTTAAGAGCCTTGTGAGTCACTATTTTACTCCTTGGGCGGAGAGCTTATTGGCTGAGTCAGAATTGTCCTCCTTTACACTTATCCGTCTGAAAAGCAGATCTGAGGATGTGACAGAAATAGGAAAACTAGAGACAGAACTGTTTTGAGCGCGATGAGCTAGTTAGATGGGTGGTATTACACACTTCTATTAGATATTTGTATGTTGATTTTGCATTGCTGTTGATTTATTTTTGTTGCAATAATAGGAATAAATACATATTCTTTTGTACAGTGTTCTTTGGCGTGCCATAAGAAGTGCCTGGAAACGCTGGCTATCCAATGCGGCCATAAGAAACTCCAGGGAAGACTTCACCTGTTTGGCATTGACTTCACACAAGCTGCAAAAAACTGTCCAGACGGTGTCCCCTTCATTATAAAGAAATGCACCTCTGAGATTGAGAACAGGGCCCTCAATATTAAGGTACATATTAAAATCATATACAAAATGAAGTATTTTTCATTGGAAGAAACTATAATTAAAGAACATAAATATTGTGATTTGTGCATTCAAAGGGTATCTATCGTGTCAACGGTGCCAAATCCAGGGTTGAGAAGTTGTGCCAAGCGTTCGAAAATGGGAAAGACCTGGTGGAGCTTTCTGAACTCTATCCACATGACATTAGCAACGTTCTTAAACTATATCTTAGACAGGTAAGCTCAAATATTAGTAAAAGTACATGTTTTTATGCAATTTACAAGGCAGCACTGGAAGCTCACATTGAATATTTGTCTTGTCTATGATGACTAACTGCATAGAGTTTATATCTGATCTATTGATACAAATAAACTACCCATTTGTTTGGTAAATCATCTTCCTTTGTTATCCTCCATTTCAGTGAATGGAGAAATCAATAATAAATTACACTCATAATTAGTGCGATAATGGCTAAGAATAAGCCATTTTCATAGCATATACCACTGAGATGCATAGACTACATTGGTTTGTGAGTTTATTGTTAAGCCTATTGTTAATTGTTATCTTATTAATCCTAATGTTAAGCGTGTTCTGTCTCATTTGTCTAATCCTTTGTTTTGACATATTTGCTTTTTTTGTGAACCCTCCTCTGCAGCTTCCAGAGCCGCTCATCCTGTTCCGCTACTACAACGACTTTATAGGTTTAGCCAAAGAGAGCCAGCGGATCATAGTGGAGGAGCTGGAGGCCTCCAAGCTCAGCCCCACGCCCGTGTCCCCGTCTCAGGTCAGCGTGGAGCTCAACCGCGTCCTGTTCAAAATCAAAGACCTCCTCAGACAGCTGCCACCGAAGCACTACAAGACCCTGCAGTTTCTGATCCAGCATTTGCACCGGTGAGAAATGTTTGATATGAAAAGAAGGATTGCTATAATTGCTAATTGAGACTAAACCGTTAAAGTACTTTTAAAGCAGGGGTAGCAAACTTTCAAATCACAAGAAATGAAATAAAAATGTCAATACAAATATCAATTGAATTAATCTTAAAACAGTTCTGTTCTATAACAAGCTGTTGGTTTTTCAGTATAATAATAAAGTTTCTGTCCATACAGTGTCTCTGAAAAATCAGAAGAAAACAAAATGACCGCCAGTAACCTGGGTATCATCTTTGGGCCGACCCTGATCAAACCTCGGCAGGCGGACGCAGAGGTGTCCCTGTCCTCCCTGGTGGATTACCCCTACCAGGCGCTGATAGTGGAGCTCCTCATCCGCCACTATCAGATGGTCTTCGATACTCCCCTCAGTCCCCTGGGCTGCAGCTCCCCGCGGGCGATAAAGGGACGACCAAGACTTAGCGCACGGGAGAAGGAGCAGCAGCTGAGCAGGCATTCGAAGTCTATGGGGGACATCAAAGAGGTGAGAGACTCTTCGCCATGTAACAAATGAGAATCTGGGGTTCCTGAATTTCACATCATGCAGTGTTGTTGATGCGCTACACTTTGTTTGCTCTCTGTGACACTGACAATACATCGAATCTTGAAATTGAATATTTAAGTTCTTAGTCTATTGCAATAATAAAAGGATATCTATTACCGTTATGTTGTTATATGAAATTGGTGATGCACAATCAAAACAAAGCACAACAAAACCACACCTGCACAACACACAGACTCATACATACACGCCCACATGCACACACAATCATTCACACCCATATATTATAACAGATCAATACACATAAGGATAAAGACCATATTACAACATTAGAAAAAACGGTAAATCAGACAGTACGAAACAAAACATACCTTGAAAGTAAATAATAATATTAAAATAATGCATATACATTTCTAATGACAAACCTTATTATAATGATGATAACAAAAGAGACCGACAGAATTAGAGGAGTGTACAACCAATCTTGCAATAAAAGTAAATTTGGTATTACAATAATGCAATGTTTTTACGTTTATTATTATAGATTTATTATTTATATCATAGGTCTGTAATATGCTCCTAAATCAAACATAGAAACTACATAAAATTACTAATTTCTCATAAAACAATCAACTCTGGAACTGGATTGATAGTCCCGGGAAATAGTTTGAATAATAATGACATTGAAAACATATTTCCAAGTCAATACGATGTTACAGAACAGAATGTGCTTTCTCGCCACAGAATGTAATCTGTGAACGCATTGTTATTTGTTTATCAACAGCAGAGCTCTAAAGTCTACAAGAGGCACTCCTCCATCATTCCCTCGTCACACCTCCTGGCTGAGGTTCAAGAGAGCATGCCGAGCCTCGATGGGACTGACTTCCAACCCGGTGTGTGTTCCCACTTTTTCACAATGAGGTTTTATTTACAATCATCTGGATTAATTGGTTGTTTAATCCAATTTGAAAAACAAAAAAACATCCATTCATTTGTGGTAAAATGTATGAAATAAAACTATGACAAATATTTATGGATATTAGCTGGAAAAATATATTGGATGGGAATTTGTTCAGGCTTATGTTTAGAATGTTTACCAGTTTTGTCAGTCAATAGAAAATAAAGTTTAATAATATAATATGTCATATGTAACTTTGGTAAAAACAACTGACTTTAAACAGATGAGAAAATATATTTTATCAGATGTAAAGTTTTTACTGTATGTGACGGATCTTGTACAGATGATGTTATGTGACTGTCAGTCCAAGGCAATAATCAAAATAATAATAATGACTGATAAAAATAAAAAAATACAAAATTAAATATAAAAATAAAAATAATGAATAATAATAATTGTAAGCCTGTCTGCTTTGTTGAATCATGTCTAACTTTGACTTGTCTTTTCTCAGGAGATGATGTGGATTCCCTGAACGGCCATCTGTCTTCAAGTGTCCCCGATGTCCCCAAGACGCCTGGCCTCTCTCGCTCCCATCAGGTGACTGTTACCAAAGTCCAGCTCCGTCACCAGCGCCATAAGCTGCCTTCAGGCTTCTTAACCCGGCCCGTCAGCATGCCCCCTGAGCGGGTACAAGCAGACGACAGCCCCGACGACCCCAAATGGAGTCAGTCTATCCAAGAGGTGGACGAAACCGAAACCACGCAAGTGCGGGGCTGTGCCACTTCTCATTACCGCAGGACATTTATCGACACGCAAACTCTACGGAGAACTTGGGATAAACAGTATAAACACCACGATGTATCGACACGAACTGTTAAAATCATGCCGACGGAAAGCACGGAAGGAAATAAGCAAGGTCCCCCACAGACTATTGGCATCATTTACCCAAGTCGGCCTTATTCAATCGCAGTCCGGCCCAATCGTAGTCTGAAGAGGGAGGACAATACTAAAGGTAGCCCGCTTTCTGGAGGATTCAGAGCGCCTAGGACTTTACAACCACCGCCAGGAACTTTTTACAAACCGCCATCCGCGAATAAAGTGTTGCAAAAGTTTAACTCGATAAACAGCGCAGAGGATGAAGATGAGGATGATGACGAGGAGGAGGAGTTAGGTTTAGAGATTGAGGTGTCAGTGGACGAGCCTTTAGATGAGGACAATGAAGTGGACCAGGCAGATTCTTCGGAGTCCCTCAGTCCGAGTCCGGAGGAGATGGGTTCAGATCAGGGAAAACCGGTGTTTCCGAGGCTCCGCACCAGAAGGTTACAGGATGTAGAGCACAGGGAAGCGCATTTTGTGTGATCGTAAAATTGACTTTTAGAATGGACATTGGGGGATATGCTGTTTTGCTCATGACGTTGGAATGCATTTGGATTCATGTTTAGCCAAATCTTTATTCATCCATAATTGGAGGCATGTCATTTAGGAATGTCAAATTTAGAGAGTCCAGGGATGTCAAAGTCAAATACATCAGAGGGCCAAAGAAAAATGTTCTACAAGCCGAGATTTATTAAAACATATTAAAATTATTGCATCTAACATATTGGACCAAGACCTAACACAGTGTACCCTATTTTATTTATTGATTAATGAAAAATCCAATATTTATTCAGTAATTCAGAAAACATTTTTCAACACCTCACAGACAAAAAACACATGCCCTGAACAGTAAATGAATGATCCAATATTTTCTTATGGCTCTGTGCGGGCCGGTTCTAATACTAATGAAATATCATCCCAGTGGCCAAGATGATTAATTTGAAAATCTTTGGCCAACCACTGCCCTAATACCATCAATGACATGCTTATTATGGCAAGATAAAAAAAAAAGTCAAATGTCTCCCAATGTTGTGGGCATTGTTGCAAAAAGGCCAGATTAACTGTGGTCATTGTTTTATGTGTAAATATGATATTCTTGGTTCCAAATGACAAGATGCACTTATTAAGCTGACATTGTTTAACACTATTCATTTCATTTCCAATCATTTGTTACATTAGACTCTGGCACACTGTCAGAATATTTATGATCCTCTATTTTTTAATGACCTGTGCAATTTTACCCTTTAATGTATCATTACTTTGTGTCAGTTGTTGTGTGAGATTTTGTTTATATACCAAAAAGTATGTTTGAATCAGTAGAGTGTGTAGCTGAAACAATGTAAAATATAAAAGAATAATGTTCAATGCACTTAGCTGCCATACGTTCACACCAGTATTTTTAACTGTTACACTTGGGTTACAACACATCATTTAGTTTCATGTTTAGGAACAAGCATAAGGAGTTTTATTATTACTATTATTATTATTATTATTTTATTATTATTATTACATGCAAATCAGCTGAAACCGAACAAACCAACAAACTTCACCTCTGCAAAGTCACACAATATATTTGTACTTATTTTTTACTTCTTTCAACACTAGTTTTATAACGTACAGTACAATATTTGTGTATATGCTAATTTTTGTTTTTTTTTCTCCTTTGGTCGAAATGTTCTTTGTAAAAACAGGTACATGAAAACATACACCCTTTTGTAACTTATTAAAAAAAGGCTTTGACTAGTTCTGGCCAAAAATTTGTGGTTTTATGTTATTGTGTCTATGACTGTGACAGTGAGTTGTTTTGTCATTCCGCCCTGGGACAGACTGATAAAAACATGGCTCTCTTTGATTACACCACAGCTTCACTCATTGTCTAAAATAATTATCTTTTAGGAAGGTCCTGGGTTCGAATCTCGGGCAGAACAGGGTCTTTCTGAATGGAGTTGTATGTTCTCCTGATGTCTGTGTAGGTTTCCTCCAGGTGCTTAAGTTTCCCCTACCAGTCAAAACATGAGCTACACACGAGGTAAAATTCACCCGAGTGATTTTGCAAGATGGGTCAATTTCAAAATATATCTTTATAATTAAGACAAAACCGTTCACATACAGTGGGGGGTCTGGGATAGGTGCATAACTGCTTATTCTGAAGGTTGTGGCCTGAAGTCTTTATCACTGTTCTACTGCAAGCATATTCTGGAAAATTATACTTCAAAAGATCAATTGTCCCGTTCAGTACTGTGGTGACTATATCTAAAGGTCAGGTATGATTCCATATTATAGATAGGCAAACTCACAACACATTTTTTAATATTTATTTAATTTGAACACAATAAAAAAACCTAAATAAATACACATGCAGATTGGCTTTATTAAAACTGGAGTAGCATTCAAACCACCCAAAAAATAAATGATAATGTCGCTCATACATGTATTTTTGAAATATACACAGTTACATACATACATGCTTTACATTAATCCCATAATCACAATGCAAAAGTAATGATGCATGGCTTAGAAAAATTAATGTTATATTATTATTATTATTATTGTATTATTATTAGTTTAGCGCGTAGAGGGAGGGCTGTTGGGTCATGTAGGTGTTAGAGGCTGCAGCAGAGAGAAGGAGATTAAATCAATCTGCTTAACTATTCACAAGGTCTGTCTAATTCACGGCTGTGTTAGCAATCTACACCGCGGCTACAGCACGTTGAGGATGTCTACTGAAGAAAAAACACAGCAAACTCATTTATATTTGTTAATCTGAGGTGAGTCGTTTCAGTTTTTACAATTATACAATATGGGTAACAATACTTCGGCCGTTTTTATCAGTGCATCGCAATTAGCATGGCCATTAAACAGTGCTAAACTAATCATGCAAAATTCAATCAAATAACAAATGTTTTAATGACGTTGACTAAACGCAGCTCAAACTAGAGTTAGTCACGTGACGAGGCGTGAGCTCATTATGAAAGTGCTATCTTTACGCAGAATTATCACCACAGATATGACGCTTTGAATCCTCTGTCCCTGCATTCTTATTCGCAGTTAAAGCTGGGATACCTTATTTTCAGACAACACAAATGTAACTGTGTAGCGTTAAAGGTATAGAGGTGGGTTTTCTACTTCTGGGTGGTTCGTCCAGACTATTGGTCCTCCCAGTTGTCAATCATTCTGGTGATGCGTGCTCGTCAGATAAGACCATTGATATTTAATAATGAGACCAGATCTGTATTTTTGGATTTCAAACATAGCCTGTAACAAATCAGTTCTCAGCCCATAGCATGCAATTATAACTCACTTTACTCTTTCTTATAATTAGGTACAATAGAACCTGTATTCCAATTAGACCAAGAGTACATGTTGTGGTCTGATTTGTTCACTACTACTTCCACTACCACTACTAATACAACTGCTACTACAACTACAACAACTACTGCTACTGCTGCTTCTACAACTACTGCTGCTACTGCTACTACTACTATTACTAATACAACTACAACAACTACTACTAATTCAACTGTGATTACAAATACAACTACTACTGCTGCTGCTACTACAACTACTGCGGCTACTACTACTACTACTACTATAGCCACTACTTCGCTACTACTACTACTACTACTACTACTACTACTACTACTACTACTACTGCTGCTACTACCACAACTACTACTGCTGCTACTAGTACTTCTACTTCTACTACTACTGCTACTGCTACTACTACTTTTGCTGCTGCTACCACTACTACTACTACTACTACCACAACTACTACTGCTGCTACTACTACTACTACTACTACTACTACTACTGCTGCTGCTACTACCACAACTACTACTGCTGCTACTAGTACTTCTACTTCTACTACTACTACTTCTAAGACTCGTTCTGTAAAGTCATTCAACATGTGTTATTTACTGTATGACAACGTTTTGGGATACTGAATAAGAAGGATATAACAATAGTTAACATGTTTAGTTAATATTTAGTCTATGCAGTTAACACCCCAACAGAAAAGTTATGCAATGTACTGTAACTTTAAACTCATGGTGTTGATAATTAGGTTGTTTCCTGGTGGATGCCATTCCCTGTGGAAGACAGGAGCCATGGGGGCCGGAGGGCAGCTGCGGCTCCTGCTGTGGAAGAACTGGACCATCCGCAAAAGGCAGAGGGTATAATGAGATCCAATTAAATACATAACGCTCGTCATAATCACCTGTTATTATAGGAATGTTAAATCATTAACAGGACATTGATGAGGGTGTACACAGATGGGCCTTTAGAACATATAAAAAAAACAAAACACTTTTAAATATGAACAAGGCCAGTTTATTTATATCACAATTCATGCTTAAGGAAACCAAAAGTTCTTTGTAAAACAAGGCAAGCATATGCATGTGCCCATGTGTAATTCCCAGTGTTTTTGCTTGAGATTTAACAATCTGTTTTGAGTAATGAGTTAAATGAGGCAATACTAAGTTGGAACATATGGCTGTACTATTACACAATCTTTCAATATACCTTTTATTTACGATAAAGATAATATTAAATATTGTTAATATTCAGCAAGCAATGATCAGTATAAATTTTTTAAAAAAACATTCTATCTGTCTCTTCCCTTATTAATTCTCACATGTGATAAATATCTATTATCTATTATTATCTAATATCTATATTTGATTTTGACACAGATGCGGTTCTTGATAGAGATCCTGTGGCCTGTCTTTCTGTTTATGGGACTAGTTTGGCTCAGAAGTGTGAATCCTCTTTACCGTCAACATGAGTGTAAGTACTCTCCCTCTGACCCTGGGTTTGGGAAATGTCCATGACATGATCGCCATGTTCACAAGAAGGACAGTCATTAGTATAGTTGTTCGGTATTGTGATGCTCGGTCAATATTGAACTTCACAGGGAAATATGCCGGTATATTATGGAGCAATGCTATTGATTTTCAGAAGGACTGGAATTTTTAGTCTTTGAACATATTTGACATATGATATATTATGTTTTTACATTTGCCCAATGTTTCAAATATAAGTCATCCAAACTTGCATTGTACTTGGACTTTATAGTGCCAATCAGATTAAAAGACTCCTCGACTGTACCTTCAATTCAATTCAATTCCATTTATTTTGATATTGCCCTAAATCCCAATAGTACTTATTTCGCTGGACTCTACACAACCATTGATTTCACCAACACAGATTAGAGAATCAAACCGTTCAAACACAAGAAATGCACTCATAGTATTTAATAGAATCTCCAAATACTGCTCTAGTCCCATCCCTCGTTGACCCTGTCCAAAACATGTTGGCTTTGGTCAGCCGCCCCAGTGCTGATAACATGTTCTGTACTTTAGGCCACTTTCCAAACAAAGCCTTGCCCTCCGCTGGGGTCCTGCCGTGGATCCAGGGAATCTTCTGCAATGCCAACAACCCGTGTTTCCAGTTCCCGACTCGCGGAGAGTCGCCCGGCCTCGTGTCCAACTACAACAACTCCATGTAAACACCCATTCCGCTATCTAGAACATCTAGAACACAACTAGCAATGCAGAGATTTTAAGACTTAAATATGTCTTAAAACAGATGTGTCTGTTTTACTCACATACAGGTTGAGTTCAGGACTTGTAACTTTTCATGTTCAATATTTATTATTTGCTAATTTTCTTTGCATTATTGGACAGATTTTTCTTGGAAGTGAAAAGGTTTGAGCTGTAGTCGATAAATATTGTGTCTCCATAGTATTCTTTTTCCTGCAGGTCATATCTTTTTAATGATACTGCATATTTAAAATGTTTTCTTTAGTGTAATTGTGTCATTGTCATAAAGTAGTTTAAATATATAATAGCTGTGCTTGAAGCTTCACACACAGATTTCATTGTCATGGTCATATTTGGGAGATTATGAACGATATACAATAAGTCATTTTTGTTAAAAAACGTGTTTTCTTGTTCCAAATGATAACTAAGCCACTCTGATGGGATGTGCAGTTTATGCAAGGTGGCCCAGGAATTTACTTAAACTGGAGGCTTTTTGCCAAGAATACTGGACAGCTTTACCATTGTAGAGGAGAAAGAACCTCATCTACAACTACCTCTAAATACTCTAAAAAAGCTTCATAGATGTTAAAGGAGAAATACACAATACTGTTAACTGGGGGATGGAGACTTCTGATCAAGGCCATAAGAATCATTTCTGTCTTTATTGTAATTTGAAAATAGAAAACGTCTGGCTACACATAGCAGGTTGTTTTTCTTTTGTGTGATAGTTCAGTACTATCTCTGTGTTTTGTGGTCAGTCTGGCGCGGCTGTACGCAGACGCCCAGGAGCTGCTGCTCTCGGAGCCAGAGTTCCAAAAGCTCGGACAGATGTGGACGGAACTCACCACCATGAGCGACTTCATGGAGACGCTGCGCACACGGCCCGAGCGCGTCGCAGGTCAGTGACACAACACAGGAACCAGCATTCACTTTCAAACATGTGTCTCATATACAACATAGTAGATCTATACAATATTGTAAATGTGTGAAACTTGTAAACATGTAAAAGAAACTTAATGAAGCTAAGTTACAATAACACTCGCAGCAGACATTGATTTCCCACAGAGGGTGAGGAACCAGTGCTTGAATCTGATTTTTTTTTACTGGTTACTGAACGTTTATTGTTCCTTTTCAGTGTGTTAATCATTTTCTAAAAAGGGTTTCTAGGCTACATGCATTCTTTTAAACTCTGGTTTTCATCATGAGGCTGCTGAGAAAAACACTTCAGAAGCCAAAGCTTTCAAAACAGCTTGTAATTAGCTCCAAAATATTTTTGTCAAAGCCAGTTTTTTTGGTACTAGTAGAACAAGAATAGATCCATCACACATAGAGTGGAATATATCAAGCATTCACAGTTTGTATAAAACAAAATGTTCTCTAAATGACAGAAATTAAAATTAAAAGACAAAACAAAAATGACACAATGATAAAATGCCTAAAATAAAACCTCATCCAGAACAATAACAGCTCAGTATTAAAAGCTATTGTCTAAATATATGACCCATCTACACTGAATGGATAATATTTTCAAATTGTAAGCATGTAGCATTACATCATATGCTCTCTTTTACGTTTAGCAAAACAATCTATACACTTGTTATGTATACTTTTAAATACAACACTCCATAAATACAAATGCTCCACTGTCTCTAAAGGCCTCATTTTGCTTCACACATATTTCAGTCAGTGCGGTCTCTGATTGTCGCGTCTGTCTCGCTGTATATCTATCCAATGTAACAAGATTACATCAACTGCTTCGAGGGCGGCTCGTAACCTAAGCTCATTACTATCACCTCACTGTTGTTTATGTAGTGGTAAAACTGTTCTCACGCCCCTTCAGACAGAGGAACTATAGAAACATGGTCTTTATCTATACGCATTAACATATGTTGGATGAATCTGGAGGCTCTTAGTACTGATGCATTCCCGTCTGTGAATTCTGTCAATCAATAACATTTGTCGAGTCTGAACAAAGTTAACATGGACATATCCAGACCCATTCCTTTGTCTAATAGTTATTCTAATTAGTTACATATGTGGAGACAATGCAGCAAATCGATACTGACTTAGAGACTGATGACTGATGTATTTCTTCAATTGCACTGTCACATGAAAACTAGCCAAGTTGCGCCGCTGTTAACATACAGCTCAAACCAAAGCTATAAAAGATAACAGATAAGGAAAATTAGAAGAAGATTTTGTTTACCTCTTATGACATTTCCTAACTATTTAAAGATGCGCAGCGCTGATTTTTGTGTGTTATTTTGGCCCATCATTGTTTGAAGTTGTATTTTGAGTGGTGCAGCTGCAGGAAGGATGAACTTCTCCAGTTTATAAAGACATTTTCCTTTTAGTTTCCTGCTATCTTTTCCCACTTTCTTCTATTGTCTGTGTTACAATACAATACAATACAATTTATTCTTGTATAGCCCTAGGTCACAACAGAAGTCATCTCAGAGGACTTAACAAAACCATTGAAATCACCAACACAGGTCAGAGAATCAACAGCCAAAACACATGGAGAATATAAAGCACACACAGAAGAAAATGTCCATACATGTTGTAGAATGCTAAAGTGTCCTGATCATCACCAATCCTTTCTGTTGGACACTAACTGTCCAACAAGACCCTCCTGCATCGACAAGGAAAAACTCTTAAAAAACCCAGTGGGAAAAAGTGAGAAACCTTGGGGAGCACTAGGGAAACCCACAGGGAGGGAGACCCATATGAGAAAGGGATCCGCTCCTCCGGACGGACAGGCTAATGATCCAGGACCTAAGCTAGCTACAGAACGTGGACCAGTGGCCGCTGAACGTGGACAGGTCCGGTGCAGGACCGAAGCACTCCCAGGCGGGTCGGGCGGGGCAGTCCGCAGGTGTAGATGGAGGAGGCCAGGCTCAGAGATCCCGTCATCGTACCATGAAACAGACAATGGGACAACGGGTGAATAGCAATGAACAAACTACAGTCAGAATCCTAAAAGTGCTAAACAGATAAAGTAGATAAAGTAGGAAGGAGGAGAGGATAGTGCTCAAGTTACCATACTTCTCCCAGCAAACTGACTCCCTATGCAGCTTGACTGACAGTCTGAGGAGTTTAGCCTTCCCTGAGTCTTACCTTCGTAGCCATATGCTAAACTAAAGAGGACTGTTTTAAACCTAGCCTTGAATAAAGAGATTCATGGATTGCACACCAGGTGTGCAAACCGATCCAAGCAAACCTAATTATATATTATATCATATACATCATATATACCATACATACCATATATATCATATATAATACACAACATAACATACAGCATAATATATAACATAATATACAACATAACACAATACATTATTGTATAATATATAACATAATACAGCATACATATATAACATATACACCATATATTATATATTACCTAATTATATGCTAAATTAAAGTAAAGTGCTTTAAGCCTGGCCTTGAATGTGGAGACCGTATCTGCTTCCTTAACATAAATGGGAAGCTGATTCCACAGTAAAGGAGCTTGGTAGCTAAATGCTCTGCCACCAACAGTGACCTTTGAGACCTTAGGGACCACCAGACGTCTGGCGTTTTGTGAGCGCAACGCTCGACTTGGTTGATACGACACTAACGTGTCTTGGAGATAAGAAGGAGCCAAGCCATTTATGGCTTTATATGTTAAGAGAAGGATTTTAAACTTTATTCTGTACTCCACAAGGAGCCAGTGGAGTGATTTTAACACCGGAGTTATGTGCTCCCTCCTTTTGGTACCTGTTAAGATCCTAGCTGCTGTATTCTGAACGAGCTGGAAGCTCTTCAAAGACGCTTTAGGGCACGCTGCCAATAAAGCGTTACAGTAGTCGAGCCTTGAGGTGAAAAACGCGTGAATAAGTTTTTCCGCGTCACTTTTAGGAAGGAAATTCCTAATTTTAGCGATGTTCCGTAGGTGGAAGTACGCCGTTTTAGTTGCTTGGCTTATATAAGCCTTGAAGGAGAGTTCTTGGTCAAAAATGACTCCAAGATTCCTCACAGTGTTACTGGGTATAATACTGACATTATCGAGAGTAATTATCTGGTTAGTGAGGGAGTCACGCAGGCGCTTCGGACCGAGTAGGATCACTTCTGTCTTCTCCGGGTTGAGAAGTAGGAAGTTAAGAGTCATCCACATTTTAAGGTCCTTTATGCAGGCACTGAGCTTTTCCAGCTGATCTGTCTGATTTGGCTTCATCGACAGATAAAGCTGTGTGTCATCTGCATAGCAGTGGAAATTAATTCCATGCTTTTTAATAATGTTTCCTAATGGCAGCATGTAGAGAGTAAAAAGAATCGGTCCGAGTACCGAACCCTGCGGCACACCGAATTCTACTCCAGAATAAGGTGACGAGTTCTGATTTACGTTGACGAAGTGATACCGATCTGATAAATAGGATTTAAACCAGCCAAGGGCTGTTCCTCTAAGACCTATATCACATTCTAGCCTCTGCAGTAGAATGCTGTGGTCTATTGTGTCAAATGCAGCACTAAGGTCCAGTAGGACCAGCACTGACACTTCAGCAGCTAGTAGTAAGTCATTTGTGACTTTGACTAGTGCCGTTTCAGTGCTATGATGAGCTCTGAATCCTGATTGAAAGACTTCAAACATATTATTTTCCTGCAGGTGGCAGCGAAGCTGCTCAGCTATAAGTTTTTCCAGGATTTTAGATATAAAAGTGAGGTTTGAGATCGGTCTGTAGTTTGTAAGTATTTCTGGGTCCAGGTTTGTTTTCTTCAAAAGGGGTTTGATAACCGCGGTTTTAAAAGCTTGTGGGACATAGCCACATTGTATGGATGCGTTTATTATATTTACGATAGGCTCAATTATCACAGGAAGTATGTCTTTGAAGAGCCAAGTCGGGACTGCGTCTAACATGCAAGTTGAGGCTTTTGAGGATGTGACCACAGAGATCACCTCTGCTTGGCTCACAGCCATGAATTTATCGAGGCCCACTGAAGAGTCTAAGTGGGAAGTCACGTATGCCGCTTCAGCCTGTCCACTACCAACAGCCGGAGTAACCTTCTCCAGTTTGTCACGGATGGATGTAATTTTATTATTAAAGAAGTGGAGAAAGTCGACACTGCTCAGTGAGCTTGGAATTTTAGGCTCGATTGCGCTATGGCAGTTTGTGAGTTTAGCGACGGTGCTAAACAAAAATCTACTGTTATTTTTATTCGCTTCTATTAAAGTTGAATAGTATTGAGTTCGAGCCCTGCGAAGGGCATTCTTATAGTTTCGGAGACCTGCTTTCCACTCCCTGTGGACAGGCTCCGAGTGGGAGTGGCGATATAGCCTCTCCAATTTTCTGACGTCCTGTTTTAAAGTGTGGAGTTGAACACTGTACCAGGGCGACGATGATCTAATCCTAATAGTTTTCTGTTTTAAAGGAGCTGCTGCATTTAATGCAGATTTTAAAGACTCCATAGTGTTGTCCACCGTTTGGTCAATGACTGAGGGACTGCAGCAGCTGTGAACAGGTTCACCTGCAGCAGTATTCAACATAGGCTGTATTAGTTCTTTGAACCTTGTGATAGATTTATCATTTAAGGTTCTTTTCATTATGGTTTTATCTTGCGGGACAGGAAAGTCCTCCAAATCGAGATCAAACGTGATCAAGAAATGGTCAGACAGCAACGAGCTTTGACGCTGGATGTCAACATTGGAGACATCACAGCCGTAGGTCAGGACAAGGTCCAAGGTGTGGTTATGAATGTGAGTAGGTTCCTCAACATTCTGAGTAAAACCAACACCATCTAGTACGGCGCTGAAAGCTTTGTTTAAGCTGTCAGTGCTGTCGTCCACATGTATATTGAAGTCTCCAGTTATAACTATGTTTTCCCATTCCAAAACTAGGTTTGAAATGAAGTCAGAGATTTCTGTTAGGAACTCGCTGTAAGGACCAGGAGGTTGGTATAAAACTATAAATAGCACCGCTTTTTGTTTTCTCCACCCAGGACAGGTGATTGAAAGTGTTAAGTTTTCAAACGAGTGAAAAGCATTGTTGGTTTTGGGACTAAGAACTAAGTTGGTGTGTGATATAATCGCAACACCACCGCCGCGACCTGTAGTTCTCGCTTTCTGGTAGTTAACATGCGTCGGAGGAGTGCACTCATTCAATCTAACGTAGTCGTCCTGTTGGAGCCAAGTCTCCGAGAGTGCAAACAAATCCAAGCCCTTGTCTATAATAAGTTTGTTTATGAGAAGCGATTTAGACGAGATTGATCTGACGTTCATTAAACCACATTTAACAACCCTACTATTAGAACTATTTCTGTCTGTCTGAACTTTTATTAAGTTACTGTGTCTGACACCCAGGTCAGATTTCCTCGCATATAGTGCTTTAGACTTCAAGCGAGGAACACACACAGTTTCAATCTGACTAGGTTCTGAGGCTAGTAACTGAGCACACACAGGCAATGCTTTGTTGTTGCCATTGGAGATTACAGAAACACTGTACTGCTGTTATCTAGGTCTTGTATCTGGATAAATGCCACAGAAGCACTTGGTTTGGCAGCGCAAACCTCCTTCGTGCGCGGACTTGCCGGGGGAAACTATGACGCATTTTAACAAACCAACCTGTCATTTGCGTTGTAGGTACTTTAATACGGCGGGTTTCACAACTTGAACAAAGCATAAGTCATTAATACGGATTATTGCAAATGTAACAGTAAGACAGTATGCTCAAAGGGGTGACAGAAAATGGTGTCACAATAGTTATAAAAGATCTGTTAAAGAAATGATTCTGTGTGTGCAATGTATCCTTGATGTCTCAATGTGGTTTTTTTTGTGTTGATGAAAACTGAGACTCCTGACTGACTGGAAGGATGACAGTTCAAATCCTGCCCTCAAACAAACAAATAAAAGATACTTGAGCGGTAAATGGCGCTTCACTTACCGAGTTTTGAGAATGGACAACATGAGGAAATAATGAATACAGCTGTTATTTATTATCCATCATTCTGTAGACTCGTAGTGGTTTTCAAGATACACAAAGTAACGGCAATACATTGTAGCCACAACAGGACATGAGGTCGCACAACCAAAGTACAGACTCGTTTGAGGAGTGTCCGAACTCAAATAAGATACAATACAAGTAGGAATTAGGGGGCAGGGATGACAAGGTGTGGGATAACGCAGAAATGTTGTGGCTTTTTATTTTTAACACTATTTAGATGGCGAAAAAACACCCAAGAAAAGGATATTGTGAAAGGGGCCCCATTTACTCATGTGTCTTTTCACCATTTGTGCTATAAAGAAGCCCAATTTACTGTTTGTCTGTGTCGCTCCTTCACTTTCATCCCCTCTTACCTGTTGTTGTAACTTTTTGTGTTTTTAACTATTTTATTGTTTTTAATTACTTGTGTGATTCTTATGTTTTTAAATTACTTATGTGATTTTAATGCTTTTTAATTACATATGTGTTTTTAATTGTATTTTAATGGTGATGATTTGTGCATTGTGTGGTGTGGACTGTGAGGCGCTTTGTGTTGCCCTGTGCAGGAAAAGCGCCCTATAAATAAAGATTGATTGATTGATTGATTGATTACGTACGGTTGTCTCATATTTTTTATAATTTGGGCGTCATGGTGCACTCTCGCTTCTCAGCAATAAGGTTTTCCTGGTCGGAACAGGGCATATCTGAGTGGAGTGTTCTCCCCGTGTCTGCATAGGTTTCCTCAGGTACTCCGGTTTCCCCTACCACTTAAAACATGTGCATAGTTCAGGGTGAATGAATGAGTGAGTGTGTATGTGAGTGCGAATGTGGGACAACGGATGCAAATTAGCCCATGGCTATAAACCAGAGTGATGTGTTCATTAACTCATTGCCTGCCAGCCCATTTCAGAACAGGTACTTCCATATTGCCACCAATTTCTGATGAGTTTTATTGATTTTTCAAGACCCACAGGATATTGTGTACTATGACTATCTGAAATACAAAACCAGATTCTGAAAGAATGGACTGTCTACTTTCACCAGAAAAAAAGAATTTTGTTTCAAGCTTGTTTCGTTCCCCAGTCGAGTAGAGGGAAGTTTTACTGAAATCACCCGTCTATGACAAAAAGCTGAGAATGTTTTGAAAGCATCCTGTTTTCAAAACATACAGAGGCAGCGCTTGTGCCACCTGCTGGCTCGATAAAATATGCTCTAAAGCTAATCCCCATACATATTAGATATAATAGACATCTGGGAACATGAAAATAGTGAAAACTGTCTTAACACGTCAATGGCAGACAATGAGTTAACATGTACTGTCCCAACCAAATAAATAATAATAAATAAATTCAAGTTACCAAAAGTCACAGCAAGAGAGATGCTCAAAAGAATGTTGATCATCATTATTAACCTAATATAATTGATTTCATTGCTTAGTTGTATTACATTTTGTCTTGTTTTTTAGCTATACAATCTCTAGTGACATCAAAAATTACTATTATTCTGTAGTTAAAAATAAGATTGTAGACTGAGAAAGAAATAAATCAAATCACTCTGGTATTAATATTGGTGTCAAGTATTGGGCCTATTCCTCTGTATCAAAATCCAATTTGTAAATATAGTATTGTCACATTCGTAATATTAGAAGTGCCAACCTCAGTGTCGTGTGTGAAGACAGGGCAAAAGTTTTCATTGACCTTACTTTGTAGCTAACCTTTCCCAAAGAATTCACAATAAAACGTCCTCACAGGTCGCGGAGTGAAGGTGGAGAGCATACTGAAGGATGACGAGATGTTGACTTCATTTCTGTTGAGAGACATCCCACTGACGCACACGGTCGTGAACCATCTGGTGACAGCCAGAATCAGGCCTGAGCAGGTACCATCAAAGAAGACATTCACAGATAACACTGGCTCCATACAACACAGACACTAGCTTCAAACTGATGAGCTGCAATTAGTCAAGAATTCTAGCTTCAGTTTTGTGTAACACTACATCAGACAATCTCAGAAAATGACATCATGCTAAATAAATGTAAATACTAATTAGATGAAAAGTTAAGTTTGGCTCTCACCTTTTTGAGAATTGACAATATTTCTTTTTCTTCTGGGATATGTTCAAGATCCTAATTAGTTGTAATAGTTTATTTGAGCAGTTTTACAATGTTTTTTTTACAGGTTCATATGATTGCAAAAAGTAATATTATAATTATATACATCTTTTTGATGCAAACAAAATCATAATTATCAGTTTTTTTACTTGGTAGTAGATAGCACTCTCGCTTCTCAGCAAGAAGGTTAGGGGTTCAAATCCTGTTTGGAACAGGGTCTTTCTGAGTGGAGTTTACCCCTGCCTGAGTAAGTTTCCTCTGGGTGCTCCGGTTTCCCCCTAAAACTAAAACTATGTACAATAGGTATGAACGTCATGAGTGAGTGAATGGAGGGTGTTGATTGGGGGTTTTGACGCACCAGTGTGTTTGGCGTCTCGCTTCAGTCATCACCGTGTGTGAATGGAAAAATATCTGATTTCATTGTGAAGCTCTTTGGGTGACCTTGGTCTGTAAAATGCGCTATATAAAAAAACATTACTGTCTTACTTACATACTTTGATATTTTTAGAACGTCAAAGAAGTCCATGCCATTCAATGTATTCACAGGTGTAATGGAGTTTCATACATTACTTTGGTCACTTTTTGTCCATGTTCCAGTTTGCCTCTGGAGTTCCTGACCTTCATCTGAAAGACATCGCCTGCAGTTTGAACCTTCTGGAACGCTTTCTTGTGTTTTCGAGCCGCAAAGGTCTCTACGCCGTCCGCAACGCCATGTGCATCCTCACCCCGCAGAGACTACAGATCATCGAGGACAAGTTTTACGCCAATGTGGACTTTTTCAAGGTTTTCAAGCTGGTCAGTAAAACTATTTTTGAATAAGACAACAGTTTTATTTGTTCTTGTTTTAAATTATGTTTTGTCAACCAACCATAGACCAATCCTCATTCCTGCGTTTTTTTTGGGATTCCTAGAAAAGCAAGAGAAACCCTACTAATATTCTAGCTAACTGATATACTTTCCAAGAATAACCTTTTGGATCTGACACAGAGCTGGGCCAAACTTGGGCAGTGATGGGTAAATAAGCTGTTTTTTTCTGGAACTAGAAATAGACAGTGCACATGCCAACTTTGGCTTTGCTGAGGGAAATGTCATCACTGCAAAAATAAGTCAAAATGTATCTTGATTTTTAACACATTTTGACTGCATTTAAACAAGATTTGCTAATGGGATCTGCAAAATTAAAAAGGTACTCAAAAGAATCACCTGGTTCAAGCAATATTACCTCATTTTTGATCATTTTTTGCAGTGATTGGAGTCCATACAACTCCATTGACCATTCAGTTTCACGACATAAAAACATTCTATGTGTACATTATTAAAAAAAATCAATACAATCACAGCTATATATTTTGGACATGGTGTACTTTTGTTATTTACTTTGGATTCAGCTCAGGTTTGATGCCATGTGAACATCGTCTGTGTGAGCTGTCACAAAACCAAACTAGCTGCAGCAGGCTCCAGGCTCAGGCCATGAGACACATAAAAACTGTCAGCAGGTGTGAGTGGCTCTGAGTCACACAACAACACACACATTTCTTCAATAAAAACAACTGTTCAATAGCTTGATATGAACACTGAATCTTAGCATGAAGTCTTCCAATAGAACAGCAATGAAGACTGATAGAGTCACAAAAATAGTTTTGAAATGTTTCTCAATAAATATATATATATTTTCTTAAGTTTTATGGGATATTGTCTGTTTTAAGGCTATGCAACATAAATTGGATTTATCTTATCTAAACATTTCTAAGGCAATTCTCCACAGTCATTGTTATTTCCTTTGCATCCCCTCTTTATGTGTCTTCAAAGTTGCATATTTTGGGTTCAACCACTTTTATTTTCTGTTAATGTATATGTTCATTCTAAATTAGTTGTAGAATTGTGAACTTGTGAAAGAGTGGATTTACTGGTCCAGACAGACTTGACCTCTTTCTTTAATTAGCTCAGACACACTTGTCTCTTTTCGACGGATGGAAAGTAAACAAGGCGAGCTCAGGATAAGCCTCAAAGACAATGAGAAGGCAATAGGCCAAAACAGCCTCTCTTACTTTACATCTGACTAGCTTAATGCAAACTTTGTTATGGTTGGAATCTGTCTGGATTTGACACGACTGTGCTTATTGCTGTTTTTTTGCAGCAATAAGCATTTTTATTGTTTAGTTACAGAAAACAGGACACATGTTCCTTTGCAATTATTTTTTATTCAGTTGTTCCCTTCCCTCAGATGTGTTGAGCATAACACTCTATTCTTTCCACAACACATTTCCACCTTGCACTTTACAACATTTTAATTGATTGTATTTGATTATGAAGTAGCCTGACCAGCCAGCCCTGCCTACATTTCTTACACGCGTGGGTCTGGATGGCCTGTCGAGAAGAGCTGAAGCACTCCCATTGCTCAGCAGGAAGGCCCTGGGAGTGAAGTTTGTCTGTTCTCCTTGTGTCTGTGTAGGTTTTCCTACACAGGCACATACAATAGGTGAAATAATAATAATAGTAATAATGTATCGGTTTTATATAGCGCTTTTTTGGACACCCAAAGACGCTTTACATGTCATTATTCATTCACTCCATACACGGTGGTGATAAACTACTACTGTATCCACAGCTGCCCTGGGGCACACTGACAGAAGCGAGGCAACCAGTATGTGCCATCGGCCCCTCCGACCACCACTAACCATTCACACACACACCAGACTCATTCTAGGCAATGGGGGTAAAGTGTCTTGTATTTCACATGCTTCACTTTTATAAATGTGAATCAATCCCATATTTACCGAGCGCTGAAGACCCTGACGCGTCTTTCCCACATTGAGTGAGTGAGGAAGTGCAAAGGAAGGATGTCTTTCCCTGGTCCCTGCGCCTTGGCCTCGGCTGCTTCCTGCACCTTTAGCCCATTGTGTTTGTGGTGAATGGAAGATCTCTGAGTAAACCAGCGGATCCTCAGGAGAAAGCAGTGTCAGCAGATAAAGTTTCCCGCTGTTGTGACAAACATTGAACATATGAATGGAGAGATTCAGTCATTTCCTCCCAGCAGAGTCAAAATGAATCAACATACTGTATACAATTTACACAGGTTTAGACTTTTACACGGTCGTAGAAAAATTCAACAAAATGTATAAATATCTATCATCTATCAGCCTATACATGGCATTCATCTGTAAATAAGTAAATACTGCAATGTGCTATGAGCAATACTGCAACTACAGAATCTCTACAGAATGTCACTTTATCTCAGAATCAGAATCAGAATCAGAATCATTTTTATTGCCAACGTAAGTAACGGGAGGTCACAGACTTGGAAATTGCTTTGGCTCAGTGCAACAGTCAAAAAGAGATAATAAAAATAAGAATAAAAAACACTTCTAAAGAATAAATTTAAATTTAAAATAGAGTTACAGTTACTATTTACAATATACAAGTGCACATGGTGCACACAATGTAAGGTGACAGCAGTACAGTGAAGTAAAGTGACGTATGATGGGCAGTAAAGTGACTTTATAAAGGGCGGGGGGACAGGTTAAGAAGTGTTCAAGAGTCCAACAGCAGAGGGGAAGAAACTGTTCTTGTGGCGGGAGGTTCTAGTCCTGATGTACCGCAGCCTCCTGCCTGAGGGGAGTGGTTGGAATAGTCCATGTGCAGGGTGAGAGGGGTCGGCTGTGATACGACCAGCCCGGCCTCGAGCTCGGGCGACGTACAGGTCCTGCAGCGATGGAAGGCTGCGGCCGATCACTTCCTCTGCAGAGCGCACAATGCGCTAGGGTTAGGGTTAGGGTTAGCCCTAACCCTAACCCTAACCCTAACCCTAACCCTAACCCTAACCCTAACCCTAACCCTAACCCTAACCCTAACCCTAACCCTAACCCTAACCCTAACCCTAACCCTAACCCTAACCCTTATCTACTTATTACCTTACCCTATATGTATATAACTGCACTATATATTAGATATTTTGGCAGATTGGCATTGAAGCATTTACAGATAGCTAAAAAACATGGCAGCCACTTATTTTGTATATTTTGTGTGCTCCTGTGTGCTCTTACTACTGTTCTGTAAGTGCGCTGCAACATTGAAATTTTGTCCTCAAAAATAATTTGAAATATGAATACAATTTTACATTCGCATTACATAAAAATTTAATTTCAACAAAGAATTATGCAACTTTGGACTTAACCTGTGTATATTTATTTTTTATCAACGTCAAATTTCTGAAAGGAATCTCCAATGATTGGCTTTGAAAAGTTTGTATCTGCGGCTTTGAGAATGTGAGAGATTGTTTATCTACTAACTTGTTTAATTGCTATCAGTGATTGCTCATTTACATACTATAAAGGAGTCCATTATTATATTTTTCTAGCTTCCTCCTGTGTTTGAAGACAACTCCAGTGGCATCGACATTCGCCTGTGGGTGCGTGTCATCTCTGCCGTCTCTGAAAAACTTGGAGAGGTGAGTTTGAACCACCGCCGTATTGAAAAGTTCACCTCCCTATATTTAGCTGCTCAGGAAACAGTTGCTTCCTCTCTCTTGGGTTTTTACGCAAACGCAGACAGTGGGAGCCTATTTATTACGTGTGAGCGAGGCTAAATCCAGAGTCATGTTCAAGACAGATTGATCAACAACATGGGATCAAATAGGAACAACACCGGAGCCTAAATAAGCAAGTTAAATCTACTATAATAACTTTCGAGTTTTTCCTATCATTCTTCCTGGATGCGGTTTGTTTTGGTGTACACACACAATGGAAATTCAATTGGCTTTCACTAACTCATCTGTAATATTCCTATATTTAAACAATATTTTAATGTTATTTAATCAGTGCACTCAATCGGTTTTCAAGTTGATATAACCTTAATGAAGACATTTAATATGGTCATGTAGAATTCTAGCTCATTATATATTTAGTACATTTGAAACCTCAATAATATTTGAATAACTATGAAAGATACATACTTCCGTATTAACCAAAAGTTGGATCTGCACCCCTTTGAGCTTAAAGGTCCTATATTTTGCTTTTCTTAATTTTTTACAGTCCATCCTATGTGGGAGAATAACTTGAGTTATACATGATACAACAGTGTCTTATGACAAGGAAAAACAACTGCAATGAAACGTTGATTAAGTATTAAATACAGATACTTATTACATCTCCTTTTACCTAAATGACAACAATCATGAATCATATGATGACATTCCTATACTTACTGTTAGTTTGAGTCTCATCATCCCTATGTGATGATGAGACTTTCTGGATGAGCAATATCAGCAGACTTCATCAGACTCCTATCAGTAATTTTGCCTTGGTAATTTAAACAAGATGTCTAACGCAAAAGAATATTAATTTTCAATGAAAATCAGAAGTGAAATTTCACACTTTTCCAAGTATGTGAGATAGAGATCGATCATGAAGCATTAAAAGAACAGTTAAAGGACCATTTCGTAAAAATGAAATTACCTAATAAAACATTGAACTGAGTTTCTGGCATACAGTATCTCTGTACAGAAATGGTTTAAAGGTTTAAAGTGACTTACTAAACATGTATGTATCTACAGTTGTTCCGGAGGAACAGTTCCCAGGAGCTGCTGCAGGTTTTGACCCCTCTTTTCCAAAGCGACCTGTCCTTCAGAGGACTGATGTCCGCAGCCTCCAGCCTCGTCTGTGGATACACTGAGGGGGCCTTCTCCAGAGTCACCTCCTTCAACTGGTACGAGGACAACAACTACAAAGCCTTTCTGGGAATCGGCAGTCGCAACACCCAAGGACACTACACCTACGACAACAGCACAAGTGAGTCCACTCAAAGAATGAAAATATCAATATTTGTTAATTTGAGATTCTTGAAGCAACACATCAGACAGTTAACATGCTACATAGTCATACCTGTATATTGGTTGGGTGGCTGGATTAAATTTAGACATATTGTTTTGGCTCAAAACTAGCTGAACTGCAAGCAAGAGTTAGATGTGGAATACCAGAACCAATTGGAGAGAGTTGAAGACTGAACATAGATATCAAACTATCGAACAAAGATCACAAATATTTGATGACTAATAGACGTTTTCAAACAAACATTGTCTACTGAATCAGATTATTTATAAAGGTTTAACAAACATATATTATAACTTAATTTACCCAACTTTGAGCATTCTAGAGGGTATCTTTTTTATGTATTTATTTTCTTCCAGCACCTTTCTGTAACGACATGATGAAAGAGCTGGAGTCAAACCCTGCTACACGGATTGTGTGGAGCTCAGTGAAGCCGATGTTAATGGGGCAGATCCTCTACGCACCAGACTCTCCAGCCATCAGAAAGATCATCAAAAATGTAAGTGTCAAAAAGTTAATGAGTCCAAAGTTTGAGCACTTGAATGAAATAATGCAAACGAATCACCTCAACACATTAGAATAGCCGTCGGTTTCAGAAGAAATTTAAAGTCATTAAATGGCCCTAATATGTCAAAAGGTATTAATAAACCATGCTCTTTTTGAATACTTCTTCAACTGATGACAATAGTTCAACCGAAATATTCAAATTTCAACCTTGGTTTTACAGCCCCTCAAACTTGTTATTGTTTTGATTTCGATGTCTCGCCCTCCACCGTTTTATCAATCAAAAAGTATGTGATCTGGGTTGCCAGAACGTCAAGCTAATCTCACTGGTAAAGTAACATGTCAGAACAAAAAATGGTCTTGTTATGATTCTCAAATAATTTATGACAAAACAAGGAACAAACAAGGATTTATATTGGGGGCTTTGTGAAAAAGGTTATAGATTTGTTGTTGGCAAAACTCTCGTCTGCATATCTGGCAACTTGAGTCAGGGAGAGTGGAGAGAGGTTGCAGACAGCACCACTTTTGTGCCTCTATGTGTGCATACAAAGTTGTACTCAAGTTTTACCTCCAAGTTTGATTCAATTCATGCCACCCTTCCACACATTTTGTCCAAAAAGGAGGATCAGTTTTCCGCAGACTTGTTCAGTGCATTGTAAGTGGATGTTGATACGTGCCTCTCAATGCCCTATAGGGGATAGCCAGTCACGGATGGCCAAGCCGCTATAGAAGCACACAAGCTGATCGGCTGTAGTGACTAGGCCATAGTCCAGTGGCGCCATAGCTTTTCTGTGTTATGTAAGCAGTGGAGTCTGTCTTAAAAGGCCTGCGCACAAAGAAAACCACACACTCAAGTTTCCGCTTTTTGGATTTGTAATACCCTCTTTGTTTTGTTCTCTGTTAGATTTGAGGAAGAGATTGGGATCTTAATTGCACTAAGAAAGTAATGGCTAAGAGGTTAATCTGTTACTTTAAAGATTGTAAACATAGGCAGACATAAACAATCCTGGTACTGCATTTTTCCCCCAGAAGCAACCAATCACTTACTGTTATGGTATTACTGAGACGGTTGCTATGACGCAATACGGATAATCCTATCTCTGCTTCTTATCATCCTTTTCTAAATAGTCATGGATTTTCTTGCAAGACTGTATTCCTTTAATGGATATAGTGGAAAGGGATGAGAAAATCTTACATAAGGAGTTGAACTAAATAACTAAATAACAACTCTTATATTTTTAGTTTTGAAGCAATACTTTGACTTCAGGAAACAACCACTGACATGTAGTGCATGTTTTCAGAGTATTTTTGCGGATTTAAAGACTACAAATGTGTTTGTGCCGTGACATGTTCTTCTTCTAATGTAAATCATTCTTTCACACATGTGCAGCTGATGGATGAAGACTATAGTAAAAAACTGGAAATGGTAGCCTTTCCTTCTGTCAATCTGCTCATGAGGTTAGGCTCTGAGTTCAGACGGTGAGGGGAAATTAAGTTATTCATGAAATGATGTTGATCAGATGGATGGTTACATTTCTCAGCTTTTTGCCTTTTGATAGTTGTTAATCCCTGGTCATTTACACTCTCAAAGCTGTTTTAACGTGATTCATCCATTTTGCATTATACAAATATATAAAACATCCGCCGTTGCTCTCCCCTCAGTCCTCTGACTAACCTGGCCCCTCCCCTGGGTTTTACTTACTTCATTTGGAACATTTTTCTGAATTGCCTTCACCTAAATCCTTTTTTACTCCAAGAAATGCAATGTGGAAATTAACAACAACCATGATCCGAAAGTGTTTCTCTTATACAACCGCAATACTCACTAAATGTGCAATTTCTGTCTGATTTATGACAACGAGTCAGTTACAATTCTCTATGTGCAGAGCAAAATGACTTGTATTCTATAGAATGGCCTGGGCTGCAGTCTTGTACCAATTACTGCAGAAACCTTCCCTAAAATGTTGCTCTTTCTTTTACTTTGTTTATTTTTTTTGACTACTTCTTCTGGGAATGAGGAAGCTCTCTGTGGTGGGAACCTCACTGGGATTCACTGCCACGCTCAATGCACCGGGCCTAGTTTTTCACCAACCGCCTCCATTGTCACCCGGGCCCCATTGTCCTCATTGTCACCCAAAATCAGACACACACAAGGCGAAGGCGTTTAATTGGGTGTACTCTTAAGCACTTTCATCCCCCCACATGCCTGAATACCAAAATAGCCAGTGGTTAATTTAGCCACAGCAAAACACTGTACTGCAACATGCAATTTGTCTCAGCTATAAGCCAACACTATGGGAATCACAAGATACCTTCAATTTAATGAGGATTAAACATTGAACTCTTTAGATTAATTTCTCCACTCTGTTTTTGACTGTTGCTTATTAACTCCTCTGCACATCTTTCCTGATGGAGTCCTTTACAATCTTATTGCTTTTCTTGGATTGTTACCTCATTTTCATTGTTCATAAACAACACTTTAATTCCTGTGTGTCACTATTTAAATGTCCTCTCTTTTAAACGTTTTTGTGTAAAAAAGCTGCTCTAAAGTTCAAAGTGAGTTCAAAAATACGTAAATGTGAAAACTAGTTATAGAACCAAACTGTTTTGAGAGATGTGTACTTGTTGATTCCATGACATAAACGTTAAATAGTTGTCAGGTACCCCAGCTTTAATGTCACACAAAAACAAAACTGTTTCCAAATCAAGTGTTTAAGAAATACAAGAATTTGCTGCTAGGTCATAAAAGTAAATTTTGATAGCTCCACCCATGTAAAGAAGCTGCAGAGTTGTGTTGTAGGTTGCTGGTTATCAGGCCAGGCCCACGGGAAAGCTGCTCTGTGTGTGAGAATGGGTCTGTTGTCTTTGCAAATCCTGTTTTCGGGTGGTTTAATGTGGGAATGGTATGTAGCGGCAGATTAGACGTGTGACAGCAGTGGATTTGACATTGAGGAACACAAGGTCAAAGCGATTGGGGCTATCAGCTTTTATACAATTTACAATACAATTTATTCTTGTATAGCCCTAAGTCACAACAGAAGTCATCTCAGAGGACTTAACAAAACCATTGAAATCACCAACACAGATCAGAGAATCAACAGTGAAAACACATGAAAAATATAAAGCACACAAAATGTCCACATGTTGTAGAATGCTAAAGTGTCCTGATCATCACCAATCCTTTCTGTTGGACACTAACTATCCAACAAGACCCTCCTGCATCGACAAGGAAAAACTCTTAAAAAACCCTGTGGGAAAAAGTGAGAAACCTTGGGGAGACCTAGGGAAACCCACAGGGAGGGAGACCCATTTGAGAAAGGGATCCGCTCCTCCGGACGGACAGGCTAATAGGACCTAAGCTAGCTACAGAACGTGGACCAGTGGCCTCTGAACGTGGACAGGTCCGGTGCAGGACTGAAGCACTCCCAGGCGGGTCGGGCAGGGCAGTCCGCAGGTGTAGATGGAGGAGGCCAGGCTCAGAGGTCCCGTCATCGCACCATGAAACAGACAATGGGACAACGGGTGAATAGCAATGAACAAACTACAGTCAAAATCCTAATAATGCTAAATAGGTAAAGTAGGAAGGAGGAGAGGATAGTGCTCAAGTTACCATACTTTTCTATGTTCAAAGACATTGCTTCTCAAAATGTGCTATAGTTTTATTTTTGTAGTTATGATCAAAACAATAAAGATGCCCTTCAATCTATGCAGCGTATTCTGTATTGGTCTAAACAAGTGAAATTACTCTTAACATGTTTTATCAAATTTAACTGATTTGTCGTCCTCTCTTCCAGGCCAATACTACCTTCGAGGAGCTGGAGAGGCTGCGGACTATGGGGAAAGCCTGGGAAGAGGTGGCTCCGCAAATCTGGTCTTTCTTTCAAGACGGCGTCCAGGTCAAGATGATCCGGGTACGACACACATCATGCCATTGAACCAATACTTTGATTTGGAAGTCACAACTTTTATGTCCACATCTTCTAAAGAAAAAATGAAACTATTTACGGCAGCAGAAACACATCCATCCACATAAACATCAATAAATACATAAGTTCCTCACAATAGTACTAAAGTGCACATCTTTAACTCGGACAGATCTGTTTTATAGTCTACCAGCCGAAGGAACAATGAATCTGTGAATAATAATCTCAAAAAGTAAATTTGACATCATTTCTAATTTCAGTCTAAGTTCTATTTGGAGACAAACTATCAACTTTTCTCTGTGTTGTTTTTTGACACTGAGATCTTTCCAAAGAAGATTGATTATGCTGTTTTTTTACCCTGTTCCTTTACTGCAAACCTATTTTCACACAAATCTTTCCATGCAGGTGAGCGCTGCACTATATCCGCAAATCTGTCACCATTTTCCCCTTTCAATGTATTGTGTGCTTTCAAGTTGACCTCTTTTTCAAAGTATTTTAAGACCAGACCAATTTTGTCACAGTTTTTTTTCCGCTGTGCATCACTCTCTATCATAATACTGCCTTTTCCTGTCGATGTGGGCTACTATTTGACTTTTGACTCTTTACACATTCACACCTGGCTGTCTCCTTGATGAAACGACCTTCCTGCTATAGTTACATGCTTTGTTTTGGCGCTCCATGGAGATACAGCACCGTCCTTGGTTTGTCCTAGAGTATGGCTTAATCCTCAGTTTAGGTATTTTGATCATTTAAAGGGGAATTATGTAGTAAAAAGTACAAAAAGAACATGTCCAGTTCTAAACAATCTTTCTGTATTCATGAAAAATAAAGAAAATAAGCAAGCACAAGGACAAAATATATTTTAATCTAACAACAGTATAATAATTGGATAAGTACTAATACTCCACAGATATATTATAAATTGTAGTAATCTTGCAGAGAAGAAGTGTTAACAGCTTTAGCCCTGCTTTCGACATGTCACTTATGACAGCTTTTAAGTTGAGTCCTTTTTTTCTCTTTTGTAGTCTGACTTTATTTGCTGAATTGCTTAAAAACACAACTTTAATACAAGTGTCTTTGCATCCTCTCTGATCAGATATGTCTAGAGATAGAGCAGTTTAATTTATTTTTTTTGCCAAAAAAATCCAAAATACCAACATGAATTTAAGCAAAAAATGGACTTCATTCATCCATGTTCTTCCTTTCTGCAGTCTCACACCTGAATTGAGAATATGGTAAAAGGTGGTGTGAGTGTGCGAAAAGTTTCCTCATAGAAAAAATATAGTCTATTTTTGCCGACTTAAATAAACTTGCTTAAATGCTCTCGCCTTGATCAACTGGGGAAGACCGCAGACATGCTGAAGGGAACACAGACTCTCCTCTGGAGAAGTTAAATAGTGCATCTTTGCATTGCATAAACTATATCCAGGAATTATGTGTAAGGCAATTGGTAAACTGCTGCTTGATCAACTCAAAGTAGAGGAGGGTCCACATCTTTTGCATTTAAGTATTTTGTCTTGTGTCTGTGTTGTAGGATACCATCTCCAACCCTTCTGTGATGGATTTTATTGACAGGAGTTTGGAAAAGGTTCCATTTTCCTCCAAACACATCCTCAACTTTCTGTACAATGGTCCACCAGAGGAGAGGCCTGAGGGATTACCCAATTACGACTGGCGAGATTTTTTCAACCTCATTGATCGAGTCATTCGAATGCTCAACCAATACGGGGACGTAAGTACAATATAGTAGTGAATTTTTCTTGAGAAAAAAAAGAAACAAAAGAAAGTATTTATGAAAGTATTTTTGTGTAACTACAGTGCCTTGCGAAAGTATTTTGTTGAACCTTTCAACATTTCGCCACATTTCAGGCTTCAAACATAAAGATATAAAATTTAATGTTTTGTCGAGAATCAACAACAAGTGGGACACAATCGTGAAGTGGAACGAAATTTATTGGATAATTTAAACTTTTTTAACAAATAAAAAACTGAAAAGTGGGCCCCCTTGCGCTAATACTTTGTAGCGCCACCTTTTGCTGCAATTACAGCTGCAAGTCGCTTGGGGTATGTCTCTATCAGTTTTGCACATCGAGAGACTGGAATTCTTTCCCATTCTTCCTTGCAAAACAGCTCGAGCTCAGTGAGGTTGGATGGAGCGCGAGAGAGTCTTCAGCTCTTTCCACAGATTCTCGATTGGATTCAGGTCTGGACTTTGACTTGGCCATTCAAACACCTGGATACGTCTATTTGTGAACCATTCCATTGTAGATTTGGCTTTATGTTTTGGATCATTGTCCTGTTGGAAGATAAATCTCCGTCCCAGTCTCAGGTCTTTTGAAGACTCCAACAGGTTTTCTTCCAGAATGGTCTTGTATTTGGCTCCATCCATCTTCCCATCAATTTTAGCCATCTTCCCTGTCCCTGCTGAAGAAAAGCAGGCCCAAACCATGATGCTGCCACCACCATGTTTGACAGTGGGGATGGTGTGTTCAGGGTGATGAGCTGTGTTGCTTTTACGCCAAACATATCGTTTTGCATTGTGGCCAAAAAGTTCAATTTTGGTTTCATCTGACCAGAGCACCTTCTTCCACATGTTTGGTGTGTCTCCCAGGTGGCTTGTGGCAAACTTTAAACAAGACTTTTTATGGATATCTTTGAGAAATGCCTTTCTTCTTGCCACTCTTCCATAAAGGCCAGATTTGTGCAGTGCACGACTGATTGTTGTCCTATGGACAGACTCTCCCACCTCAGCTGTAGTTATCTACAGTTCATCCAGAGTGATCATGGGCCTCTTGGCTGCATCTCCGATCAGTCTTCTCCTTGTTTGAGATGAAAGTTTGGAGGGACGGCCGGGTCTTGGTAGATTTGCAGTGGTCTGATACTCCTTCCATTTCAATATAATTGCTTGCATAGTGCTCCTTGAGATGTTTAAAGCTTGGGAAATTTTTTTGTATCCAAATCCGGCTTTAAACTTCTCCACAACAGTATCTCGAACCTGCCTGGTGCGTTCCTTTGTCTTCATGGTTCTCTCTGCGCTTTAAACAGAACCCTGAGACTATCAAAGAGCAGGTGCATTTATACGGAGACTTGATTACACACAGGTGCATTCTATTTATCATCATCAGTCATTTAGGACAACATTGGATCATTCAAAGATCCTCACTGAACTTCTGGAGTGAGTTTGCTGCACTGAAAGTAAAGGGGCCGAATAATATTGCACGCCCCAATTTTCAGTTTTTTATTTGTTAAAAAAGTTTAAATTATCCAATAAATTCCGTTCCACTTCACGATTGTGTCCCACTTGTTGTTGATTTATGACAAAAAATAAAATTTTATATCTTTATGTTTGAAGCCTGAAATGTGGCGAAATGTTGAAAGGTTCAAGGGGGCCGAATACTTTCGCAAGGCACTGTATGATCCCATATTTCCAATCCATATATTTTTGTGTGATATTTTGCCTTATACTACTAGAATTCTACCTTTAACGCTCTTACCTTACGCTGTAAGATCTTACCTTACTCCGCCCACATGAAAATTAAAAAGATCTTTGTAAAAAGGGGCAAGAAGGGGGGCTAATAATGGCGGCACGGTGGCTGAGTGGATAGCACTCTCGCCTCTCAGCAAGAAGGTCCTGGGTTCGAATCCCGGTCGGACCAGGGCCTTTCTGAGTGGAGTTTGCATGTTCTCCCCGTGTCTGCGTAGGTTTCCTCCGGGTACTCCGGTTTCCCCTACCACTAAAAATATGTCCAATAGTTCTGGCATGTGCCTCCTGTACTGGCGACCCCGCTCCCATCTCTGTGTGGAGTGAGAGACAAATGCCCAAAATTAACAATTGTAAACCGCTTTGAGACTCAGATCTGCAGTGAAAAGGCGGTATATAAATAAAGATTACTACTACTACTACTACTACTACTAAAGCCGCGTTCAGACCGGATCATGCGTTGCATCGACTTTCAATGCAAAGTCAATGGTGACGCGCGAGCAGACTGAACATACTTGTAAACAGCCAAAACAGGAGCTACACCAGGACTAAACCAGGGTTGACAATGGGGGACTCTGTGGTTGTGAACATTTGCATTTTCATGCTCCCGTGACTTTATGCAACTGCTTCGAGCGTGTTTGCCAATGCGGAAGTACCATATAATAATAAAATAAACTTATGTCGCACCTCCGTGAACACATACTGCTGTTATATAAAGTCTCTGGATGGTCTCAGGACCATAGACTGTATATATTAACGGACGTAGTCATGCCTATCTCCGCTTTTCAAACTAATGGGGAAAAATTGGGCTTTCATGGAGTGATTCAAAATGGCCGCGGGGGCTGGACAATGTAAAAAAACGCATCTGCGCATGCGCTAGCCGACACAAGCCCCATTCATTTAAACGAGTGACTTAAAAAATTCACAGCGAGTAAACTAGACTGGTCCAAAAAAAATCACTTCCCTCAGCATTGACACACATGTGGAACGGAGCTTTGGGCCAAGAGCCAACTTTTGGACCATCCTGTAAAGGTGTTTTTGAGAGGTAAGAAGATGCTATATGTTAGCATTGGCTAATTCTCATTCCGGGTCCACCCCCATCGGCCCGGGGTGGTATTGCAAGCATGTCAGTACCCTAACCTATCAAAGTCCGCCCGCTACTAATTCACCCTTGCTGTGTGAAGGAGAGGTTCCGTAGGTCTTTCCTTCCTGCTGCTGTCAGACTGTACAATAAGAACTGCTGAGCCTGTAAATTTCATTCATCTGTAAATTCTTAAATCATGTGCAATGTGTAATACTGCAACTTCAGAATGTCACAGAACAATGTCACTTTACCTTATCTACTTATTATCCTGCACTATTTAACTGTACAGTATATAACTGCACTACTACATATATATTTTGACTGGTATTGAAGCATTTTCAGCATCTACAGCTAGTTATGTTAGCTAAGAAACATAGCTACTACTTATTTGTATATATTGTGTGTGCTCCCTGTGTGCCCTACTGTCCTGTATGTGCGCTGCAACATCGAAATTTCCCCACTGTGGGACGAATAAAGGAATTCTTATCTTATCTTAATTCTGCCACTTCCGGCGGGCGCCACCGCTGGCCAGGACTTCTGGTCTGAAGACCCCTGCGTCTTGTGCGTCTGGTGCGCGAGGCGTCAGCCTTTCAGCGTCTGTGGTGTGAACGCACCATTAGAGTGGACAGGCTTTCTGTTTGATGAGACTCCGAAAGGCTGTTCTGCTAGTATGTAAGTTGTCAACAAAACGTGAGCAGTCTTTTCCCCAATGTGGGCTGTTTTAACCACAGAGCTGAAAGATGCGGCCCGCTGTACCCCGGTAATATTTGCAGTCTAGGGAGCGCAAAGAGACAAACGTCACACAGCTCAAAGCGACGTCACAAAACCGCCAGAGCCAGTGGAGAGGTCAGGCATAAAATTCAAATTTAGTGCCAGCAAAAAATGTAGAGAGGGGCCACACAGACGGTTTTAGGGTCAAAAATTAGATTTATGTAATTTGCACTAAACTGTCAAAAAATGTACCAGGGCACATAGAGAGCACTAACAGAAATATTTTTGAAGTTTAGAAGTTAAAAAAAGTTGGTGTTTAGTTGTCTTTTAAAGCAACAACCACAACAACACGTGACCGCCTTTGGGCTTTAGAAATGTTGGGTATATTACCAAAAGCATCCAACTTGGCCCCTGAAATGATGCTCAGAGTTTAAATAAGGCGTGAACAATCTTTGTTTGGACATTTTAAGAATCTTTTATCAAGTGGGACAGCGAGGAATGCTGTCTATTTCTCATCCTGTGCCTAAAATGCCAAGTTCAAGGGCAGGCCTATTCAGGAAATAATCCTTGTCTTTTAAGGATTTCAATACGATGGTTGTGCAACTCTTGCTTGCTCAAACTAGGACTAATGTGAAGGGAATATTGAGGAAAGTGCATACAAAATCAAGAATTATTCAGAAATGAGTAATCACCAGTGAAAATAACTTGTTTGTGTCTAAAAACCTCATCTTCTTCAGTCTTCTGTTTAAGTGGATAAGTGCATCTGAAACAATGTCAAATTTGGGCCCCTTGCCTGTGCTGGCTAATCAGGATGAGAGGCCTATCGCGCTGGGCGGTGACATAGGGGCCACCTGGGCCATTGGGTGGGTTTGTGGATGGTTGGTTCATTTTTATGTTTTTGTCCAAGTTGAAGCTTTACAGCACTTGAGTGTGACAAGTAGAGTGGGAACGATTTGGGGCCGATTAGTTCCAGCTGTCACTCTGCTCTTCTGTATGGGGCCTTAACAATGACCGTGGATTTGATGGCGCACTGGTTGTATGTTGGTGGCATGTGTGTAGTTCATGGGGGCGTTGGAATGTCTTTTTTCCATCCATCCTTTTGGTTTACTGTATTTTAATTTACATATTTTTTGAATAAGTTTGCTTTAAATACAGCACCATTCCATTCTTAAAACTGAACTTTTATTGGCTGACAACCATTAACTAAGAGACCAGATATGCACATTTCACAGATATAAATACATGTATATTGTAATATATTTGTATAGTTTTTGAAGTGAAAATTTTCTATAAAATTGGTAAACTGAGCAGGTTTCGCCTAATGAACTGACAAACATGCCTAGTAAACTTTAAACGAGATGACAAATACCCAAGTTATCATCTTCTTTGAATACAAGCCAAGCTGGTGTTCTAAACATTCCACATTTGTTGATGACCAAAGTGACTCATTATAGTAATCACACACCGGTACTTTATTATGGTTGAATCACAGCTACTCAGTTGGTCTCATTGTATTGCTATAATAGAATGGTAGCAGGTTGCCATACTGGAAGTACACTTGACTTGCAAAGTTGCCTATTTGGACACACACTGGGTTGGCACATTAATCTCAATGGGACATCATCAAATAGTTTTGATGACCCACCTCAGCCCCAAGTCCTACAACATAACTCCAGTAGCTAACAGTGTTAGCTACCCGTAGCTACATAAGAAGGAGTGACATTAGTTTGTGCCCAGTACACATACCTTTGAGCATATTTTTGTATACATCTCTTCTACATGCTGCTGTTGGGTAAATGAGATACATCCTTGCAGTAAAATGAACTGTTTGTGTTTCAGTGTGTGCTTCTGGATAAGTTTGTGGCCATGCCTGATGAAGACATCGTCACTCACCAAGCCCTGGACCTTTTAGAAGAGGGAAAATTCTGGGCCGGTCTAGTCTTCACAAATATGTTTTCATGGACCAATCACGTTCCACCTCACGTCATGTTTAAGATCCGCATGGACATTGACTCAGTGGAGCGCACCAATAAGATCAAAGACAGGTGAGGTCATTACACTCTATCAACAAGTGTCAATGAGCAGCTTCGACTTTGGGTGTAAAAAAATAGAAAATTAAGTCAAAATGATTTTATAAAAGTCTGATAAAAAAATCAATTAATAGAGTTCATTCAAAATGAAAATTAGAATGTTTGGGAAGGCAACAATCTTCAATACCAGGACAATATGTCAATCATAAATAAATATGTTTTCAATTTCCTATGCCAATAGATTTTTTTTTTCCTCTTGATTGGTTGTTCCATACTTTTAAATAGCTCTCTATAAGCTGTATTTACTTTTTACTTTTCATTATATATATATATATATATATATATATATATGCATCGATTTGTGGATGACTACTTTTCGTCAAAACCCAATTCAGCAGCAAGCTCCTGTTCTTGCCATTGTAATAGTAATTGTATGGCAGGTATTGGGACCCCGGACCCAGAGCTGACCCCATGGATGACCTGCGCTATGTCTGGGGTGGATTTTCCTACCTTCAGGACATAATAGAGCATGGCATCATCAAGACTCACACAGGAAAAGAGTGGCCCATGGGCGTGTACCTGCAGCAGATGCCTTACCCTTGTTATGTTGATGATCTGTAAGTAAAAGTGCAAACAAACTTTGTCATTTTGAAGATTTTTCCTAGTGCTATTTTTGGCCATATTGCCCAGCCCTATAAGTTACCTGTGATTTCAGAAATAAACAGCATTTTCTGGTATAACTTAAAATATGGACCTTGTTGGCCAAAGTTGAGATTGGTATTTAACATGAAAAACAAATCTAAAGTTATCCAGGTCTGCATCATTAAAAATCATACACTCAAAAGATGGTACTTAATAATAATCATGTACACAATATTGATGATTGGGTATTTGAATGAGCAATCAAATACATGTACAGTCCATACCAAATACAAATAGTACAGACTTTGTCCCCAGGTTCATGCTGACGTTAAATCGCTGCTTCCCGATCTTCATGGTGCTGGCCTGGGTCTACTCTGTGTCCATGATGGTGAAAAGCATCGTCCTGGAAAAGGAGCTCCGTCTGAAGGAGACTCTGAAGACCGCAGGAGTCACAAACGGAGTCATCTGGTCTGCATGGTTTATTGATAGTTTCCTCATGATGGGCACCAGCACTGCTCTCCTCACTGCCATCATCATGGTGAGTTTAAACTCTCCCAAAACATATTGTCATAATTAGGGCTGTCAAAATTATCGTGTTAACTCGCGTTCATAACATTTTTCATTAACGCATTAACGCATGTCCGAATGACCCGCCCATTTATCCGTTATATCACTCAGAATGCCGCATACACATGCGTGTGTGCACTATGAGATGGCAACAGAGCAGGTCTCTGGGAATTCAAGTTTTAAAAAAATACGCGTGTAACCGCGGGGCTCTTGTGTGCTATAAACTGAAGTCCGCCTCCCCGGGCACACCCCGGGGGAAGCTGCGGCCGCTCTGGTTGTTGTTACCGGCTGTGAGCCGCTAACAACAACACGTTAGACCAAACACGCCACAGAACTATTCTCTGCATGTTGTGCGTGTCTTTGCAACCTGTGCATAACCTGTGCACACAAATACACCGCAGAGTGTCTGTGTCTCTTCCTGAAACTAAACTAAACTAAACTCGCTAAATTAAAGCTGGGGTACGTAAATTTCCCCCTTTCATCAACAGCGCATTTAGGTTGTGTCCAAAAGTAAAAGGTTGTGAGCAAAGCAAACAGACTTAAGTACATATAGTATGAATGACTATGTGTCATTACATTTGATAATCTCATTTATTGGAGTGGATTTGAAATAGAATGTAAAAAATGCGATTAATCGTGAGTTAAAGGAATAGTTCACCGTTTTTACATACTGACATATGTTCTTACCTTACCTTAGACTAGTTAATATGTACCTGTCTGGTCTTAGTCCGTGCGCTCTGTCATGCAAACGGAGCAAAAACGGGAGCACAAACGCAGCCTCCTCTGTATACTGTATAGTACCCAAAAGGTAGCTCCCACTAGAAGCTATCAAACTCTTCCAAGTGTTCCCTATTAAATGTATATAGTTACGTGACGTGTTACACTGCAAAGTATAGTAACACAGAAATGTAACTGTCGATTTTCTCAGCGGATAAAACGGGTACTATATTGTGAGGCGTAGTAATCTGAGGAGCGCTACGTCCGCGCACTAACTTCTCTCCGTACTACAAGTCACGCTGCTTCTATTGACGGAAGTGAGCGAGAGAGAAGTCTCCGGAGAGAAGTTAGTGCGCGGACGTAGCGCTCCTCAGATTACTACGCCTCACAATATAGTACCCGTTTTATCCGCTGAGAAAATCGACAGTTACATTTCTGTGTTACTATACTTTGCAGTGTAACACGTCACGTAACTATATACATTTAATAGGGAACACTTGGAAGAGTTTGGTAGCTTCTAGCGGGAGCTACCTTTTGGGTACTATACAGTATACAGAGGAGGCTGCGTTTGTGCTCCCGTTTTTGCTCCGTTTGCATGACAGAGCGCACGGACTAAGACCAGACAGGTACATATTAACTAGTCTAAGGTAAGGTAAGAACATATGTCAGTATGTAAAAACGGTGAACTATTCCTTTAACTCACTCATTTTAGGCCTGGTTTGAACAACAGGCCTAAAATATGAACCCAACAGAAGACAACTTTATGGATACATAACTCTAAACTATAAATGCACTTCTGAGGGATCCATGCATCAAAAGGATCGCTATAGTGCAGCCTGTAGTAGTACCACCGTTTGAGAAACACAGTGTGTCCAAAGCCTTTTGTACCAGTAGTAGGTAAGGTTGTATACTTAAATCACATCCTCCTGTTTAGTTGTGCTAATTGTTATAGCCTCATTGATTTTCTATGCTCGTAAGAACGTTTCTACTTGTTTCACTGCAGGGGTTTTCTAGCTGTATTTGCATTGGAATAAATCATCAGTGAATGGAGGCCTGATAACATGACATCATTGTTTTACTTTGAATGAGGCCGAGTCAATGATTTACAAAAGCACTGTAAATGACAATAGCAGCTTTTATGCCAGGGGCTCTCAAGATGAGGTATTAGCGCCCCTGGTGGTACATCGTTTAAATTCTACTCTTACTAAAAACTTCAGAAGCTCATTTAAATGGTACAACAGAGCTCTGAAGACTGATAAGGCCATACTAGACGTTTAGGTGGAAGCTTGGTTGATTATTTTGAAGCTTTCCTGTGCAAGGTTATAAACTAAAGTTTAATATTTAGATTTAAAACTATAATATTCAACAAAAACTCAACATATTTTTGTTACTAAGTATTCATTTTTCATCATTAACTAAACCCAAACACTGGACACATTGCTTTTTTAATTAATCTAAGTTGATCCTTGCTCTAAACAGTTTGGTTCTACAAATAGTAAGTTTTCACAAGCATGCACATTTTTTCAGCTCTTTGAGACAGAAAAGGGAAAACAAAACGAGACTGAGCCACCCTTGTTGTTTTTCTAATATGATGACAATAGAATACTGCGATTTTCTCACAACATTTTAATTCTCTACAACTCTTTATCTTGACTATCAACATGTACTGTCTATGATAATAATAATGAGGTACCCCAGCGCCCTCTTGTGGTGGGTTGCTGTCACACCGGTCTGTCTTACTTTCAGGGAGGTAGAGTTTTGAACTACAGCAATCCCATCATCCTCTTCCTGTTCCTGCTCACCTTCACCACGGCGACCAGCATGCAGTGCTTCCTCCTCAGTGTGTTCTTCAATCAGGCCAATCTGGCGGCAGCGTGTTGTGGCATCGTCTTCTTCAGCCTGTACCTGCCCCACATCTGCTGCTTCGCCTGGCAGGAGCGCATCACCAAAGACATCAAACTCCTGGTGGTGGGTCATCACGCTTCAGTTTGCAGTAGATTCACCAGAAAATGTCACATTTGTATCCCACTAAAATAGAATAATTCATAAGATTCTATTTTGGGCAATTGTGGCTCAGGCAGTGGCTCAGTTGGTAGAGTATTGGCCTTTGGGCCTGAGGGTCCAGGGTTTAAGCGAGACCTACTTCACGACTCCCACTGATGTCTGCTGTCGTTGTGTCTGTGCGCAAGACATTTAACCTCACCTTTCCTGAAAGCCCCCACTGATCCTCCCTCCCGCTAATACACTCGTCTTAACTGGGACCCCAGGAAGATTAGCAACCACATTGGTGGAAGCTAATGGGGATCCCCAATAAACAATCCGGGGACTCACCACCTGCAGGAGGATCAGTGAGGGGCTGGTGCTCTGTGACGGGTGCAGCTCAGACCCAGAAATGGATTAAGGGAAAGAAAATGGATGGATGGGCATTCATAAGATAACATAAGCAGCAACATTTGAAAGTTTAAGTTTAAGTTTATTAATTTATTTCAACAGGGACAATGTGCAAATACATTAATTAAAGATGCTTTGCACCAGATTTATCTTGATCTAGTTTCCATCTGTAGTCCCTGAGCAGGTGAGTCACAACATGTACAATATAAAATATATTTAACCACTCAAATACAAATATTCATTCATACATTCACCCGTTACATCCATCAGTCCACATAAATTCATGCTAAAATTACTACATAAAACATCACTAACGGTCATATTTACATTTACAATTATCAGTGCTGACATGACTGGTTCACCATCAGCACTTTTTTTGTATTACGAGAGAAATCTTTCAGGTCTAAGGAAAGTTTCAGACTCTGTGGGAGTTTGTTCCATTCTTTGATGCCTTTGAATGAGAAGGATGTCTGCGCAAAGGCTGAGCTACGTTTAGGCAGTCTACAGTCATTACGACTTGTAGACCTAGAGCTCCTAGTCATCTGCTCAGAACAGAGCTGGACAAATGTTTTCAGCGGTGGAGGTGCAGTATTATTCAAAATTTTAAAAACTAATCGTACATTTGCGTACACAATTAAATTATCAAAGTTAAACATGCTGTATTTTCTAAGGATCAGACAGTGATGGTATCTCAATGGCTTTTTGTCTAGCACTTTAATAGCTTGATTATATAGAGATTTTAGAGGTTTTATTGTTGTGTCACTCGTCTGTGACCAACAAGAAATACAGTATTTATATGTGGAATTATCATTGCCTCCAAATAGATTTTTGCCGCATCATGAGTCAGTGTATTCCTAATATGTTTAAAAACAGACAAACTGTATTTTACTGTGTTGCCAATTTTCTTAACATGTTTTTTAAAACTAAACGTTGAATCCAAAACAAGGCCTAGATATTTAAATTCCTTCACTACTTTTATTTGACTCTGGTTTACATAAATGTATGGGAAGGAGGACTTCAGTTTTTGAGTTTTGGTAAAATACATTGCTACTGTTTTATTTACATTTAGTGTGAGCGAGGCAGAGGAAAGCCAGTTTGAGATGTTTCCCATGACATTGGTTAGTTTATTGGCTACACTGGTTGCATCACTTCCATGCACGTAAACTACAGTATCGTCTGCATACATCTGTATGTCTACGTCACCGCACACCAAAGGGAGATAATTTATGTAAAGCGCAAACAGCAATGGCCCAAGAACAGAGCCTTGTGGGACACCCATGTCATTAGCCTTAGATGTTGATAGCTTACTTTTGACCCTTACGCACTGGACACGGTCACTGAGGTATGATTCTATCCACTGTAGTGCTCTTGGAGACAGATTGTAATTGCTCAGCTTCCTCATTAGCACAGAGTGGTGGAAAAGTGGAAAAGAGAGACATGCTCCTAAATCCAGGACACTTTCTATACAGCGATGTCTTGGTTTCCCACAGACATTTCCCAAAATTTTTGCTTCTTTCTTTTGTTTGACTTTTATTTTTTTGTAGAATTATTATTAGTTTAACTATAAATTAATTATTTTCCCAACCTTTGTGTCCATCCAAAACATGCACCCACCATGCACATACTATAAAAATATCAGTGTAGTACCTATTAATTGAATAGTAATCATTGATATTGTAATATGTTTTACAAAAAGTGTTCTGAAGATAAAAAAAATGTCTTTCCATCTAGAAATTATATATATTTTTGTATTTATTTATTTGACAGGGACAGTACAAAAACATTGTCACCCACAGGTAACTGATGTCAAGTACACAGGGCTCCTAGGTGAGAAACAGAAATATAAATTGTGTTAATGTTAAATTGATATGATATATCTAATGTAGTTAGTTTGTTTTTTATAGTGGTTCTTTTGAAAGACAAATTAGTTGTATTACCGTGTTAACATGTTTAGCCTATGCTAACATACAAGTCCATACATCTAACATGTCTTTCAAAAGAATCCGTTGAGGTAATACATCAATAATATTGCTAGGTCATTAACAGGAATCCAGATGAATTAGGATTGCCCATACATACAGTATTCTTGTCCTTTCAGAGTCTGCTGTCCCAGGTTGCGTTTGGCTTTGGCACAGAGTACTTGTCTCGGTACGAGGAGCAGGGCCTTGGTCTTCAGTGGGACAATATTCAGACCAGTCCTCTTGAGGGGGACGAGTTCTCCTTCCTCAGCTCCATCTGTATGATGGCCCTGGACTCGGTGCTCTACGGAGTCCTGGCCTGGTACCTGGATAACGTGTTCCCAGGTCGGTCAACCTCAGAGGTTTATACTTTTGAGTATAAACTTCAGAACTTTAGATGATAGACGGTGTCAAATGTAAGGGCGGCACACATTTAGCAAAACATGAAAAACAAGATTTAGTTTTATAATACCAACATATTAATCGCTGTGTGTGCTTACTAATTGTGTCAGATTTAGTCCGTGATCCCTAAAGATTTTGGTCTAGAATTAGGCAAATCTCTCTCTCTCTCTGTCTCTCTGTCTCTCTGGCTCTCTCTCTGTCTCTGTCTGAAACTGTAACTAGCGTAATGTCCTGCTTTTCTATATGGAGACATAAATGTAGCAATTATATGGCTTCCACAATATTGGAAATATGTGCAATATGCTTTAGTTGTGTTCGGGAGTGTAATATTCTGGTCACAGTATGCAGTCAAGAATACATTTTATCATACTCTTTGTTTTGCAGGGCAGTACGGTATTGGCCAGCCATTTTACTTTCCTTTGCGCTTTAGTTATTGGTTCAACTCTGTCGCTCCAGCCCCAGGTAAAATTCCCAAGAATGTGCACATCAAAACTGCTAATTTCTCTCCTGTTTAAGCTATCTATAATATTTTTTAATTTCAGACCAAGAGGAGATGGATAACAACAGCTTGGATAATGGCGTGAATAAGACCTCAGAGGAGATTCCTTCATGTGAACACCAGCAGCCAAAGACCCAAAGTAAAGGCAAAAAGAATATAAAGAAGATAACAAGTGGATTTTATATTTGTACTTGAAATAAAGCCTAATGGTACGGTCTGTGTTTGCACTGCGTTGTAAATGGGAACACACACACTTGTGGTTTCTCATGTCCCTGCCTGGTTAATATGTGATGGCTTTAGCTGGGCACATTCCTGACTTCTGATCTCATAATGTCACCACACATAGGTCATAAGTTTTAGGTCATAAGGTAAGGCCTGAGTGATCTGCTACTGATGTGCAGACACAGTTCTTCACGTTTTTACAAGGACAAGTCTCAATGTTACTGTAAAATGATACAGCCTCAGTTTTACCCCAGTTGTTTCAATTGATATTTAGATATATACTTTATTGATCCCCCGTAGGAGAAATTCAGGTGTCCAGTAGCTGCAGATACACATACAGTACATCCATACGAACCAAACACATAAATAGATCACGCTAAAAGTAGCCAACAATTGTAGTACGGTAGTTTTAAAATGCAACAGCACTTTAGGTTACAGCAGCAGAGGTGGTGTAGCTGCTTGGCTCCGACTATTTTCTCTGCTCTGGTTCAGAGTAAACTTCTGAATGATTTATTAGTATTTGGCAAAAAAAAAAGTAGCGGATTTCTGCTTGATCTGCTTGGTTCGGTCCGTGAATCCTCTGTTCTGGTCTGTATCAGTGTTAAACTATGAACACTATAAAGCAGTAAGGTCGCAAAAAGAAAGAAAAATAGCAATTGTCAAGCACAAAACAACGGTGTCTTGCTTGTGAATTACTTAGGACTTCCTGCCGTTTCCAGTGCATTAAATAGAAAAAGATGTTCACTTTAATCAAGATGTGTCTGCTGATATCAAACTATATTATTTTATTTCTCTTTATACTTCCTTATATATTGTCTTTGGGAGAAGTGCGAGAAAAAAGGTCAATGTAATGTGTTTTGGACATGATGCAGTTTATAGATTATATTTGGATTATGCTAAAGAAGACATTTTAAACAAATTGTAATTCTCCCTCTGGTGGTAGAATAGGGAGTTACAGGCAGGAAGTATGTTTTATCCTATATCCTTATCTCACCACATTTTCTATAATATTTCACTTTCCAAAACATGAAATCACAAAGTAAATAGTCTCAAATAATAAGGTAAAATAATGCATTTCTCCTTGAAATGTCATGCCCAACAAAACGCTACATGATTTTGCATAAACGTTAACATGAGATTAAATGGATTTTATTTTCTGTGTGCAGGTCATCAGTATTTTGAAGCCGAGCCAGTGGATTTGGAGAAGGGAGTTTGTATTCTTAATCTCGTTAAAGTCTTTGGCAGCAGCTACCGACCTGCAGTGGATGGCCTGAGCATCAACTTTTATGAAGGACAGATCACGGCTTTCCTGGGGCAAAACGGAGCTGGGAAAACCACCACCATGTACGTCCTGTTTCAGTACAAACTGTACACACAGCTGTACTGTAATTTAATCATAAGAGGTACATTCCAAGCAAAGCATTAATATCTCTATGGCAAAAAGCAGGTAGTGGTCATTATGAATAAGTAAGTAAGTAATCTTTATTTATATACCGCCTTTTCACTGCACATTGGAGTCTCCAAGCGGTTTACAATTGTTTTTTGTTTTTTTGGGAGTGGGGGGTGCCAGAACAGGAGGCACATGCCAGACCTATTGTACATATTTTTAGTGGTAGGGGAAACAGGAGCACCCGGAGGAAACCTACGCAGACACGGGGAGAACATGCAAACTCCACTCAGAAAGGCCCTGGTCCAACCGGGATTCGAACCCAGGACCTTCTTGCTGAGAGGCGAGAGTGCTATCCACTCAGCCACTGTGCCGCCCGTACCGAATAGTACTTGTACTTTTCAGTCTTGCCCAAAAATAAAGTAGTCAAAGAAGTATGTACTGTATTCTCCCTCTGTCACAGGCCTCTGATTACTGCATCTCCTATTTTGCTCATCTCTCTCTCTCTCGCTCACTCTCCCAGGTCTATTTTGACCGGCATGTTCCCTCCGACTTCTGGAACTGCAACCATTTATGGAAAGGACATCTGCTCCGACATGGATGCGATCCGCCTGTCTCTGGGAATGTGCCCCCAACACAACATCCTTTTTCAGTAGTATGTCCTGATTTTCCAATAAACACTGGTCACAAACAAGTTGATGAATGAGAGACGGAATGCAAGTAGGACGAGTGGAGAAGCTGGGAATGTTGTGTGCCAATAGTTGTATCCAGCTAAGGGTTTGTAAAATAACATGTTTGTGAGATGCTATTTATGCATACTTAAATTACATACCAGTATTTTTATTTGTGATTAGGAAACAACCAATCAGGATGTTTGGGAATCAAACTTGTTTATTGTTTATTCTGCTGATAAATGTCAGCAGAATCAATTAGTCAATTAGTCCAAGATTCTTTAACAAATCATTTAAAAACATGCTCAATATTCAATATTGTTTTTTCCTCACTTTTTTCCTCAGCATGACTGTTGCTGAGCATATCCTTTTTTATGCTCTGCTAAAAGGACGTCCTATTGCAGAAGCTGAAGAGGAGGTGGAAAACATGCTTCAGGAACTGGGTTTGCCTCATAAGAGAGATGAACTCACCCAGAACCTCTCTGGTAACTGGATACATGCCTTATTTTGTCAATCTTTAAATGTTTTGATTGTTTATCATTCTGACATGTTTACAGGTGGAATGCAGAGAAAGTTGTCAGTGGCTTTGGCTTTTGTGGGAGGAGCTAAAGTTGTTATTTTAGACGAGCCCACATCAGGGGTAGACCCTTACTCAAGACGCTCCATCTGGGACCTTCTACTAAAGTATCGAGCAGGTAACACTCCCCTCTACTGGACAATCCCTGGTATAGCATGGACCTGCTTTTGTATTAGTATCAGTATCTGATGAACATCATGCTCACCAAATACTTTTTTAACCTTTGTTTCAAGTATACCACTTGTTTGTATAACAGCTACTATAACATTATTTATGTGGTCATTTCATGCATATGTAATTTCTCTTGGTACATTAGATGGAATGAATGAATGAATGATCCAAACACTATCAAACTTTTCCCCATTACCATGTTTTACTATCAGTAACAACAGTTCTATAGTATTAGCACTTTTTATGCCTTGGCGGTGCCTTCATACTCTTAACATTAAGATTTTTCAAAAGGAAATGGAATATTTCTGAAACTAGACTCCACTGATGATCAGTCCCTGACTGATGGGGTTCCAAAGGCAGGTGAAATGTTTTGACTCCATCTTAAACTGATGAAATGAGGGCTGTTTCAGGGCGCACAGTGATCATGTCCACACACCACATGGACGAGGCCGACCTGCTGAGTGACCGAGTGGCCATCATCTCTCAGGGCCGACTCTGCTGCTGTGGATCACCCATTTTCCTCAAGAACTGTTTTGGAGCTGGATTTTATCTCACACTCGTGCGGAAGATAAAGCATGATGTTCAAAAGGTATTCGTATACCACCTCGTCAGTTATTATTGAAGAATACACAAGGACAGCAACATTTTCTCCAGAAGTCAAGCCAAAAAACTTGTTGTCAAAAATACAGTTTTTTCTATTGACCATTCTAGAAGATAGTGAATTAATACATACAATAATACATTTCCACTAAAAAGGTTAGATGCTCATAACTGTAAGGTGTCACTACTGTCTGACCAAGGAAAATGTGGTGTTAAAAATCAGATGACACATTTTACATTTTTTCCACACTACATGTAGTTGTAGATATGCTGTATATTTTACTGTAAGCAATTATTGTGATTGTTACATAGCCAATCTATATGTAATTAGTGAAAAGATAATTCATCTTCAATATTTGTTTGCAGACAAGCTGTGATCACACTGAGGACTGCAACTGTAAATGTTCCAAATGTTCCATGTTTAAAAGACCTCAAGAGAACACTCCAGTGCGACAGATGGACGGTGAGGCAATATATATATATAATATATATATATATATATATATATATATATATATATATATATATATACATACATACGTATACATTCACAAACAGCCTTGAACCTGTGCAATTATAGAGTTTTATTTTTTTATCTTATTATTTTATCATCTATAATCTTATCTGCTCATCTCCTTTCTTCTTTTGTCTTGCTGTAATGTGCACAACGATGACATTAACATTTCCCCAACTGAGAGACAAATAAAGGTTTATCTTAATAATTATAAGGAAAATAGAGACATCCACAAAGAATGACAAATGTTTTTGTGTATGAAACGAGACTAAAAGTATAAATGTACTGTGCTATATTTTGCGTGAGGGGATTTTCAAAGCAGTTATTGGAGCGTATTTAACCGTTTGAAAGTGTTCTGCAGGTAACATGGAGAGGCTCAGCGCGCTGGTGCACCATCACGTCCCTCAGGCTCAGCTCGTTGAAGCCATTGGTCAAGAGGTGACATTTCTGCTTCCAAACCGCAACTTCCAGCCCCGAGTTTACGCCAGTCTGTTCAGAGAGCTGGAGGAAACCCTCACTGACATCGGCCTCAGCAGCTTTGGAATATCCGACACGTCCCTGGAGGAGGTGGGTGCATATTGAGATTCATCAATAAACTTGGCCACACTTGCAGCTAACGTTATGGACTCTGGACTTTATAAAATGAGGCAATACATCACTCTGCCTGAAAAAGCAAAGATATTTCATTTTCATTGCAAAAACAAATATTTGAAGGTGGGGGGGGCGCAAGAGTAAACAAGAGATTAACTGAGGCAATCTGTCAGAAAGTCATTGGCTGGCGTTCACCTTTGAAGCAATTAGGTTTTGTTTCGTAAGGCTGCTCCACTGCTTTGATTAATGAGTGCATCTGTTAATCTCGTGTCCCGACAGAAGAAAATAATGTGTTTTCATCTGATAGGTTTTCCTAAAAGTCACTGCTGATGGGAATGCAACCAACAGGAAATGCGTGCAAGGTAATACACCTTTGGTAGCCGTTTTAAAGTTGTGATGCCCTAACCCGCTTTTTTTTCATTTGAGTGATGATGTCTTTATGCCAAACTCCTGACTCCCAGATTGGAGATTATTGCAAGAGATTTCTCGAGCTAGTCTGTGTGGATTCAACAGAGTGGCAATAGAGGTTGAACAAGGTGAAAGAGGCAAAAAGCTGCTTTTGTAGTAAATTTGGCTTCAATAGTTTGAGTTGCCTGCATTGCCTGTTCTTTCACCATTGCCTGTAATTTATTTGTGCCTAAAAGCCTTACACAGCCAAAGTTACATTATCATTACAAAACGGAATAGGAAATGGTTCTTTCTACATTTGCTAAGCTGTTGTCAGTAGTGTTTTTAGTGTACTTTTCCAAAAGCTTTATCTTTACAGATGTGCCAATACTATACTGGTATTGGATAATGAACATCAGGTTCTATGATTTTGGTTGAGAATATATTCTGATTGGGCAGTGCATTGAATAGTTGATAACCTAGAACGCCGTAGTTTTTCTCAAATACAGTTCTGTAATTTCTTCAGGTTAAAAACCTGGACATTATCTTCAATAATTGGACCCATTATGTAAAAAAGATAGGGTTAGGGTTAAGTACTTTCACTGCTGTATGTATCAGCAGATACTGAAGGTCAATGTACTGACATCGACAAAGCTGGGCCAGTGCAGATTTTACATTTATAATTTCCTTTTTAAGTGTTGAGACCACAGCAGTGGAATTATGATTACATTTCCATCAGCAATTTACCATAAAAAGTGCTTATGTGTGACATTTACTATTTCTCAAAATTAGATTTTGACTTTTGCAAAGACTCTAGCAGGTTTTCTGCACAACAGTGATTTGTTTTTATGAATAATTGAAAATGACAATAAAACTTAAATTAAACTTTACTTAAATTGAGTTAGGATAATTGCTCGAAAGTGGCTTTGCTGTTTAGCCAGTGCAGATTTGAATGTTTGGATGGAATATGTGCTTTGATTATCTTCTTCTGTCACAAAAAGATGGGGCTCAGGCGAACGGCTCAGGAGGCTGCAGCTTCTCAGAAGTGAACGAAGGCAGTGGCTCCTATCAGGTCAGAGGGATGTGTTTGATTCTCAAACAATTCTTTGCTCTGCTCATCAAACGACTGCACCACGCCACACGGTCCTTCAAAGACTTCATTGCACAGGTAAATACAGGGGAGTAACATAACGGGAGAAGATGAGGGCATTGATGAATTTATGGAGATCAGGAGAAGTGAAAAGGTTTCTGATCTTTAAGTTGGTGCAGATATGAAAGAATGTGACAATATTGAAGAAGGGAAGATGATAGTCGAAGATTACACTGAGGTTACACTGAGGTTATCGAGTGATGTTTTATGGGCATGGGCAAAGATGGGTTTTGGATATGGAAAATTGATCGGGGCGGGTTGATGAGTAGGACTTCAGATTTGGAGGTGTTGAACTGTAGAAAATTATGGACCATCCAACTGTTCACATCATTGAAGCAGTCTACCGCGACAGCCAGACTTCCGGGGTCGTTTGGTCTCAGCGAGAGGAATATAGGTGTGTCATCTGCATGGCAGTGGAGAAGGATAGGTTATGATGGAGTATATAAATATGTATTATTATTATTATTAAAACCAACCAAGTGCAGTATCTCTGATGCCAACACAAATTCCATTGATTGTGTTGACGGTTGCACTTGCATGAAAATAAATAAAAGAGAGCACTCTGGTCATACCTGTAGCTAAAAGTAGATTGTTTGAAACTTGTTTGAAGGAGGGCTGTTTCTGTTATGTGTAATGCTTTATAATTGAAAAAGATGTGGCTGTAATTAATAACATACAGTAACAATACATTCTCAATAGAAACGATTTTCTTAAAAACGTAGCACAAAGTCTGTAGTGCTTAAATTATGTTTCTCTCAAAGTGGCTGGAAGCTAAACTAAATGAAATAAATCCATCCAAGATTTTTGTGTGAAAGAAGTTTGACTTGACAATTATCTTTCTCCTCAGATTGTGCTCCCGGCAAGTTTTATTTTCCTGGTTTTAACGTTCACTTTGATCGTTCCACCCTTTGGAGAGTATCCGAGCCTGACCCTCAGCCCCTGGATGTATGGAAGACAATACACATTTTTCAGGTTTGTTATAAGATTATTTTATATGTAATGTGTTAAAGTTGTTTAAATCCTTAACTTTGGTTTCTATTGCTCTCAGTAATGAGCACCCAGCAGATGCAGAACTGAGGTACTTTGGGGAAGTTCTGCTGGACAGACCAGGCTTTGGGACACGGTGCATGGTGGATGAACCACTTGAGTAAATTATTTATTGTATTATTATTTTTAACACCAATTTTGTCTTAATTTTATTGCATTAATATCTGACACCCAGAAAGTAAAATGGTGTGCCTTAATTTACAAAACTGGTATAATTATTTTCTTAAATTACACATTTGTCCCAATAACTTATTATTATTATAAAACATGTTATCTTTTGCATAATTGTAAGAAAGATGCTTGTGAGTCACAATTTGATGCATTGGGTTAAGAGCTGATTGGCTGGATGAGGGAAGCCCTCTCTTTTTTATATTTTTCTGTCTGAAGAGGCAAGAAATACATTTGAATATTAGTTTTCAGTAGTATTTCAACTTTAAGTGTAATGTAAATGTTCTATGTTTGTGTTTAGAGATTTCCCCTGTAACAACATCACCACAGAGTGGGAGATGCCGCTGGTGAACCCTGCTCTGATTGAGATGCTGGATGGTCCGCAGTGGGACACCATGACTCCCTCTCCAGACTGTCAGTGCAGCTCCCCCACCAAACTCACCATGCTCCCAGTGTGTCCTGAGGGAGCTGGGGGGCTGCCTCCACCACAGGTACTCACTGTAACAACTGGAATGGATTCTCTTCAAAAGCAAATGCAACAGTCCTTATTACATGATAGCACTTCTTACAGCCTGACTTTGGCATATTAGATATGTAGCTTTTATCTTAATTTGAATTTGTCATTAAACTGAATGAAAGTCATTGCTATATAGCAATATTATAAACATGTATGTATTGTTTTGTTTCCATAGTTTTTCTTAAACAACAATATGCACAATACGTGACCATGATCATATGCAATGATCCTAGTTTGGTCTAAATGGCCGCTATATTTACCCACTGTGTTTAAATTAAATATAGCTTAGCAAAAAAACCATGACAGAGCAGCATGTCAAGGTTTTTGGTCAGTGTGAAAACCCCTTGAAATAGAACATTTACTTTCAACAGTTTCCATAAAGAGAAAGATATTATTGTAGTATTCACCAATGGAAAAGGCAGCTATTCCCTAAAGAGGTAAAACCAAGCTAAAAAGGTTTGTTTTATTGTGTTTTAGAGGATTCAGTCGACAGGAGACGTTCTCATGGATCTAACAGGAAGGAACATCTCTGACTTTTTGGTGAAGACCTACCCAAGTCTCATCAGGACCAGGTAGTTTGGTACTAAAAATAATGTCAAGCCATTATTGCATTAACTTCATAAATGTATTTTTCCAGCCTTAAGAGCAAATACTGGGTGAATGAGCAAAGGCGAGTCTGTTTGTTTGGTTTTGATAAATTTTTCAATTGTGTTGTTGATCAGCTGAACATAATGTAATGTCTTCTTATTTTTGTTCAGGTATGGAGGAATATCTGTGGGGGGACAACTTCCTATTCTAGACATTGATCCCAAGACCATCCAGGATTTGGCTTCACAACTCGGCCGATTGCTGAATGTTACAGGGGTAAGACATTGATAATTATAAATGTACTGTATTTATATATTTTTTGATTGATGCAAATATTACATTGAGTACATGTTTGCAGGGTCCAAACTCTAAACAATCACTAAAAGACATAGGGACTTTTCTAAAGTATATGGAGACAGCAAAGAATATTAAGGTATATTTTACAATGGTGAAGTTATCGTGTAAGTAACTTCTCTCACTGTGAAAGAGTTTTCCCATGTGTTTGCACAGGTGTGGTACAATAATAAGGGCTGGCACTCCATGGTGTCTTTCATAAATGTGGCAAACAACGCCATCCTCAGAGTAAACCTGCCCAAAGACTCTGCTCTGGCTGAATACGGCATCACGGCTGTGAACCATCCCCTGAACCTCTCCAAAGAACAGCTCTCGGAGATCACTGTGTGAGTAAACAATATTCAGACAATATACAATATACCTGTACAAGTGTACCAGAACATTCTAAAATAGGCAATCAATAAAAAAGGTCTGATATGTAAACGTCCCCTGTATCCAAACCAGGTCTTCTTTAGCTATAACACATACTGTATTCTTAACAATTCATACCCAAATTGCAAACCTTATAGTGTTAAATTAATTTAACGCTGGAGTATCTAACTTTTGTAACACAAGCAAATGTAATTTGTTCCCTATGCTTAAACAGTTTGATCCAATCACTAATTTCCACATGCATAGGCCTTTTCACATGTTTATTAAAGTTTCTCACAAGGTTGCTATTTACTTGACAGTTACAGTAAAACTCTGAATTTGCAAGTTTCTTTCAATTGATTGCTCAATATGTGAGTGATTGAAGCCTAAATAGTTTTTTTTGCATGATATTGAAGTCTTGTCAGTACAGTTCAGGTCAGATATGTAAACATTTTTAAACCCAATTGATCTTCAAAACTTGTTTAGTCGACTGTAGCTTTAGAAAATACAAAAAAACAAAACAAGTAAACCCTGCCCCTTTCTTCTCCCGCAGCCTGACCACCGCAGTGGACGCAGTGGTGGCAATCTGTGTTATTTTCGCCATGTCCTTTGTGCCGGCGAGCTTTGTCCTCTATCTCATCCAGGAGCGGGTCACTCAGGCCAAGCACCTGCAGTTTGTCAGCGGAGTCAGTCCCGTGGTTTACTGGACAGCAAACTTCCTCTGGGACATGGTACAATGACTCTACAACCTTTTCCCTGTTGCTATAAATTTGTTCACCTGAAACACGGCCACATCAAAGAGTGTTTCATCAAGTTAGCAATCATAAGGTTTTTCTTCTTCCATGATAAAATTAAAGTCATTTTCGCATGTAATGTCCCCTTTAACTAATATGCGGACATGTTGCTCTTCATGATTGGGAAAAGAAACTCAAGGCATTTTGATCTTCTACTTCATTGTGTAGACATTCAATTCCATAAGATAGATATTTTCACATTTACAGAACTTCAAAGTTGGGATGTTGACAATTGTCTGAGTTAATTGCAAGAAGGAAAACAATTATTATTATTTGTACAATTATCAAATGCAAACAATGAAATGCATCCATCATCCTAACACGTGACCAGTTCTTGAAATAAAATGTGATTAAAAAAGAAGTACTGTTGCTTAAATCTGCTTTTTGATTTTGATTTTTTTTTTTTTACAGTTGAATTACTCCATCAGTGCAGTGCTGGTGGTGGAAATATTCAAGTTCTTTGATAAGAAGTGCTACACGTCACCCACAAATCTTCAGCCACTGGTTTCTCTTTTCATGCTCTACGGGTGAGTAAACTTGTCAGCCATGTTATTTCTTCAAATCAGACATCTAAGACTTTAGATGGAGCACCACTAGATAGATCAATACAATAAGTACAATAAATCAAATAATTACTGTTTAGTGAGAAAGGCGTCATGTTTGTGGAAAGCCAAGTTCATGCATGAAAATGTTTTCCAAAAAAGACATAGCCTGGAAAAGGTCTGAAAAGGTCCTTCGTCGGCTAAATTGTATAACTTTTCTCTTTAGGTGGTCGGTGACTCCCATGATGTACCCCATGTCCTACGTGTTCAGCGTCCCGAGCACAGCCTACGTCTCTCTCTCCTGTATAAACCTTTTCATCGGCATCAACAGCAGCGCTATCACATTTATCCTGGACTTGTTTGAAAGCAGCTCGGTACGACCTTTCTCTCATACATCTGTACATATTTATACTCACATGAATGTTCTGTGGTTTTTATTTAGGCCTTGTACAAGTTGAACCAGGTTTTGAAAGTCCTTCTGCTCGTGTTCCCTCATTACTGTTTCGGCCGTGGACTCATTGATCTGGCAATGAACCAGGCGGTAACAGATGTCCTCGCTCGCTTTGGTGATGTTAATAAACTCATTGAATTAACACAACATAGGCAGCTGTATTATGATTTTTAATGAATGAAGATACCATTTTTGGTTTAAAATCAGATGATTAATTGAGTATATTTATATTGCAGGTGAAGACCATAGTCCTGACCCTTATAGCTGGCACTACTTGGGCAAGAACATGTTTTGTATGGCTGCTGAAGGCTTCATCTACTTCTTGATAAATATTTTGATCCAGTATCGCTTTTTCTTGGATCACCGGTAAGTTATAGAGACTCCACCACCACTAATACATATTTGCCTTCTCTACAAGTTCAGGAAATGAACAAAAGGTAAATGTGGGCTGTTTTCAGGCTTCCTGATTCCTCTCAGCATAATATTGTGGATGAAGACGCTGACGTGGCTGAAGAGAGGCAGAGAATTTACAAATTTGACAAAACAAATGATATTTTATGCGTGCGAGACCTGTCCAAGGTAAAACATACTGTAAATGAATTCCTATTATTCTTTACGATGTTGTTTATATTGTTTCAGACATACTCTGGAACAATGATCCCGGCTGTGGACAGGATTTGTCTTGGGGTATCTCCTGGAGAGGTAATGACAGTCAAAGCAGGTAACCATAGTTTTGTATGTAAGTAGGCAAGGCAAGGCAAGGCAAGTTTATTTATATAGCACAATTCATACACAAGGCAATTCAAAGTGCTGAACAAAACAAGAAAGCATTAAAATCATAAATTATCACAGAACATTAAAAAGAAAGATAAAAATATAAAATCCCTCAGTTGTATGCACAGTTAAACAGAACCGTCTTTAACCTGGTTTTAAACATTGTCAGAGAGGAGGCCTGTCTCACATCTTCAGGAAGACTGTTCCAGATTTTAGCAGCATTAATCTGAAAAGCAGCCTCCTCATGTTTAGTTCTGACTCTGGGCACTAACAGGAGTCCAGTCCCTGTGCTCCTCAGAGTCCGGGCTGGTTCATATGGGACTAACATGTCACTAATATATTTTGGTGCGAGGCTATGGAGAGACTTGTACACAAGCAGAGCTGTTTTAAAGTCTATTCTCTGAGCCACAGGAAGCCAGTGCTTCCAAGTAAGGATTCACAAACAATAATAGATCCACATCAAAGTTTATTCAAGTCATAAGAAAAATATGCATAAGCAAAAGGACCTCACAACCTATCTGCTTCAATGATGACATTGACAACTTCATATATGTAGCTGTTGAGTAAGCTGGTAACATAAGAACATTTTCTATTGACTTGTTATTTATATGGCACATTTCTTACAAATGTCCAAAGTTCAAATCAAAAGTACGGATAAGATAATATTTTTTTCTAATCAGATAGTGATCCAACTTTATTTTTGTTCTGTCTAATGTAAAATGGACAGTGCTTTGGCCTACTGGGAGTGAATGGAGCAGGAAAAACCACCACATTCAAAATGCTGACTGGAGATACTGATGTGACCTCTGGAAAAGCTTCAGTTGCTGGCCACAGGTTAAATACATTTGATTCTACAGTATATACATGTACTGCTTCTAATATAGCATCAAAAGTAAAACATTTTTGATTTTTAACGGCAGCATCTTGACCAACATCCTGGACGTGCACCAGAACATGGGCTACTGTCCGCAGTTTGATGCCATCGATGAACTGTTGACAGGAAGAGAGCACCTTCACCTGTACGCCCGCCTACGAGGGGTCCCCGAGAACCAGATCCCCACGGTGAGGAACCACAAGGGCAGCAGTAGTGGTATTTTTATTTGTTTATTATTTTTTAGATTGTCACATTCTCATACATTACTCCCTTCTTAATTGAGTTTGCAGCTACCTTTCAACACGTTCAGAGCGAAGTTTGACATAATAACAATAAGTTAACAAGAGTGAGCATATTTGCAGCACTATGGATTTTAGTTATTTTAGTATAGCTTGTGTTTATTGTAAGCACGAGTCAGATTGCTCATTGCTTATTTCATTATGTTAAATACAGTAAATTCTGTAACCATATCACTTATGACTATTTTTTGGTAAGTAGCAATATTTTTTGTTGTAATTCATTGTAAGCTTGTTTCTAATTGCCAAGAAAGCACTGGCTGTGTTTTGTATTTATCCGCCTACTGCTGTACGTTTGTCCTTGTTTGCTGTACAGGTGGCTGAGTGGGCCATCCAAAAGCTGGGTTTGTCAGAGGACGCTGGTCACACTGCAGGGACGTACAGCGGAGGAAACAGGAGGAAACTGTCCACTGCCATCGCCATGATCGGATGCCCTGCGCTCGTGCTGCTGGTGATGCAATCCACCATATCTAAACAATGACACTACTTTCTTACTATTAAGCACCAGTACACATTTTATAAATAATATACATTTGTCCACATATAGGCCGCACTTGAATATAAGCTGTCATGTTCATGTTGAAATGTACTTAGCTGATAGACAGTCAAACAATGAAGATAGACAACTGTTTTAACGGGTCACTCCATGATTTAATGACAAGGTTTTTAACAGCTAATCTTAGATTACATACCCGTACTCAATCAGCAATCTATTTTAATAATAAAGTTTCCAATAGCTACTTGAAGTTAATGGAGTCAAAATGATTCCATAAAGTCCTCACACTCTGCTCTGACAACAGCCCAACTCTATCACAATCTAAATACACATATTAGATATACGCAAGCTGCCGAAGAACTTGAAAGTTGTAGCAGCTTATAGCTATTATTGTACCTAATTCTATCTGAGACACAAAAATACACAATTTTTTTCTCCTTGCACTTTTACAAATGTACACATACAAAGAATTGTATGTGGATAAACTCACTGGGAGGAGGATATTGAAGGCGGAGAGCACCAATATCTCTGACACAGATTTTTGAAATGGCAAACAAAACATTTGTGCCAATGCGAGGGGAGAGAGGGGTGAGGGGAGTGCAATGGCTTTTCACATTATATATTATATGTTATAGGGATGTAAAAAACTATGAATTTTCATGACCGACCACCGAGCCTCATTAACCGGTTGAAACCGGTTAACCGCGTAGTTTAAAATAGTCCACGTTCTTTGAAATAACAGCCATTTCGAGCCGCGTACTTTTCATAAGTGCAGCTCTGCGTTCTACTGGATCAGAGTTGAGACAGCGGCGCCAAAACCCGCAACAGCTTCGGCACCTTTGCGCACAGAGAACTGCTTTTTTAATCTTCCCATTCTGCTGTGCTGCGGGTTAATACCAAAACTTTCTAGCAGCAAACGACGGCTCGTTCACATGGTCAGAGCAGCGAGTGACGAGCCGCGTCTCACAGGTCTTCACAAAAGTTTAAATACAAGTGATGTGTGTGGAGCTGATCCCGAGGACCATAAACACAAACATGTTCCATGTGGTTTGACTGGAGCCGTGTATTTGCACGAATCCTTTGGGCTCCGTGACACAGAGGAGCGCGACAGACCGGTATGTGTGTGTGTATGTGTGTGTGTGTGTGTGTGTGTGTGTGTATGTATATGTGTGTGTGTATTTAATAGTTACTTAATGTTAATTAAGTTCTACGAATAGGTGCGTAGTCCCTTAGGACTTCGCTAGTGGGATATCACTCGTGACCCCCAGGTCACACGCCAGAGAGATCAAAATAATTTGCTCCAATCACCAGCCACCTTCCTCTATAAATGCCCCTGCACAAGGCCGCACCCCCTCTTGAACTCTGCCAAGCCGGGCTGGCCTGATGGGCTCGTAGCTAAGGGACTACGCACCTATTCGTAGAACTTAAGTTACATTAAGTAACTATTAATTCTACGTCATGGTGCTACGTCCCTTAAGCCTAGCGTACATCGACAGAGAAACTGGGGACAACTAGTTGCAAGGCGGCTTTTGGCAACTGAGAGGAGATGGTGGGAGATGATCAGTTGCCGAAATCGGTCGATGTGCGCGCTCTTACAACTGGAGATGATCAGTCGGTCTCCAGTTCCAGTCAGTTGCCCGTGTTCTACTTTTCGGCAACTAGTTGTCCTCAGTTGCCCCGATGTGCGCGCTCCATGCGCCGCTCCGACAACGTGTGTGTATTGCGTGTATTGCGAGCCCGCAACAGTTTGTTGTCAGAAAACACACTGTAGTTGAGGCCAGTTGCTGTCGATGTACGCGCTGTTATTCAAGAGACTGGCCTGCGACTCAGAGTTGCCCGTTTTCGCCAGATTGTCGACGTGTGCGGGGCAGCAACTCAGAGGCGACGGATATAATCAGTTGCCAGTCCGATGTACGCTAGGCTTTAGGACTTCGCTAGTGGGACACAACGCGGAGGCCGTAGGAAAATGTACTCCCAACAGGCCAGCGAAGGGTGATTGGAGCTCCGCCTGAGCAAGACCCTCACAAAGTCTTGCTCGGGCGGCACGGTGGCTGAGTGGATAGCACTCTCGCCTCTCAGCAAGAAGGTCCTGGGTTCGAATCCCGGTCGGACCAGGGCCTTTCTGAGTGGAGTTTGCATGTTCTCCCCGTGTCTGCGTAGGTTTCCTCCGGGTACTCCGGTTTCCCCTACCACTAAAAATATGTACAATAGTTCTGGCATGTGCCTCCTGTACTGGCCCCGCTCCCATCTCTGTGTGGAGTGAGAGACAAATGCCCAAAAAAAATTAACAATTGTAAACCGCTTTGAGACTCAGATCTGCAGTGAAAAGGCGGTATATAAATAAAAACTTACTAACTTACTTACTTACAAAGTGAGAGGACTCAGGGCAGAAGAAACAATGCGTGTTACAGGGCCACTCCTGCCAAGGATACCCCCACGTAACACAGATATAGGTCATCCGTAGTCACAGGACGCCTCTCCCAAGGGCTCCTGACGTGGACTACCAGACCGACCAAAACACACATATATGTACCGCACCTGTAGGATGCCTCTCCCAAGAGCTCCTGAATCAGGGCGGAAAGTAAACCGAAGGCCCCCTCAGAGGAGGGACCTAACGGTCTAACTCAGTCCGCTGCACTCAGCACGGAATGGGCCACCGCCCGGTCCGACACATCCAAAGATAAGACCGGACGAAAGAGGAGGACGAAGCCCAAGAAACCGCACGGCATACGTCCTCGACCGACACCCCCCCTGAGAAGGGCCGTAGAGGCCGCCATCCCACGCGTGGAATGCGACCTGAAGCCCACCGGGAGGGCCAGACCCTGCGTCTGATACGCCCGCCGCACAGCCGTGGCAACCCAGTGCGCCAGCCGCTGAGCCGACAGCGGGGCGCCCCTGTTCTTGGGGCCCAGACACACAACAGCTGGCCACCCAACCTGAATGACAACGTCATGGCCAGGTAATGCCTCAGCATTCTGACAGGACACAGAAGGTGCCGCCGCTCCTCCTCGGGGGAGGCATGCGGTGGCGGATAGAAAGCCCTAATCCTGATGACTCTCGACCTAAAGGCCGACGTGATGACCTTGGGGAGAAAAGCCGGATTGGGCCACAATACCACCATGCCGTCGCCCTCTCCAAGGACAGGCAAGACGCATGGACAGAGAGCGCACACAAGTCGCCCTCCCTCTTAGCAGACGCCAACGCCAACAAGAGGACCGTCTTAAGCAACACACTCGGGACTCGCCTCCGCCGCCGGTTCAAAAGGCGGACCCGACAGCCCCCTAAGGACCACCCTGAGGTCCCAAACCGGGGCGTTCTCTGGAGCGGGGGCCTCCTCCTGCGTGCCCCCCGCAGAAAACGTTTAACCAACGGATGAGAGCGGGCTGTGAACCCCCCGAATCCGTTGTGACCCGAAGTAATGGCTGCCGCGAACACCGCCAAGGTAGCGACAGCCCTCCCCTTGTCAAAGAGCTCCTGTAGGAATCCCAGGACCCCCTCCAGCGGGCAACGCCTGGGATCCCAGGAACGAAAACCGCACCAGTCGCTAAAGAGCCTCCACCTCGTGGCGTAGGCCCTCACAGTGGACGGCGCCCTCGCCCCCTGAGTGGTCTCCACCACCGCAGGGGGAAGACCCAGGTCTACGAGGTTCCGCCTCTCAGCCTCCAACCCAGAGCCTGCGGCCGATTATCGGGCGTGAAAACAGGGCTCCTCCCCCCCTGGACTAGAGCCCCCGGCTCGTCCGGGAGGGCCCAGGGCTCCATCACCGCCATGCCCCTCAGGAAGGGGAACCACCGAGCATGCGGACTGTCCGGCGCCACCAGGATCACCGACCTCCTCTCCTGTTCGATCCTCCGCAGCAGGACCGGCAGGAGACGCACTGGTGGGGAACGCGTACAGCAGGCCCCCTGGCCAGGGGTAATGAGCCAGAGCGTCCACGTCTAAAGGCGGCTGGTCCGCGGCCCTTGAGGCGAACCAGGACGGGTGGGCGGCACGGTGGCTGAGTGGATAGCACTCTCGCCTCTCAGCAAGAAGGTCCTGGGTTCGAATCCCAGTCGGACCAGGGCCTTTCTGAGTGGAGTTTGCATGTTCTCCCCGTGTCTGCGTAGGTTTCCTCCGGGTACTCCGGTTTCCCCTACCACTAAAAATATGTCCAATAGTTCTAGCATGCGCCTCCTGTACTGGCGACCCCGCTCCCATCTCTGTGTGGAGTGAGAGACTAATGCCCAAAAATTAACAATTGTAAACCGCTTTGAGACTCAGATCTGCAGTGAAAAGGCGGTATATAAATAAAGATTACTTACTACTACTACTACTACTGTGCGTTTCCTGCACTGGCGAAAAAGGTTGACCACTGGACGGCCGAACCTCCGCCAGATCTCCGCAGCCACCCCTGGGGCCAGGCCCCACTCGTCCTGGAGTGGGCCCCCCCCCCTGGACATCCTGTCGGCCCCCACGTTCCGGACCCCCGGGACGTGGCGCGCCCTGAGAGACAGGAGGTGAAGCGCCGCCCACAGCAGCGTCACCTTTGCCATGCGATGGAGAGCGGGGGACCTGGTGCTCCCCTGCCTGTTCAGATAGGAGACCACTGTGGTGTTGTCTGAGCGCACCATCACGTGTCTCCCCTGCAGCTGAGGAGCAAAGTGCAGCAGTACTCTGTGCACTGCCTCCATCTCCAGCAGGTTGATGTGACGGGCTGAGTCCGACCAGCAGCCTCCTACAGAACTCTGGCCGAGGACCCCGCCCCATCCTTCGAGCGACGCGTCCGTGAACATCTCCACGTGAGACACGGCGCCGGCCAGAGTCACTCCGTCCCGTAGAAGACCCGGAGTGAGCCAGAACCTGATGTTCGATGCTGCCCCTTGGGGAACCCAGATCAGCCTCCCCCCGTCCCGGGAGGGGTGAAGCCTGAGGCGTGAGAACCACCTCTGAAAATTCCTCATGTGGAGAAGGCCTAGCCGCACCACAGCATGAGCCGCCGCCATCATTCCCAGCAGGGACCTGAGGCGCCGAGCGGGGACTCTGGGGCCCGCCAGAACCTCCCCGGGCAGACGGGTAGTGTTCATCCGTCTGTCCACGGACCATGCAGCACGGAATGTCACAGAGTCTAGCTGCAGACCGAGATAGATCATGCGCTGAGCCGGTTGCAGCCTGCTTCTACGTCATGGTGCTACGTCCCCTAGCGGACTTCGCTAGTGGGATATCACGTGCACCTATTCGTAGAACTTAAGTTACAAAGGTAACTGTCAATTTTCTCCCTGTTAACCAAAAAGCCCAGGCGCTGTATGTGGGACAGGACCCAGTGCGTATGACTCACGGCCACTTCCCTGGATGAGGCCAGAATTAACCCGACGTCTATGTAGATTAATTCTTACCCCTGCTCCACGGCGCGAGTGCGTAGCCCAAGGGGAAAAAGACAGTACTCGTAATTCCTCTCTCCCACTGCGAAGCGCAGAACCTCCTGTGTTCCGGTACTATCGGCACGTGGAAGTACGCATCTGTCAGGTCTATGGAGCACATCCAGTCTCCTTCCCTGACACACTCGAGGAGCTGCCTTGTGGACAGCATCCGAAACTGCCGTTTGGAAATGCACTCGTTTAACACGCGCAGATCCAGAATGGGACGCACCCCGCCTGATTTCTTTGGCACTAAGAAGTAAGGGGAGTACAGCCCCCTGGTGGCGTCCTGCGGGTCTACCTCCACTGCTGCGCCTCGACTCAGCAGAGAGGAGACCTCCGCTTGTAGTGCCTCTGTCGATCCCCGTACCTGAGAGCGTACTGCCCGTACGCCTCGGAATGGTGGTGGCTTTCGGAAAAATTGCAGCGCGTAACCTCTGCGCAGAGTTTTCTCCAGCCAAATATCTGTCAGTAGGCCCTGCTCCCTCCAGATGTTGTATAAATCTGTGAGGGGCGGAACGGGAGATGGAACACGAGACGTCACGGCCCCGCCCTCTCCTGGTGTTCCTAGCAGGGAGGGGGGGTGGACGAAAGGGCCGGGGGGCCCCCTGCGTCACACCGTGAGCGCCGGGGGCGGTCACGTGTCTTGCAGGCCCGACGTCATAAGTACGGGACTGCTCACCACACGTGACTCGGCTGCTGTGCCCCCCCCTGGCTCTTGCCTCATGGAGGGGGGGGGCGAGCCCCTGGAGTGGGAAACCCCGTGTCAGCCTTGTAGCTCTGCTCACCACACGTGACTCGGCTGCTGTGCCCCCCCCTGGCTCTTGCCTCATGGAGGGGGGGGGCGAGCCCCTGGAGTGGGAAACCCCGTGTTAGCCCTGTAGCTCAGAAATGCTAACACGCGTTCGGCCGAAGCACACACATATCACTCACCAGATCCCTCCGCCTGACCTCTCTCTGGGAGGGCATAGTATGGATCAGAGAAACCGGAGCTCGTAGTGCACTGCACGCCCCTCTCTGGGGCTGCAGGCCTAGCGAAGCAACGTTATGTGCCCGGGAAGTAACACAATCAGAATTCACAATATTTGACATGTTACATACCCCCAAATCAGACTCAGAAAAGTAATGGAAATGCCGGTCGGCCTTTATTGAAGGAAAAATTTTTCCACCCCGGCCTCCTCTACCATAGGGAGGTCGGTGGTGGGTGCGTTGCTCCCGCGAGCCACCCATGGGTCTGTCTGGACCCGGGGGCCTCGTCAAGGGGGGACGATGGATAACAGAGCGCGGATACGGGTCAGGATGCCTCCCGGGCCAACGCTCTCTGCCTCTGTCCCGGCTCCGTAATGGCTGGTGGGCCTCGCGCCTCGGTGCTAGGTGCGGGGCTAGCCTAGCCGAGTCTTTAGCTGCAGACTCCAGTCTCGCCACCCAGGCCTGCATGTCCGGGCCGAAGAGGGACATCTGAGAGGTGGGCAGGTCCAGCAGCTGCCTCCTCTCCGCCTCCCTGATATTAGCCAGCCCAAGCCAAAGGTGCCTGGCCCGACTTGGGCTGCTGCCATGGAGCGGCCACCATCCACAGCTAGCGTCTGGCACATGCGCAGAGTCGCCGCCGAGGTGGTCCTCGCCTGTGACAGGAGGTCTCCACTGAGCGCCTGGTCAGAAGAGAGCAACATATCCAGGGCCCCCGTGATGAATGCCATGTAGTTAGTCAATGCGAGGACCTGTGCTGCAATGGCATAACATCTATCCGGCATCGCCAAGACATCCTGTCTCGCTCGGAGGGAAGGAGAGGTCTGGTGCCGGGCCACACGAATGCGGAGGGCTGCAGGGCCATGCGGACTGAATCCTCGGTGTCCTGGCCACCATCCACGGCTAGCGTCTGGCACATGCGCAGGAACGCCGCCGAGGTGGTCCGCGCCTGTGACAGGAGGTCTCCACTGAGCGCCTGGCCAGAGGAGAGCGCCCTATCCAGGGCCCCCGTGATGAAAGTCATGTTGATAGCCAATGTGACGACCTGTGCCGCATTGGCATAATATCTATCCAGCCTCGGCAAGACATCCTGTCCCGCTCGGAGAGAAGGAGAGGTCTGGTGCTGAGCCACACGGATGTGGAGGGCTGCAGGGCCATGCGGACTGAATCCTCGATCACCGGTCCAGGACCAGTCCTGCCCGCTGCAGTATATGTCGTACCCCAGTGGTGGCGCCCACAGAGGTGAAGTCCTCCACCGTCTGGATCCAGTGACGACGTCCGACGCCGGAGGGCGAAGGGAACTCGGACGAACAAGGAAGACATCTCAGAATGAAGTAAGTACTGTGGTAGATCTCGAACGGCGCCAGAGTGAAAGAGGGGGTGCGGCCTTGTGCAGGGGCATTTATAGAGGAAGGTGGCTGGTGATTGGAGCAAATTATTTTGATCTCTCTGGCGTGTGACCTGGGGGTCACGAGTGATATCCCACTAGCGAAGTCCTAAGGGACGTAGCACCATGACGTAGAAGTGTGTGTGTATGTATGTGTGTGTGTATGTATATGTGTGTGTGTGTAAATGTAAGCTCCAATGTAGTTCTGACCCGCGCCAGTGTGCAACTTTTTGACGGTAACAGAGGGGAGAGATGATGCGTGTGGATGTTACGTATGGAGAGGGGGTGTGTGTGTGTGTGTGTGTGCGCGCGTGCGTGTGTGCATATGTGGCTCGTGCGGCGTGAGAGTCGTCCCGGAGTTTATAATACATGGGCGCACACAGCTAGATACAGACCCGCTCGTCACACCGTGCAAATAGGGCTTAAAATAGCGTTATTAAGAGACCTCCCCTCTCCCCTTTTTCTCTTTTTTAACCGACAGCTTTGACCGGTTAACGCTGTGACGGTCAACCACCGGTTAAACGGTCGCCGATTTACATCCCTAATATGTTATAATATATACATATTATTTGTCACTTTTAGCCAATATCCTAATGCTGCAAACATGTGCAGTAGTATTACATGTTGCTAATATGTACAATATGTACATCTGTAACTGGTGCTCTGGGTTGTGAGTCTGAGTTAGATAGAGTCCAGTGTCGGCCTTGAGTAGCCGATGTGTGGGTGGTGGAATGTGCCAGGATAGAAAGATAGCAAGATAGAAAGATAACAACACATGCCTTGTGGGATATTTGTATAAGCACTTTAGCTGATCAATGAATGGCAGTGTAAACTAAAGCCAATATGTCCAAATGATACTGGAACTGGACCCCTCCGTTCACCGTTATCCGGAGTTGACCACGTCAGTACGAGGTTCAACCGTGAGGCCCAAGTCTTCAATCAATCCTTCCAAGTGTTTAAGTCCATCCAAAGATCTCACTCCCAGGTCATTAAGGGAATGTTTGATCCGACTCACACCCTGTTGTGTCCCCACTGTGCCCTCGACCACGACTCTGACCAACTCGCGGAAACTCTCCTTGTTTTCCGCGGACAGCCGCTCGTAAATCTTCTGAGTGGACAGCCCTCCAACTTTGCGGTAGATCAAGCCAACTCCAAATCCAATCAGGAGGAACCCTGCTACCATAAATCCAAAAATGTATATATCCTCAATGTCCTCAATGGACAGTCCCGACAGACGAACGGGGTGCCACTTTTGCCAGTTGTCAAAAACGTACCCAGCAGCCACCGTACCATCCGGACAAACTGCATCTCCAGAACCGCCTTTACGTGATGAAAAAATAGTATCAATTGCGTTGAGGGACCAGTTGATTAATTCCATCATTTTTCAAGTTGTATGCAGGCAGAGCACTAGGAAAAAAGACAATCAGGGCAAGCAGAGCAGGAGCAGGGAGAGACAAACACGGTGGTGATAAACTACTACTGTAGCCACAGCTGCCCTGGGGCACACTGACAGAAGCAAGGCAACCAGTCTGTGCCATCGGCCCCTCCGACCACCACCAACCATTCACACACACACACCCGACTCATTCTAGTCAATGGGGGTGAAGTGTCTTGCCTAAGGACACAACGGCAGTTTGGCAATTTACAGCCGCACCCGCCCCACTGTGGCTGGTGTTCCCAGAGGTTAAGTGTCTTGCTAAGGACACAACAACAGCAGACAGTGGGAGTCGATGGTGAAAGTCTTGAAGTGGACAACCTTCTGGCTCAAAGGCCAATGCTCTACCAACTGAGCTACTGTCGCCAATCTCCTCACTGTGGGACGATTAAAGGATCTCTTCTTTTTATTCTAATCTTAATCTTGTTAAACTACTCAAATATTCATGATAAATAGTTTGAGTGTTGAATTCAATATTATATTTTGAGATATCAGCATCATTAATGTTCCTCATGTTGTGTTCAGGACGAGCCCACCACCGGCATGGACCCTCTGTCCAGACGCTTCCTGTGGAACTCCATCATGAGTGTGATTCAGGACAAACGAGCGGTGGTCCTCACATCACACAGGTACACAGCAGTTTGCAGAGAAATGAATGTGTTTGGGCTGATTTCTATTTGATTACTATTGGTCTTATTCCACAGCATGGAAGAGTGTGAGGCGCTCTGTACTCGCTTAGCCATCATGGTCAACGGATCCTTCCGATGCTTAGGCTCAATCCAGCATCTCAAATACAAGTATGTCTTTCCGAGGGAACTCTAATCTAAACAATTGTGTCAGCTTCTGTTTTTATGCTTATGGCCTGTTGCTGACAATGAGAATCACTTAATAATAATAATAATGCATTGGTTTTATATAGCGCTTTTTGGACACTCAGCTTTACATGTCATTATTCATTCACTCCATACACGGTGGTGATAAACTACTATTGTAGCCACAGCTGCCCTGGGGCACACTGACAGAAGCAAGCAACCAGTATGTGCCATCGGCCCCTCCGACCACCACCAACCATTCACACACACACCAGAGTCAAGCTAGGTAATGGGGGTGAAGTGTCTTGCCTAAGGACACAACGGCAGTTTGGCACTTTACAGCCGCAGCCGCCCCACTGTGGCACCTGGTGTTCCCAGAGGTTAAGTATCTTGCCAAGGACAGCAGACAGTGGAAGTCGATGGTGAAAGTCTTCAGGTGGGCTCGAACCCGCGACCTTCTGGCTCAAAGGCCAATGCTCTACCAACTGAGCTACTGTCACCCCACGCTATGTTTGTAAGAAAGTAGAGAAATTGGTAAACCTGGTTAAGACTTGATTTCAATACATTTTCCATAGTCACTTTGAAATCCATCCATACAAACTTCCTGATTTCCTTTCATATCAAAGTGAAACTCGGATAATTAGAATATCATTCCAAAGTGAATCTATGTATTTCATTTAAACTGTGAAAACAATATTTTGATTTAGACTCATTATTGGCAAATTGACATGAGCCAAGCCTTCGTTTGTTATCATTTTGGCTTTTAATACATTTTTTGGAGGGATTTTACAAGCTGTAATTTATCAATATTATAACAAATAAAAGCTTCCTAAATTAGAATCACATTGTGAATAAATAGACTTTTGAACAATATGTTTCCAAGTTCCATCATAGACTAAATATCTTTGTCTCTGATCCTCTGTGAATTAGGTTTGGAGATGGTTATGTGGTAACTATGAAGATCCGAGCGGCTAAACCCGGCTGTGCTCCAGACCTGAACCCTGCAGAGGCCTTCATGGAGAGCTCCTTCCCCGGCTGCATCCAGAGAGAAAAACATTACAACACGTTGCAATACAAAATTTCCTCCTCATCGTTGGCCAGGATCTTTCAAATGGTGCTCGCAAACAAGGACAAACTCAACATAGAGGACTACTCAGTGTCACAGACCACTCTGGACCAGGTAACACACATGATTAGATATACAGGTAACACACATGATTACATATACATGATTATATATACAGGTGACACACATGATTTTATATACAGGTAACATACATGATTAGTTACACATGATTAGATATACAGGTAACACACATGATTAGATATACAGGTAACACACATGATTAGATATACAGGTAACACACATGATTAGATATACAGGTAACACACATGATTAGATATACAGGTAACACACATGATTAGATATACAGGTAACACATATCTAATGTGCTATCCACTCAGCCACACATATCACGGTGGCTGAGTGGATAGCACTCTCGCCTCTCAGCAAGAAGATCCTGGGTTCGAATCCCGGCCGGACCAGGGCCTTTCTGAGTGGAGTTTGCATGTTCTCCCCGTGTCTGCGTAGGTTTCCTCCGGGTACTCCGGTTTCCCCTACCACTAAAAATATGTACAATAGGTTTGGCATGTGCCTCCTGTACTGGCCCCTCCCATCTCTGTGTGGAGTGAGAGGACAAGTGCCCAAAAAATAACAATTGTAAACCGCTTTGTGACTCTGGTCTGTGAAAGGCGGTATATAAATAAAGATTACTTACTTACACATGATTAGATATACAGGTAACACACATGATATACAGGTAACACACATGATTAGATATACTACCTGTATAGGGAGAGGTAATAAAACACACATGATTAGATATACAGGTAACACACATGATTATATATACAGGTAACACACAAGATTAGTTACACATGGTTAGATATACAGGTAACACACATGATTAGATATACAGGTAACACACATGATTAGTTACACATGGTTAGATATACAGGTAACACACATGATTAGATATACAGGTAACACACATGATTTGTTACACATGGTTAGATATACAGGTAACACACATGATTAGATATACAGGTAACACACACAGCTGCCAACGTCACACTGAGATGGTGGAGAATTATCACAGATTTTCTATTTTGGAATGCACATATTTGAGTTATTGAATAATGAACTAGAGTAATATGAGTCATATGTCATCTTAAGCAGCAGGGTTCAAATGTTCGTTGTTAAAGCTGGTGTACACACTGCAGATACTGCAGATACTGCAGATACTGCAGACACTGCACATGTGTAAGCAGCTAGAGGATTTGGTTGTGGATCCTGCAGTTTAACATCACTAAAAAAGAAATATATATATATGTTTTTTTTTTTTCAGTTTCTTGGGTGCCATAGTAATGACTTTTTCCCATTCAATAAATAGAAGAATCTTTAAAAACAATGAATCAGATTTGGCAATAGAATAGCATTACATTCACTTAAAAAGTATCTTTAGACTTGAAATAAATAGTTTGCTTGAAAGAATACCCATTTCCATTGGTGGATGAGGCTCCACAATTGAAGAACAACTTTGTGAGAAACATTTTCTGTCTCCCAGGTGTTTGTAAATTTTGCCAAGCAGCAGTCACGAGAGGATGAACACATAGTGCTGCACCCGAAAGCTGCCGGAGCTCAACGGACTTTTATTACCTCTCCCATCAACAGGTTCAGAAAGTGATATACCAACAGATCTACACGACGCAAGGCCACCACGACTACTTTCAAATGTCTTCAAAATGTTTGGACAGGATGGAAAACCCAAGGAAGACAATATCACAGTATATCTTGGTTGTTGTCAACTTCCATGTTTATCTTTTGCTGTAGCAGCTTTTACTTTCAAATGGAGTTTGTGACACACTCCAGGAGCTGTTCACCTTTAGGCCTTGCAAACTACACTGTGCTTTAGTTAAATATGAAAGAAAATGTCATGAACCACATGTGGTGAAGCACAGCGTCCGCTTGTAACAGGAGGTTAATGTCATTTTCCTAAATATGCCAAGCATGTTGAGTAATGCCTTTTTAGGGTGGGTTCAGTTCTCCAGTCTGTGCTTCCTGGTCCACTTGAACTTAAGCCGTGTTCACACGTCTTCGTTGCCGAATCTGATCCTAGCCAGTGTCGACACGAGCAGTGTGGTGGGCTCTGGACCAGAACTGTGGTGTGATTTCATCTGCTTCCTCTTTGTGTCAATGGTGCTGCATAAGTTGAATTGTTCAACTCTGGTGCTGAAACACTGAAGGTAAATGCACATCGATGTAGAGTTTCGATGTAAACCGGAGGTTGGTCCAGTGTGAACACAGCATTAGAGCTGGGAGCCCAACAGCAGGGGGCAATGTGGAGCAAAAAGACCCTTTAAATAATGTGTATTCCAATATAGATGGGGCACATGTGTCTTCTCTTGTTTTGTGTTTGAATTTTATATTGATTCACACATTTCTGCCATTGCCCTCTGCTGGCAAAGCCAGATACTGCACCCTCCGTCAGTTCAGTGATGTCATGAGGACTGATTTGATTCAAGTGAACCATGTCCACTTGACTGTGTGAACACACCCTTAGACTAATGAACACTCAGAGAAGTCTTTATAGCACTTTAATTAGACTTTTATTAATAGAAATCCTCTGATGCAATAGTGCAATAATTCTGCTGCTATTTTTTCTTACGTCATGTGGAATTGGTTTTCCAGAAGATTGCATGTGAAACGTTCAATATACATAGAGAATGTGTATAGTACAAATGATTATTTTGTAAAATAAAGATTTGAAAAGAATACATTTACTTGTAGATTAAAAATCCTGAGACATTGTTGGCATTTTTACATTCACTTTTGATTTAGACCCATTTCCTGAAATAATCAACAAGTTAGCTTGACAATGCTGTGAAAAAAAGTTGTTTAAGTAAAGAACACTTCCACCTATTCATTCTTCACTTCCTGTTGCCTTCTGTTTCTTACTTCCATCCAATTCCAGTCCGTCTATATCTCAAACTCTAAAAGCCATTAAAAAATCCTTTTCACTGACAAAACAATCTTCACAACATCTCCACTGAGCCCTGGTCTTTTCTTGCCTTATCGACTTTTTATTGTTTTTTATTCAAGTACATTATTGCATAGACTTTGAGTTAATCACTTGTTCACTTGAACACTGCAAATACTAATTTATTTTGCTCTAAACCAGGACAATATTTCCAAATCAATAAAGAAGGGGACACACAGGTTCTACACCTGTTTAGTGGGACATTGTTTATACATTCCTCTGTCATAAAATGAGGGGAATAATAGCCATTCGGAGAGAGGGGTAGTCTTTGAACTCTCTGCTGTAGGCTTTGTGCTTCCCTTTGGCCCAAATGGTCATCTGGATGAACCCAAGCAACGCGAACAGGGCCACTGCAACACAAGACACTAAGACTTAGCAGAATTGTCATATTTCATGTTCAATAAAGAAATTGAAGCGTCATCGCTTCCATGGATGATAGAAACGATCTATTACTGCCCATTGGATGTTGGTAATAAACTAAGCCATGTTTTTATGGCTGTATTTTTTACTTTTTCTATTAAAACATTCTCACTATGCCTTCCAACCTTTAGTTCCAAAATGTAACATTCTACATATATTTCCCTTGGGTATTTAAAAAGGAAAATCAATGATACAAGTTTTAAATCTTGTTTGGAGTTATGTGGTAAAACACGACCTCACAACCACAAAGTGAGGAGCACTTTTTTGCAGAATTGCACTTAAAAACTTTTTTTTTCTGAAAGCAGCGGACCAACAGAATATTAGGATTTTCCTATCAGCATGGACTGCAAACTTTAAACTCTGCCGCTTCTAACAGAGCATAAAGTTGCACAAAACTTACACACTCCACTTTCATATTCATTATAAAAGAACCTGACCTGGAACACACTGGGTCATGACAGAGAAGCCGACCCAGGTCCCGACCTAAGACAAGGGGAAAGAGGACAGATTGGTAAAGTTGGGGATTTGACTCACATTATAGATTCGATGACGTTACCTCATACGTGTAGTTTGGGCACGATACAAAGAAGTAAAGCCATGTGAACGGGTTTTTGGTTGGACCTGGAAATGTTCTGTTTCTTGCTCCTGCATTGGGGTGACACATAACAGAGAGAGTACCATATCACACTTACTAATAATAACACAGTGTTTACTAAATAAGTTGCCAGTATTCACCATTTTTAAGGCGATTCAGAGTCAAATGAATCGAGAAGTTTCCAAGTTCACACATCTGTAGAAATACCATTGAAATATGTAAACGTTTGTATATTTGTATGTAGAAACTTGCATTGGCTTACCACAAATACTGCCAGGGCATAGTTGATTTGCTGGTCTCCATATGCTAAAGGGAGTAAAATTAGAATGTATTTGATATTATTTATGAAGACGTTATGCATTGGTTAATTATAAATATAAAAGAAGTGCTTTCATTGAATGGTGATGGACATTTGATTTGAATACGTATCTTTATACATATTCAAATCAAATATGTGCTTTGCTGTTGCACAACGTGGCACATCAAACACTTGTTCAAGGCAAAGCTACACACATTTTTTGGTGAGAAATGACAGTGTGTAGAGAAAAAGGCATACACACAAGGAGGCGTGTACAGAGGGTGGTTGATGTAGTAGGCCAACCAAGCAGAGAAACCCCAATAGTAAGCACAGTTCTGAAACATACATGGTTTTATTGGTGAGTTGATTATGGTTCTAATGCAGGGGAGTAATGGTACATGTGGCCCTATGTCCTCACCCAGACGATGGTCCGCAGAGGCATGGTTCCGTGGGAGAAGCGGTGCACAAAGATAGTCTCCACCAGCCTCTTTATGTAATGGCACGTGTGGCAGGCACAGGCCAAACTGGACCCAAGGACAGGGTTAGAATGAGAGGTCACACTTTAGATCAGCCCTCACAGATCAACAGCTAATACAGTGCTTTTTAGTGTAGCCTAACCCCGACCATAACCCGGGATCCTGATCCTAACCCTGACCTTGACCCACATGGGAAAGTGTCAGTAGAAATACCAATACACACATTTTGCATTAGCAATTAGCTGTTGCTAGAGAGGGCTAAAGAGTGACCAAATAATAATAATAATAATAATAATAATATACCACTATAATACAAAATACATGAGAGCACTCTTCACACAGATATATCCATACAAAATAAGATACTTAACTTTAAGTCAAACCACCCAAATATAGTTTCTTACTCAGACATTTTAGTTCTACAACACAATGCACAGAGAATAGAATCTGGGACAGTTTGTTGATAGAAGTTAGAACCATGTACACATATAGTAATACTGTACATATAGCTTATCCATCCAATGTAGCTGTGGAAATGGCCTCTCTCTCTCTGGTCAGTCCCAGTTTTTTAATTGTATAGACTTCTACCGTGTCGTTTCTCCATCTGGACGGATTGAAGTTTGTAGAGAATACAGACTTCTACCACTTCTACTTTACTTTTTCTACCAAAAAAGTAAAGGATTATTCACAGTTTTCATCCCGCACCATGGCAAATAAGGCTTTAGTTTTGGCCATTTTCGCTGACCCCCCAGAGCCACAATTATTAAGTTATATCCTGAACCAAGCTACAACCTATATTTTTACATGGTTATAACTAGATTCTCTTCTGTGTGCAGAGTGTGGTAGAACAGGGAGGCATACACAATACTGCATCACACTTACAATCAAACAATCACATACAACTCTGTGTGTACTTCAAAGATAGAGGCAAAGTTGTGATCTTTGTCAAACAGCAGCTCAATTCAAAGAATGGGCTCTGGTGGCATCGGTGTCTTACGTGACGACCGGGTGAGGGCTGGAGGTGAAGGCAAAACCCTGAGAGTAAATGTACGGCACTCTGAAGTAGAACAGGAGGTAGGTGAGGAGAGGACCCAAGTATTCTGCAAGAAACACCTGCAACAAATGCCATCAATCCATTTAAATATTTCACAAAATAAAAGCCGTCCATTCAACACAAGAAAATATGGAACAAAATATATACGAAAAACAATATAGTATGACACATTTAAAACCATTTAAAATATGATACAAGACAAGACGATACATAAACGCACACACACACACACACACACACAGACCCATAGACTCCCTGACCCTACACCTCTCTCCACCTACTTGCTCTACACAATAAATGCAGGTGTAAGGCACACAGTGGACGCTGAATCAGTAGCAAACTTAGGTTTTGGAATGTTTAAAGTCTCCCTTTGTGAGCACATGAGGATCTACTGTATAAGGCTTAGAAGGTTTTTTTAATAAGACAAAAAGTAAAGAAAGCGAACATTGCTTATCGACCTGACATGAACATCTGACTGCTCACATCAGAGGACCTCAGTCTTCTCAGGAAGAAGAGTCTGCTCGACCTTTCTAATAGACAGCATTGGCCTGAGCCTGAGCTGACCAGTCCAGTCTGTGGTCCAGGTGGACTCTTAGGTATTTGTAGGACTGAACCACTTCGATGTCCTGTCCATTTATTGTGACTGGTTGATGTAAAGGGATTCCTGTGAAAGTCAATGATCATCTCCTTGGTCTTGGACACATTGAGAATCAGACCATTTCACTCCAGTCTGAGAAAGCAGCCACCACCCCCTGTCTTCTGCTTCATCCCCCCCTTCACACATGCCACAACAGCGGTATTGTCCAAGTATTTTTGTTATATATTAGTTTTGTTTGTATTTAATGTGTCACCTCTGACAAAGGCCAAAGTCTACCACCAAAACATTCCAGGTAATTAAGCAGTAATCGCTTTCTTTAATTATTTGTCTTATTAAAAGAAATCTTACGTTTTAAGCTTTAAACATAAGAGTAAAAAATGAACTTTTTATATATAGGATGTACTGTAGTTTTATAATGGCTGCTTGAGTTAAAATTTTAATGCCCAACTTTTCATTTCACTGCTTGTTGCCAGAGACATGGATGTTTGCTAGCAATGTAACTCTATAGATTTATACATTTGGCATTATTAGATTACAGTTACTGTTCACAAATCATTTCTGATATTACCCAAAACCGACACGGGGAGAACACGCAAAGGCAGTATACTCACCATAGTCCAGCCTAACTGCGGCCCCAGGTCTTTGAAGAACATAGTGGCAGTGGTCCCAACAGGCAGACTCTGTAAGACCTCGTCATCTCTGAGCGACTTTCCTCCTAAAATCAAATCAGGCCATATTCACTTTCAGCTAAAACAGATAAAAACATGTCATAAATATCACATTTGATCGCCATGAAACCACATGTTTTCATAATAGGCCTGTGCATTTAAGAGACGTCACGTGGCAACCTACTAAGAGTTTTATTTTTAGGCAATTCTCACAAGTCACTGTCCCAGATCCTATTCTCTGTGTCGTGTATTTTATAACAGTTCCTACAGAATGCATTAATTTCAGATTAGTTAAAGCTGGGCTACCTACAGTACTGTATATATAAATATAAATCATGTACCACTAACTAGGACCTAGCTTTAAAACATTGTCCTCTGTCACATCTTCAAATCAAATTTCCACATGGCTCTTTTGTACAAGTCTATAAAATACAACATGTTTTCATATTTCACTTTAACAAGACTCTGGGGGATAAATAAACGAACAAACAAACATGTGTTGTTTAAGAAATAAAATCCCAGTGTTAATAGAATGTCAGGGTAGAACAATGTGGTTGCAGTAAATGGTACTTACTGGGGTGGAGTGTCAGGGCCTGTCTGGCTGGATACCAATGAGGATCTGAAAGGATCACAGACGTTCAGACTTCTGCTCCAGGCCTCAGTTTATCTCCTCAGGGATGTATTTTGAGTCCTTTACTTTTCACATAGTACACTCACGATTGTGTGTCCTCCTCTGACTCAAACTTGATCATCAAATATGCTGATGACACCACCATCATCGGTCTCATCAGTAATAATGATGAATCCTCTTATAGAGCAGAGATACAAAATGTGGTTCAGTGGAGTCAAACTAACAACCTCCAGCTGAACGCATCGAAAACATGTGAACTGGTCTACGACTTCAGTCGCAATAGTTCTCATTTGCGTCATTAATCGACAACTCCCAGGTGCAGATCGTAGAGGAGTGCAAGTTTCTGGGTCTAACTCTGTCTAACCTGAAATGGGTTAAAAACACTGACCGAGTCGTTAAGACAGCTCATCAGCGTCTCTACTTTCTGCGTAAACTTAGAGAATTTACCACTAACTCTAAGATTCTGCTTAACTTTTATCGCTGCACCATTGAGAGTTTACTTGTTGGTTCTGTGTCTGTGTGGTTTGGAAACATGACAGATAAAGAAAAGAGAGCTTTAAACAAGGTGCTCCGCTCTGCAAAGAGGACCGTGGGCCGTGAGCTTCCTGTTCTGGAGGTTCTTTATAAATCCAGACTTTTAAACAAAGCTCTTAGGATTGTTAATGACTCTTCTGGCCACCCTGGAAAAGCCATGTTCCAGCTTCTTCCCTCTGGCAGAAGATATCGCTCTCTGAGATGCAGGACATCTCGTTACGCTAACAGTTTTTATCCACAAGCTGTTATCAGTGTGAACAGAGCACTTTAAAATGATCTTGCACTTGTTTTGATATTGTTTTGGTCGATCGATTTCACAGTGACATTTGTTTACTGTTTTATTTGTTTTATGTCTGTCTTTTAATGTTGTTTTATGTCTGTACTTGTGCACACTGGGGACTTTTGCAAATGTATTCCAATGTGGTTTTACTGCAAATGGCAAATAAATGAATCTGAATCTGATGACAATGAAACAAAGAGTTCATACTGTGCAAGCTGCAGGTCGAACACTATTCAGAGACCAGACCAAAATATCCACTTCTACTGAAACTTATGAACAATCAACTTGCTACTTTACTACACTAATTATTCATGCGCCAGAGGTAGAGACTTTATACTTACTTCTTATTATGCTTAAGTTAGAGATTCTATTTCAAATTACACATGAATAAATATAATTGAATTAAACATCCCATCACTTTTAAGTTTTTAATAAATTAAGATTGAAAATCCTAAAAGGTTCATCTCAATCTTAACAAAATTACTTACATAACTTGTGAAAAAGACTTTTTATTTCCCCTATTGTCGAATGTGGCTCCACCTGATTGAACATCATTAAAAATCACAACATGTTTAGAAACAATATTGGCAATAGTTACAATACAAAATATACCTTGTCTAAAAAGCAGAGCTGTTCTTTTGTTTTGGCATCGAGGATCTCCACCTGGAAAGACAGAATGCCTCAAAAAAGTATATATTCTTACTGTGATAAACTATTATGCATTTCATTTGGAACTTTAAGACACATTTTGAGCTCCCAAAGGAATAAACAAGAAAACATTGTACTTTTGGGGGCCAATCGTCTCATTTTCTTGGCAGTGTTGTGCAGGCATCGATAAAAGGTCAAACAAAATGAATTTAATCTTTATTTGAAAGGGACTTTATACTACAATGACGAAGAAGTTACAGACAATTATGATCACACTGATAGACAATAGACAAGCACGTTATGTCTTATACGAGATTATGACGTCACATTTTTGAGATTTTAACCCATCCATCCATCCATTTCTGGGTCAGGGAGGTGGCAGTACACAGAGCACCAGCCCGAGATTTTAACTATTCTACAGTATTGTTACCTCATCAAAAACATACTGCATTTGTATTCAAAAGGGAAAAATCAAACTAACAAAACAAAGTGTACCTCTCTCTTTTGGAGCAAGAAAGGACAGGCCAGCATTTCATAAACCCTTGATACTTGTTTCACCATGTATTTTCTACTCAAGATATTATTTCACCATTGTCTGTAAATATTAACGGACGTAGGCACGCCTATCTCCTCCGTTGAAACTAATGTTCCACCACTTTTGGACCCTCCTGTAAAGCCGTTTTCGATAGGAAAGAAGGCGCCAGACAAAAGCATTGGATAATTCTGTTTTCTCTTTCCCAAATATAATGTGTAATATTTATTTGTTACATTTCTCTCACAATTTACATCTGCTTTAGTTTAGCACAAAACTCAAACTGCTTCCTGATTTTTCCTGATGCTTCCTGATGCATTAGCCTGTGTCAGTGTAAAGTGTACAGTGTTGATTGCAGGTCGGGGGTTGTTCAGACTGTGCTCCTCCTGGAGGACTCTCTGGACTCTGTAACACGTCTCTAATGGAAAGCTAAAGATGCACAGTCAGTTTGAATGCATTCCAGAGCAAGAATCTGCAAAAACAGCGTTTTAAAAAGCCCCACTCATTTAGTTAATGGCAGTAGAGTGTAGTTCACTCACATGGCATGTTTTATAATTTTGGCAGTTAGAAGTAACTGCAATAATAAGAATAATAATAATAATAGTTTGTCAAATGTAATTCTTGACAGCAATCACTTTGAAATTATATTTATTTGAATGCATTCATTTCTCTTCATCAATTCCTTTCTGGTGTAGGGACTTGGAGTATTGTACTAAATGAGCATCTGTCCCTCTCGGCTCTGAAAGTATATCCATCAAGGTGAGTTATGATGATTCACAGATTATGTGTAAATACAGTGTAAGTGAAAGTATTCGCCCCCCTTCAACCTTTCAACATTTTGCCACATTTCAGGCTTCTTTTTGTCATGAATCAACAACAAGTGGGACACAATCGTGAAGTGGAACAAAATGTATTGGATAATTTAAACTTTTTTAACAAATAAAAAACTGAAAAGTGGGGCGTGCAATATTATTCGGCCCCTTTACTTTCAGTGCAGCAAACTCACTCCAGAAGTTCAGTGAGGATCTTTGAATGATCCAATGTTGTCCTAGTCCTAGTTTAAAGCCGGATTTTGATACAAAAAGATTCCCCAAGCTTTAAACATCTCAAGGAGCACTGTGCAAGCAATTATATTGAAATGGAAGGAGTATCAGACCACTGCAAATCTACCAAGACCCGGCCGTCCCTCCAAACTTTCATCTCAAACAAGGAGAAGACTGATCAGAGATGCAGTCAAGAGGCCCATGATCACTCTGGATGAACTGCAGATAATTACAGCTGAGGTGGGGAGGGTGTGTTCAGGGTGATGAGCTGTGTTGCTTTTACGCCAAACATATCGTTTTGCATTGTGGCCAAAAAAATCGATTTTGGTTTCATCTGACCAGAGCACCTTCTTCCACATGTTTGGTGTGTCTCCCAGGTGGCTTGTGGCAAACTTTAAACGAGACTTTTTATGGATATCTTTGAGAAATGGCTTTCTTCTTGCCACTCTTCCATCAAGGCCAGATTTGTGCAGTGCACGACTGATTGTTGTCCTGTGGACAGACTCTCCCACCTCAGCTGTAGTTATCCACAGTTCATCCAGAGTGATCATGGGCCTCTTAGCTGCATCTCTGATCAGTCTTGTCCTTGTTTGAGATGAAAGTTTGGAGGGACGGCAGGGTCTTGGTAGATTTGCAGTGGTCTGATACTCCTTCCATTTCAATATAATTGCTTGCACAGTGCTCCTTGAGATGTTTAAAGCTTGGGAAATCTTTTTGTATCCAAATCCGGCATTAAACTTCTCCACAACAGTATCTCGAACCTGCCTGGTGTGTTCCTTTGTCTTCATGGTTCTCTCTGCGCTTTAAACAGAACCCTGAGACTATCAAAGAGCAGGTGCATTTATACGGAGACTTGATTACACACAGGTGCATTCTATTTATCATCATCAGTCATTTAGGACAACATTGGATCATTCAAAGATCCTCACTGAACTTCTGGAGTGAGTTTGCTGCACTGAAAGTAAAGGGGCCGAATAATATTGCACTTCCCACTTTTCAGTTTTTTATTTGTTAAAACAGTTTAAATTATCCAATGAATTTCGTTCCACTTCACGATTGTGTCCCACATGTTGTTGATTCATGACAAAAAATTAAAATTTTATATCTTGATGTTTGAAGCCTGAAATGTGGCGAAATGTTGAAAGGTTCAAGGGGGCCGAATACTTTCGCAAGGCACTGTACGTGTTGACTTTACATTGTTTTTTTTAAGATGGTAAATATCATGTGCTTAGAATAACCTATGATGAGGCAGCTTCACCATCAGTGTTTCTTTTATATCAAACTTTGGAACGCAGCAAGTAATTAAATCAATGCAAAATGGATGAATGACATTCTGGGCTTTGTAATGAAGTATTATAAATACTGTACATGGGATACTGTATATACATGGAGATGATCCAGTGGATAAAGCTTTATTAAAACCTACAGTACAAAGCACCTGTTTTACAGAAAATGTGAATAGCTAAATGTGTGCCACAAACTCGATTCTAACCATTATCATTTGAAAACAATTAAACAGTTATATTTATTGTGGTGTACACTGTTTTGCATCCTATTTACACGTGTCTGTTATTCTGTTGTAACACTGAAATGCATCATGGGAATTGTAGTCTTTCTCCTTCACTTGTCAGTGAGGAGGTGATCATCAGTGTGCGTGTCCTTGAACATGTGCTGATGTGTCCAGGACGCACACTCTCTGGAGAGTCACACAGGACACACACTCTCTGGAGAGTCACACAGGACACACACTCTCTCAAAAAGGTCACGCTGGTATAAGGACTTTCACACAAACAGCCTCAGTTTGACATCAGGGCTCATGGTTCAGAAGAACGCGAGAATGTAAAATCACTTTTGACTTGATACTGTTTCCATCTATTCACTTTTATTCATGCGCTTTGTGTTGCCCTGTGCAGGAAAAGCGCCCTATAAATAAAGATTGATTGATTGATTGATTGATTCATGTTGGTAAAGAACTAGATTCTTAAACGTTAAAGTAAGTAAGGGAATAGTTACTTTTCAAATACATTCTGTACATACAGTTTTTAGATACATCCATGTTCATATCAGGTACTTCTGCAAATCTGCCCCTTCTGTCTTAAAGTTCAGATAGAAAACTGTAATCATAGATGTCATAGAGACATTACGCTCTTAGAAGTTTTCTTCCTTTTAATACAAAAGTATTGCCCATGAATCAGTCTTTACATCACATGGCTGTGTTTGCACTAATTCTCCATTTTAGAAACATTTGGAAATTAGAAGGCCAATTGCATTAGTTACACTTGATTTGATCATGGGATTTCTACTAAAGATCATAGTTCACATTAAAAATAAAGTCCCATTATCATGTTTAAGGCTATATAATGCTTTGTATGTAAGTATTCTCCTCAGCATTGGTACTTTTCAGCGATAGAATGTCTAACAGTTAGTAACAATTGCACTGACACGCACTATATTTACTTCTGCATGTGCTCACTCTGCCGTCTGTGAACGCTGACCGCTGCATCTCTGTCCAGCAGTAAATTCAACCTAATGAAGATGCTCTTTCTTTGATTTTCTGTTCACTCAAACGGAACACATTTGATCAGACAAAGTATTCTCTCTGCATGAACCCAGGCCTTTATTATATGTGTCCCTATAAATAAAAAGTAATCTGATTAATCTAGAAAGTTTGAATTGTTAAATGACACCAAAGCTGTTGACTCTATGTTTTCATACTCCCCCAACAAACTTTGACTTGGTTTACTTTGACGTCTGAGCGGGAGACATGAGACACCACCCTGCTGTTTGATGGACAACTCTAAATTTGCATTCTGTTGACTGCAAGGCATCCCCATTAACACAGGGGGACTTTACAAACATTTATGGACCAACTTGGACTTTTATGTACATCCATAACTTGATACGTGTGCATATTTTGTATTCAAATCCTACAGCCAATCACAATCCATGCATTAAACAGTATAAGAAACGTCTATTTTCTACTTAAAAAGCTTCTGCTAGAATATATATATAAAAGCTGATCCCAGGATTAGTTTTATATTTATGGCAATATATAGTCCACGCAGCTGTTGTCTCCACATTGAGCTAAGTTTGTCCTCCTGACGGTGCAAACGACCAATGATGACTTTCCACAGCGACACAGACATAAATAAAACTACAGATGTTAGCACTCGGACTTTAGCTTTATCAGCGTTTTTTGAAAGTCTTTGCAAATGTAGACTTACCTCAAAGAAGGTGGTGCGGCTCATTATGGCAGGTTCAAAATAACTTTATAAACAAATGAAAGTGTGTGCAGTCATGTCTCCACCTCTCTCATGGAGCAGCCTCCTCAATGTGGGACAGTCCTGGATCAGAGCTCTCCCTCCGTTTCACTCTCTCTCTCTCTCGTTCTCTCTCTCTCTCTCGCTCTCTCTTTCTCCTACAGGCCTGTGGTATATCACTGTCCGTTTTTATTATTCTTAGTTTTGAATCATTGAAAACATCTTCGCCAGTGTCACAGTGTCGGCGGCCGATATATACAACACACATATCTTTTGTGTTTTCCTGTGGTACGCTGTGGTAATCAATCATCATTAAAACAATACGTCTGTCTGTCCCAGGGCAACTGTGGCTACAACAGAGTATTAATACCGATGTTGAGTGAATGAATGATGGACAAGATTGTATATGACAGCAACTTTGTTACATTCTGTTTACATCAAAGGAAAGGAAGATTTCTTACCCATCATCTGAACTTCTTCGCAGGTTTTCCCGACTTTATGTCCTTAATAGGCAAGGCAAGGCAAGTGTATTTGTATACCACAATTCATGCACAAGGCAACTCAAAGTGCTGAACAAGACAAAATAGCATTAACATCATAAAGAATCACAGTACATTAAAAAGAAAGATAAAAATATAAAATACCTCAGTTTTTGTGTTCAGCTAAACTGTTTTTAACTTGGTTTTAAACATTGTCAGAGAGGAGGCCTGTCTCACATCTTCAGGAAGATTGTTCCAGATTTTAGCAGCATGAATCTGAAAAGCAGCCACCCCATGTTTAGTTCTGACTCTGTACACTAACAGGAGTCCAGTCCCTGTGCTCCTCAGAGTCCGGGCTGGTTCATATGGGACTAACATGTCACTAATATATTTTGGTGCGAGGCCATGGAGAGACTTGTACACAAGCAGAGCTGTTTTAAAATCTATTCTCTGAGCCACAGGAAGCCAGTGCAGAGACCTGAGGACCGGACTAATATGGTCGTACTTCCTGGTTCTAGTCAGGACTCGAGCTGCTGCATTTTGAATGTACTGCAGCTGTTTTACAGCCTGTTTGGACAGACCTGTGAGCAGGCCATTGCAGTAGTCTAACCTACTGGAGACAAATGCATGGATAAGAATCTCCAAGTCTGCTTTAGACACTATGTTTTTGATCCTGGCAATGTTTTTTAGATGGTAAAAAGCTGCTGATGTTACTGATTTGATGTGGCTATTAAAATTTAATTTCTGACCTGGTTTGAAGGTTTTTGGGAGAGAGACTGTAGGTGACTGATGACGCTCTCTCTTTGTTTCTGGGGACCAAAGACAATCATTTCAGTTTTGTCTGCGTTTAGCCGAAGGAAGTTTTTTTGCATCCACTCACTGATCTGTTGGATACAGTGAAGGAGTGAGTCCACTGGTCCATGTTCTCCTGCAGTCAGTGAGACATAGATCTGAGTGTCGTCTGCATAGTTGTGATAGGACACTTTGTTTCTGCGTATTAACTGACCTAACGGCAGCATGTAGAGATTGAACAGAAGAGGTCCCAGGATCGACCCCTGTGGTACTCCACAGGTCAGGGCCATTATGATCTGAGACACAGTTTCCAATCTCCATAAACTACTTCCTGTCTTCAAGGTAAGACCTAAACCAACTTAGGGCGGTGCCAGCTACGCCAACCCAGTCCTCTAGTCTCTGTAAGAGGATCTCATGGTCGACGGTGTCAAAGGCAGCACTCAGATCCAACAGGATTAGGATTGAGACTTTGCCTGCGTCAGTATTTAGCCGGATATCGTTTGTAACCTTCTAAAACGATCCACCCGCCTAAAGCCGGACTGAAACATATCAAATGAGATGTTGATTATAAGAAATCTAGTAAGCTGTTGGTAGACAACTTTTCAAGGACTTTCCCCATAAATGGCAGGTTTGAGATGGGACGATAGTTGTTAAGTACCGTGGCATCCAGGCTGCTCTTTTTTAGCAGGGGCCTGATGACTGCAGTTTTCAGGGCCTTTGGGAATATTCCAGAATGAAGGGACATGTTTACTATCTGTGTGAGGGAAGGTAACAGACTGCTCAGAACAGACTTTAGAAATCTAGTAGATAGTACATCCAGGCTGCATGTGGAGGAGCTCAGACTGGAGATTATCTCTTGGACAATTAGATCGTTTACAGGTGCAAAGTGAGTTAGCTCAAAGAGCCTTTCTGGCTGTTGGATTGTTATCTGTGGATTGGAGACAATGGTGTTTTGATGCCTTGAGTCATTGAAAAAATGTGCAAACTCATTACAAAAAGCTTTTCCAAGTAAAAGCTCAGACTGGTGTGGTAAGGTTATAAATCTCCAACAAGAGGTGTTGTGTTTAAAAAAAGAAAAAATTGATTTAGTCCCAGGTTTTTAATCTACCATGTGATTTTTCCATCTTGATAGATTTAAGTTTTACAATCATTGAAAAAAACGTAGAATTGTCATCACTGTTTTCATGCCAGCCAGCAGTGAATTTCAAATACTTTTATGACCTTAGGGCTACAATACCCAACCTGACCACCAGGGGCGCACCCGTTGCTGAATAAAGCACATAAAGAAATGGGCTATATGCACGGTGAGGAGGAGGGGAGGCGTGACGTAATTTCTGTATTTTCCTGTCTATGCTATCGCTATGGCTTTGTGGTGAGTTGTAGAGACTTTTTTTTAGTAATTATGCCGCTTTTCCACAGTAACGATACGGTACGGCACGGTGCAGCTATTTTGCATTTCCACTAGGGTTGGGCTTGGGATCGGGGGTACTTTTTTCGTACCACCTTGACTGCGGTTCCATCAAGCCCCGGCGATCCAAGATGGCGCCCTATTAAAATGAATGGTTGTGCTCAGTGGCGCTTTGTGACGGCATGGGGGCTGAAAGATTAGCGGAAGTTGCCTGGAACTCGCAAAGATCTATGGGAAACTCGCAAAGATCTATGGGAAACTCGCTTGTATTTGGGCATCGTCTGGTCCTCCCGGTTCTGCGCAGTGGATGATCTCCCATAATGCGTTGCGCTATCTCCCATGATGCGTTGCGCCAAATACACGTGTGTGGGTCAGGCACGTGCACAGAGGGGCTCGGCCGCGCTCTGACCAATCAGAGCAGTTCATCAGAGCGGGAGTTAGAGCGAGAGCCAGACGAGCAGAGTTTGTGGCACTAAAATGTAGATTTAAAGAAAACCGAAGGATTTATGAAGAAAAAAAGTTCAGGATGACAAGGGACACTAAAATCCCCACAAAATCCGATCTTTATTAAAGCTGAAGGTTCTCTGTCAGCTGAGGTTGAGCTGTTTGAATATGCATTGAGTTCTATGGGGAAATTTCTGGGTAGCCCACGTGAATTTAGTCTGGTCTAGTCTGCAGTACCGCGAGAATCCCCCTAGCACATGGGTTATTCGGCTACAAGCTACCCTATCCAGTTATTATAATAGATCCATGTGTGGCAAGACCAGGTCTGGTGGTCTATGCTGAAGGCATTGTTACTCGCCGCCTTGCGGAGCTGAGCTGGTGGACTATTTAAGCGCTCCCATCTGTTGCATAATTAAAATGTTGTATACTAATGATTTTGAAAATAGGCCCTCTGAAGAATGTGCACGGGGAAAAGCCCCAAGGACAAGGATTGCAAACAGGAATAAAGAGGGTCAAATGGAGAAACTACAATCAGTCATAGAGATACCAACTTTCAAAACGGGACAAATTATTAACTCCAGGAATAAACATTCTTGTCTCTCTGGCGAGGCCAAAAGTCCAAAAAACACCATCTCTCAGGCAGACTGGGAGATTCTCCAAAGGCATTCTGACGCCTCCCAGTGGACACGGGACGCCAGCACACCCGAAAAGAACATTCGGGAGACGCCCACAAGTGACGTCATCAGACGTCTTGATAAAACTGTTGGTTTGAGTTCTGGGGGGAAGGTTAGCGCAGGGGTAGAGGAGAGGGACATATTAGTTTAGGAGCACTTTTTTTGTTGAATATTCTGTATCTGATTGTAAAGATAATTAAATGCAGATGTTAAACTTGGATATCTTCGTCTGATTTCTGTACCAAATTGTGGACACGCGAGCCAAAAGGGAGTATTTGGCTTCATTTGGTGACCCGAGACGTGATTTGATACAGAAAGAAGACGCAAGATGAGCTCAGATAGATAGACTGGGTCTGTTGGGTCTTGGGGCTCTCTCTACTGCAAAACACAGGTAAGCAGATACCATTTCTAAAGTCTGCACATTGTTTTAAATAGAAGACAGAGAGATCTGGCCCAGCATGACTGCAGCGTGGCCAGACCGCCGTGATGGGCGATTCTATCGGACGCGATAGAACAATAGTCAGGTTTTTCGACGTTTTTGAACCTTGAGGGATGCTGGTCTCTCTCTAAAAAAGAATATACAGGAAGAGAGCCACAGGATTTAGAAGTGCAAAAGAGGCACACCGTTTTAAGGTGCAAAAGAGGCACAAGAGTTTAGATAAATAGGATTAGAGAAATAGGGGCAGTATAGGGTCAGAAGTGATAGGATAATAAAAACTCCATATCCCCCGGGGGGCGGGAAAAAAAGGGTACATTTAAACAGAAAAAAGCCAAGTATTTAAAATGTGGATTCTGATAATAATGATCTGATTAATGAGAAAAGAAGGAGCCACTTGGCTGTAGTATACGAGTTTCATGTGAAGAAATGACAAAAGATCAGTCTGGGAGTTTTTCTCTTGTATTCTGATGTAATGTTTCGATAGTTACAGCGAATCAGGGAAAAAAAAAAAAAAAGATTCTGCTGGAACCCTCGATACATTAATCAGGTAGCAAATAGTAATGTTTTCCATTACTGACGTATTTAAGGATAAAATGTAAAGTGTCGTTTGACGTGAGAAAAACTTTTACCACTGATTTAGAACCTTGTCACGAGAAAAACGAGAAAAGTATTTGACTCCATGCTTCCTTTGTTCGGGAGGCCCCTCCCCTCCCTCGTTCTGTCCTCTCTCTCTCCCCTCTCTCTCTCTCTCT